CTATCTTCGCTGCCGCCCTAGGGCTTATATATGAACAAGTAGCTCCAGTGTCCCAGAGCGTAGTTAGCTTTATTCCATTAATGAAAATGTCCGATTTAGGTTGATCTCTGGAAACGGAAGGGATGAGGAGATGATTATCGGCATTGCATGAACAAGGGGTACTGAGTGGTGTATTTTTGTATTCACAATCCTCTGGCTCCATCAGCTGTGTTTCTTTTATGGGTTTGGGAATGGTGGCCGAGAGAATATGGCGGACCCGCCGAGCCTCGCCTACTGCGACAGGTCCTCTTCTTTTCCCTGGTCCTCTTCCAAATCTACTTCTCCTCCAACCGCATTCAAGTTCCTCCTCTGTCCGAGAGGTACTGCGTTCCCTCCCGATCCTCCACCACGTTCTCCGAACTTCTCCCCCCATGGAGGCAACAGTCCAACCTTAACCTTAGCCTCCCTTACAGGGCATTCCTTCAGCCAATGTCCTGCTCCACCACACTCGGTACACTTCCCCTCCTTCCTCCTTGTCTCCCTCAGATCGGAGCTCGGCCTAGGCCATCTTCGGCGAACTTCGTCGATGTTTGACGGTGTACTCTTTACCACCGTCGACATCATAGCCGCCTGGACACCACCCTGCGCCGAAGGTTGCCCCTTTTCCCATTTCTTCTCTTCTTTCTTCTCCGTCCTCTGACTTTCCACCACTGTCGTTGTCCTTATCCCTCCTTCCCTTTTCCTCTCTGCCTCCTTCTCCACTTGTCTCCTCCACAGGCGGTTGTCCAAGGGAATCACAAACTCCAATAGCTCTTTCACAGTCCCAAACGATCTACCGTGTCTTGCAATTTCATCTAGAAGGTGCGATTTTAGTCCTTTCTTGGCTCGGTCAACTAGGTTTCCATCATCAGACCACTTAAGAATCGCAACATGTCGCTGGAAGGCGGAGAAGTAGTCCGAAGCAGACCCGGTTTGCTTGAGGTCGTTAAGTTGTCGGGCCGCAGTTCCTTCTTCGTCTGGATCACCAAAGTTAGTCTTGAGGTACTTAACGAACTGATCGTGTGTCGTGAGGTACTCAGGAAGAGGTCTTTTGGATAGATCGGGCTGCACTGCAAGAAGAGGTGTTTCGCGTAGATGAGAGATCATGAAAAAGACTTTCTTAGTGTCGTCGGGGAAAAGATGAGAGTTCAATTCGAAATGTACGTCGCACTCAGACAGAAAGGCGGTTAACTTGTTCCGATCTCCTCTCCAGAGGTCTGGGTTAGGTAGCTTTATCCCCTTCCGTTGTTCGCCCACTACGCTTGGGGTCGCCGAAGTTTGCCGTCCCATGGCGTACCTCACTCCTTCTGATATCCCTTCTGCAATCCCGCCCACTGTATCCCTTTCTCTTCTCTGTTCCCATTCCTCCCTACGCCTTCTCTCCTCCATCATGTCTTTGTTCATATTCGCCACCATCTGCATCAAGGCCAACACCACCCCTTGTGTTCCTTCTTCTCCCAAGTTCGCCGTACTTCCAGTGTTTTCTCTTGGGCGTGGGGTTTGGTCTGATCCAAGTGGGGATCCCGCAGGTGGGAGAGCATTAGACGGAGGAGAAGGAGGGTTAGAAGGCACCGGTGGAACGAACTCATCTCCTTGAATTGATCCCCCCACACTATCCTCCACTCCAAGGTCCTGCCCCATTGCTCTGCTAAGCTCCTCCAATGCTCTCCTCTCGTTCTCCTCCATCCTGTCTCCATCCCTACTCATCCCTCGTGTAATTCTTCTTTCTGGTTCCATATTATCTTTGTACTTCTCCGAGGTTCGCACGGGTCGTCGGTAAGAGCGATCCTTGATACTGTCACGGCCGTCGAACAACTATTTCTTAATAGACCGACGGTCGACGAACCTCGGCTAACTTCACGCTCTGAGTCGATGTCTCACCCAACCAGGAGGGCGCAGACGTCGAAAGGGGTGTAACTACGGCGTACTTCGGCGTAGTTACTCTAACTAGGGTTTTGTTCTACTGATGGCGATGTACCTTGATTTATAGCTATCTCTATCTGTCTTTCACTACTGACAACAATCAAGGATCGCTGAAGAACTTCAGCGATCTTCTCAGCTAATATTATCTACTCCTCCTAGACGTTCATCCAACCCTCTCGCGCTTTGACGTACTTCAACGCACTTCGTCCAACTTCCCCGAGCCCTCGGCCATCCTCTTCCTCCTTCGACTAACTCCGCCTAACATCGCCGCACTTCTGCTCCCATTGTCCCTACTTAGCCTAACTCCGTCTAACTTCGCCGTACTTCTGCTCCCATTGTTCCTACTTAGCCTAACTCCGTCTAACTTCGCCGTACTTGGTGTCAGAAGTCCTGAGTTACGTGTAGAGTAAAGAGGTTAAGGCGTGATGGGGTTTTGATGGCCAAAGGAGGGTCATTGTTGGTGGAGTAATCGAGGTGTCGCGACGTAGTTCGTGACAACCTATGCGTAAAGGTCATCCTCAACAACCTCAAGATCCTCCACCTCGCATTGAAGTCAATGGTCAAGAAGAATACATTGTCAACCACATCCTTGATTCTCGAATCAGCTCAGATAATGGATATGATTATCTGGTCAGTTGGAAAGATTACTCTAGTGCTCATAATTCATGGGAACCCTGGGAGAATGTTCATCATACCACAGCATATAAAGCCTTCCTCAGGAAACATCACAAGGATCCACAACACCACTTCCCTACAGCTAGAGCACATCAGAAAATTAAGGAACCTCAAACTCAAGACAACAACAACAAAGATCATCAAGGCTCAGAGGACTTTGCCCTTAGAGGGGGAGCTCCTGTCATGAATCAGTAATCATGACTCGGAATAAGTAAGGACTCAAAGTATTAGTGACTCATAATTAATTAGGAATGATAAGATCAGGCCAGATGGTAGCACCAGATGGGCATGACAAATGGTAAGGACAAATGGTGATAACAAATGGTCATGACAAATGGGCATACCAGATGGTAGCACCAGATGGGCATGACAAATGGGCTACGCAATTGGTAGCCTAAGAGCAAGAATGTCCAGACTGGTCAACCCGTTTGTAACTAGCTTTTGTCTATATAAACTTGTACTTTTCAGTAACTTCTCCAGCAATGAATCTCCTCTTACTTCTCGTCTTCCTATCCTCGATCCTCCCCTTCCAGTAAGAGACGTCACTCAACTGGTTCTAACCCAGTACTCTCTGTCCCTTCAGTATCTAAGGCAGTCATCTAGCTCGACGAGTCAGAGACTATACCCCTCAGTACCTAAGGCAGTCCCTACGCTATCGCAGTCTACCCCCAGGCGTGACATGTGGTCGGACAACTAAAGTGACTTGCAAAGGATCCGGGCAGGTCAAGATGACAATATGGGCGTGTGTGATGGTGTGGACAGGGGTAATGATGATGAGGGAAGTGTCAGATGTAAGTAGTATGTCAAGAAGAGGTCTTTTGCAAGTGACAAATAATATTTTGATCCTTGAGAAGAAGAAACTACAAGCTAGAAATGTCCTCCTTATATCCTTTTCCAAGGGACTTGTCACGCCCGTCGAACAACTACTTCCTAATAGACCGACGGTCGACGAACCTCGGCTAACTTGGTCCTTCTAGATCGATGTCTCACCCAACCGGGAGGGCGCAGACGTCAAAAGGGGTGTAACTACGGCGTACCTCGGCGTAGTTACTCTAACTGGGGTTTTGTTCTACTGATGGCGATGTATCTCGATTTGTAAATAGCTATCTCTATCTGTCTTTCACTACTGACAACAATCAAGGATCGCTGAAGAACTTCAGCGATCTTCTCAGCTAATATTATCTATTCCTCCTAGACGTTCATCCAACCCTCTCGCGCTTTGACGTACTTCAACGCACTTTGTCCAACTTCCCCGAGTCCCCGGCCATCCTCTTCCTCCTCCGACTAACTGTTACGATCCGGTAGACCAGATCCTAACACCCATTTTGAATCACATCTTCTTTACGGCGTATTACACGTAACACACCGCAAAGTGTACATGTTTCAACGTCTCCCACCTTCTTTCCGTCGTCTCAACGTTCTTCATGCAAAGTACAACGAATTGTACGCATCACAACAAGAATGCAGTTCTTTTAGTTTGGTAGTTTGATAGAATATAGTATAGGAACCGAGTAATACGACTCTTTCCTACGCAGGACGGCGGACATCCCAAAATGGACTTGGAAAAGGATATAAACCCCTTGTACTTCTTTCATAGTTTCTTTTCTTCAGAGATCAATTATCATACGTTTCAACCTTTACTGACCAAGTCATCTAATACTGACCTAGACTTCAAGCTTGTCTTCCACATTGGCCCCAAGCCTATCTTCGTTCACACCTTGGGTCTCAATATAGTTATCAGACCTGCTTTTGTCATCATCATATTAGACTCCCTCATTGTCAGTAAGTCATCTCGTCCTGCGTATCAGAGTTCCTCTATCTCTCTTATCATCTTTGTCATCAACACATCTCTTCACATCACTTGTCCACCTGCCGTCTCTCCTCTGAGACGTACCAGGCCTAACACTAACTCCGCCTAACGTCCCCGTACTTCTGCTCCCATTGACCCTACCTAGCCTAACTCCGTCTAACTTCGCCGTACTTTTGCTCCCATTGTCCCTACCTAGCCTAACTCTGTCTAACTTCGCCGTACTTGGTCTCAGATGTCCTGAGTTACGTGTAGAGTAAAGAGGTTAAGGCGTGATGGGGGTTTTGATGGTCAAAGGAGCGTCATTGTTGGTGGAATAATGGAGGTGTCACGACGTAGTTCGTGACAGGACTTCTGATGCGCAAATCATTCATATGATTTTGGGAGACTTTGTATGAATTCATGTGAATTCGTGGTCATTTCATATGAAATCGTGGTCATTTCATATGAATTCAGGTGAATTCGTGTGAAATCGTATGAATTCGGGTGAGTTCGTGTGAAATCGTATGAATTCGGGTGAGTTCATATGAAATCGTATGAATTCGGGTGAGTTCATATGAAATTGTACCAAAAAAAAATGAAAATCCCTGAATCACGGGTCACGACTTTACCGAGTCATGACATCAACCCTCCTTTCACCATCACCGAACCCTTATCCATTGGCAACCACCACAACCCCAAACTACTGAGACTGACTACAACGAAGTTACAAGAACCTAGGGAGCATTTGTCACAACAACTCCGCCTGGCAGAGAACTACGGCGAAGTTAGGAGAAAGAGACTGAGGGAGGCAGAGCAGAGTGGAGGGAGCAAGACAAAGTACGGCAAAGTTGAACGAAGAGGACCGAGCGTGAGGCTGTGCAGGAGTTGAGGGATGTTCTACGAGTAGAGAGGAGAAGTATAGATAGATTACAGATTGCTGAACTTCTTCAGTGATCCTTGATTGTTGTCAGTAGCGAGAGATATATTCAGTAGCTACAACCTTCAAGTGAGGGAGAGCTATCATTCAGCAGTCCGACGTACTACAGCAAAGTTAGCCGCAGTTCATCGACAATCACCTCATTGTTTACCACTCGACGTATCGCTACGGCGCAGTCAGCCGTAGTTCCCCAACAAGTACCCTGTCCTAGTGAGACATTGACGCCCCACTACGACGTAGTTAGCCGAGGTTTGTTGACCGTCAGTAAATAGAGAAGAAGAAACGACGACCGTGACACGGACAGTGGTTCGGTGATGGTAAAAGGAGGGTCAGTGATGGTCAGGGATATTACGACATGGTCCGTGACACCTACCATTCTTGACATGCAAGAGATTGTCTGGACGGAGTATCAGAGCCCCAAATGTTGTGTTGTTTGTTCTACAGTGTTTTGAAAGTGGTGGGGTGCATGAGTGTGGCAGCGGAATGTGGCAGTTATCGCGGGCGGATGGTACTTTGTAAAGTTCCGCGGTGTCCGGAAACTCCCGAATTACATTGTCTTCTTCTTTGTTTTCCCATTACTCCCCTCAGAGAGTACCTACAGCATTTCCAGCATACTGATCATTTCTACGTCGCTGTCTCTTCATCTCAGTACCCCTATACGTGTCAAAAAAGCAAAGATGGACGGCTTAGGGGCTCTCAAGGACATCAATGTGTGTAATTAAGACTTTTCCTTCTCCAATGTATCAATGTTCGCTGATGTTCCCCCTTTTCTAGCCTCAGCAGGTCCAGATGATGATAAGGATCATGGAAATCCTGGGAGGAGCGTCCTCAGGGGCTGCTGCATCGTCTACAGCAACTTCAGCGGCCCCGCAACAGGTCCAAAATTCTTCCCTGACCACATCTTCTTCCTTTGGTCCTGTCTCCACCAACACTGCCGCCCCAAAGCCGCCTGTGTACACCCCTCAAGGGCTTCAAAGCCTTATGAGTGTGAATAACAACTCTACATTCGATACTCTTGCGACTGCTAAGCATTCAGTGCCAAGGAACTCAATTACCGGCTGGCCAAGTGGCCTCAAAGGTAAAGGGGGTAAAGATCCTTCTCCCCGTCGCCCCACCTTGTCTTCGACCACTCAGAGGACTAGTAGGGTCCCCAAAGAAGCTACAGAGGTGGACAAAGGTGCAAGAATATCGTTGCCATTGGATGAGGGAGTGAGCACTCTTTTCAGGCTATTAAAAGTAGTAGAGTCTAATCTGCAGTTGATCTTTGTCCCCTCTCGAGATGTCCTTGCTCAAGACGCTCCCTGGACCGAAGAGAAGTACACACTCCTGCATGATCTGTGTGAGGACATGGATTTCATTGGGTTCCCTTCGTTTCAGGCAAAGTTCAATGGCTATGATGTCCGGGAGGAGGTGATCAAGGCTTTCAAGCATGTGGACGAAGTCGAAGATGGGGGCTTTTCGTGGGTCATCACTTTATCTCTTTCTCTCTGCTTGACCTTTCTTCACTTAGCTTGTGTCTGACCTGTGGATGTCATCTTGTGGCTGACAAACAACTAGATGGGTGCGCTATTCCCGACTTAATGAGACAATGAAACCTCACGCCTTTTCAATGGATATGGCTGCGGGTAACCTCATCACCTTCTTCAAGAATCAATCCCGAGCTGTCATTGTTGCAAACTCCCCCTTTCCACGCCTTGTTGGCCCTTTTGAGAATGCTTGGGAGAAGCTCAAGAAGGAGCATGGTCTTGAGACTAAAGGGAAAACCCGTGAAATCATTACCATTCGGTCTGTGAGTGCAGACTCGGATCGTCCAAGCCTGGTTCCTATCATGGAGGTAATCTCACCATCTATCTCTTGTGGCATCTGTGGTGTATCCTACCCTAGTCTATTGAGTCACGAACATCACTGTGAAGGTGATCCATCTCTTGAGGATCAACAGTCATATGATTTTCAAGATTTTTTCAACCAGGTTCGTCTCTTTGGGCCTCTGATTCCCTGTTGCTTTGGCAAATGCTGATGACCAGCCGGGGTTTGACGATGTGGATGACAAGATTCCTGGCCAAGAAGACAGTACTGCAGCCAAAGAGAAGATATTCCGTCATGGTTCAAGATCCTCCAGCCGCTTGAAGTCTATTTCGCTTGTCAACCCCAAAGAACTGGCTAGAAACGCCACGCCTGGTCCTAGCAAGTTGATTTCTAGCCTCAAGAGTCCTCAGGATGTCTCTCCTAAGACTACAATGTCGCCTCGGGCCCGAAAGAGGAAAACCGGTCCAATAGAGTTGACCCCACCAAGGTCCAGCAAAGTGGGAAAAATCCCTCGTAAGACAAACAATTCTGCCGGCTCGGCTTAATTGAAATCTCCGATGAGGCTCAGCTTAGGAAGAGGTAAGTCTTCTCTATCATCTCCAAGTTGTTTCATGAAAAAATACTCGGAAATGATCATCTGATGGCCAGAAAGTAGATTAGGACAGCAACTGGAGGTGGACATATTCTTAAGGAAAGTGCGCACAGGGGGAAGGGAAGGGATTGGTGTCAGTGTGAGAATTTTTCGGTTTATTTAGGTTAAATGAAACACATCTCATACATATGGGCTCTGTAGCAACCAGAGCAGAGACTAAAAGCACAAATGTACAAACTTCAAGCTTGTGACTCGTTGTTAACATACTGAGGGAAGTTAACTCGGATGAACCTATCAAGAACCTGTCTACACATGATGTATCTACCTACCCCATGATCCATCATACCAAGAGCCCAAGGGCCTATGAGCTGGCCCATATCCACCTGAAAAGCATCACTAGCTAAGACAGAAGCTAAATCCTCGGCCACATTGACCAGGACAGGAAGAACCTTGACATGCGGGTCATTTTGTAGAATGTTTCCTTCTGCTCTTCTCCCATAATCGTCTAGCCCAAATTCTGCAAAGTTTAGAGCCCGATCCTGCTGAAGGCCTTGGTCTGTAGCCTCTTGTGTGACAATTCCAGCAGGATCGGCAAGAATGTCGATTCCGTGGGTGTGTGCTTCTAAGATACCTGCAGGACATTAGTTCCTGTTAGATGGGTAGCTGTAGTCCACTCACTCTCAAACCACATCTGTTCTGGGGTCTCTCCCCCTTCTCTATCCATCCCATGTAAGTTCCAGCGTCCCACAAACGCTTCCAGGCTTGCATTGATCATAGGAAGAAAGCAGAAGTGGAGACACCAAATATCAAGGGGGTTGTCAAGGGATAGGAGGCCTTGATTGATGAGAAGTTGGAATTCCACTCGATATCGCTTGGTGCACCATTCTTGGAGGTCCACCCATAGCCTCTCTATTCTCTGGTTGCGTGTGGAGGGCCCCTGGAGGAAGGGATGATGATCATGGCCTGATACACATCAGCAAAAATCACAGGATAAACAAAGGAGACAGAGACATAACGTACCTCTAGCGTCCTCCATGAGTCTTTTTACACCTAGATTCTCTTTCCCGTAATCCACTCGTACCCTGCTAGGCCAGCCATGTGTCCTGACAGCTTCTTCAAAGCAAGCAGTCACAGTCTCAGCTTGATTATTGTTGCTGGCCTGCAAAAAGACAATTTTTCGAGATTTACCATCTATCCCCCCGTGTATGACAATCTTGAAGTCAATGAGCTTGTGGTGGCCATCGATGTGCCAGAGACTGTTGGCAAATGGTACCCTGTAGACACAACGGACACATGTGCGAGCATAGCGGGTTCAAAGTTCCCCTGTATCAAGGAGGTGAACCTGTAGGCGAACATGATCACGAGGTAAAATAATATTTCGTCGTTTGAGCTCAGCCCACACTGCTCTCCATCCTTCTAGGCCCCCACAAGCCCTGTAGATGTGGACAATCTCCTAGGAAAGTGTCAACTTGGCTAACCTAGGACTAGCAATGGCCAAGGAGGAAAGAGAAGAGTGTGCAGGTACTCACTGCTCGCAGATCTTCATCTGTTATCAACGTAAAAGCCCTCTTTCTGACCCCAATCTCTCTCTTGAGCTTGCTTAAAGTATTTCGAGATACTCCTAAATACTTCAGGATCTTCTTCTCTCGAAATCCCTTGGCCAGCATGTCCTTGACAAGAGGTACATTGAGTGCAAGTTGGTAGTAGCCGTTTTCACCAACAACCCACTCTTTGTATGGTCCACCACCAGCTGGGGGACCAAGCAGACTCTGTAGATTGTCTTGAACCATATTGAGACTGTCCTGAACATGTGTGAGGTGGATATGCAGGGGCGAGAAGACTGAGGGGGGGAGATTGAGCTGTATTTGCCGGAGATCTTCGATGAGGGAGGTGGTGGAACCTATCAGAGGCCCAAGGAGAAGAGGGTCACGCTCCAGCGGATTGGTGTTGATCCACTCAAGAGCATAGGATGTGTACATGGCAATATTTCGACGAATGTAGGTGGTTTCTAGTTGAGATAGGTGGAATGGAGGCAAAAAACATGTCATTCAACCGTGCTATAGAGAGATGACCAACCTACCTGCAGTGTGTCGGTCATGTTTGCAGCTTCGATGCACCTACAGATAGCAACTAGATAGAGCAAAGTTGGAACTTGAAATAGTAAAAGATGCGACAGAGCTGGTTGAGTTACAGAGGTGGTGGATTAGATCTACAAAGAGGCGGTGCAGACTCCTGGTGCTAATGGGCCCTGACTTATTTGGGAAGCAGGCTGGTTGGTGTTTGCAACGCTACTTCCTCTTGAGCGTGATCAGCTATTCTATTCAATCTCATAAATTTGGCATGAATAGTATGCATCACTTTTCCACTAGTTCCCCACTTGTTTTGATACAATCTCGTGTTTGTGGCCCTCGTAATACTTGGACATCTCACTACAGGCAAAGGCAGTGACAACCAACCTTTTGTCCCCATCTTCCTTATCAAGTTCCCTCACGTAATGTAAAAGGTGGGACCCTTGGAAAAAAACAACAGACCCTTTTGTATTAGACCTGTTGTGACAGAAAAGAGGGGACATACCAACTGGCATTTCAACTTCTATATTGAGCTGAGGCAGAACAAGCCATCCCTGACGATTTTCTGCAGAAGATTTCCACCCACCTGAGCCAAAGACTGAGATGATGGAATACGTACTATCATCATCATTACGATCGAAATGCCACTCTTCTGACTGCCCCTTGTTGATTGCAAGAGAAGATCCAACTTGTCCAAGGCGTAAAGGAGCAGATCCCACACTAATTTGGTGTTCCATGTGGTTGACTAGGTGATGCACAAAAAAGTGGGCTCTTGATCATCAGCACAGGTTGGATGAAGAAGAGAAGAGGACTGACTGAGACATTCTTTTGGAAGTGACAGGGTCAAATTTCCGTAAGTTCTTGAGTGTACCTCCTCCTGCAATCCTGTCAAAAGTTGTCATGAATTGTTGGGTTTCATTGGATCTAGCATCTTTGGAAAGAAATGGACGAGTATGATCCTTCCGGCAGTTAGAGGGAAACCAGACACCAGGGTGAAAGGGGCGCTCTTTTGTCTTCGACCTTAAGCTGGATGATTTACAGGAGGGGACAAGTCCGGACTAGTGTGTTAGTACGAGAAACATGATGGTTGGACTGCTTACTTTTTCAATCATCTCCCAGGCATTCATAATATCATGATTGTCTCGTGGAAGATTGAGATTAAATGCCATGAGCCAGAACTTAGGCCGTCCGTTTGGTGTACCCACATCATCCAAACTGCATGGAATGGCGAAGGGAAACTAGAATCAGGGAAATCATTGGTGACAATGGGAACTCACCTGAGAAGAAGAAATCAGAGTAGCAGGGGGAAGTTCAATATTCTCCTTTCTTAGCAGTTCATCGAAAGTTTGCTGGGAATTGTTCAGGGGACGCGGATTATGGTTTTTTGTTCTTTTGTCAAAGAACTCTTGTAAAAAATACGGAGAATCGGGATAGAATGTGTCTAAAATTAGCAATGACCGAAGAAGATGGTACACCTACCTGGTTCAATACGTTTTGAGTTGTAATAGTCTCTCTTAAAACCAGGATTTCCGGGATTTTTCTTGGGAGGTGCTTTATCTCCTGAAGGTGTTATCAGCAACTACTTTTGAAGAAAAAAAATAGCAGCATTTCCCCCTATTTTGACGCAAAATTGTTTCAGGAAAGTGAGAGATTGGGATTGGTACAGGAGAACTGACGGGTATTTTCCATCCTCTGAGTTCAAGTCAGCAAGTGCTCCTTCCAAAAAAAATGGCAGCATTTCCCCTTATTCAGTAGCACATGGGAGCAAGGGAGAATACCGGCAAAACATCAAGAGAGACACGGAGTAAGAGGGAGCAGTGATGAAGGAAAGACATAAAAACAGAGCTGTCGAATGGCTCACGAGATGTGTGACTTATGTAGCCAATATCCGGATGTGAAAGATGAGAATTTTGAGCCGGCAGCCGGACTGTGTCCAGGTAATGGCTGTAGAAAGTGTTGGTTTGGAGTTGAAAGGCTAGAAGAGAGTCTAACGTGTTAAATCTATAGCCGGACTGTATCCAAGAGGGCGATATCAGGTAATGAATTCCGAGTAGTCTGTATGTCTATGTTCCCATCAGACAAACAAGAGACAAAAAGCAGAAAGGTTCAACTCACGTCTGTAAGTGGGTGGTGAGGAGAGAGGGAAGGATGACGGGGGGAGATGTAAGAATGGTGAGAGACAATGAGTGAATGAGTTGTTTGGTGAGAAAGTCGTCCAATCGATGGAAGATGGACATTGCAAAGTGGCGATGAGACGCGGTTTACAAAGTACCGGCCGCTCGTCATAGGCAGTGGATGCATGACTTTTTGGACCAAATCCGTTCCTGCCAAATTTAGTGGATGAGACAACGATCAAAATTGATGATGGTCACTTCCTTTCCTTTGATCCGATGTTTTCGCATGACGGATTCGCACGGTCTCGTACTTGTAGTATTTGATCTAACTACTTTGGGTCATGCCCAACCCACTTGTATGGCCGAGTCTCCGTCTTCCTTCCCATCCGCTCGTCCTTCACGCTGATGGTGTGGCGGTGCCAATTTCCCATGAAACTTGGAAAATGCGTCGGTTTCCTATGACCGATGAAAGGAAAGATTGGTAAACGAGTCATAGGAGGGTGAAAGATCAGAGGGTTTACCTCCACCTCATAGTGGTAATCCCCTGTGATGGAGACCGCTTGGATATAGCTATAAAACCCATTATCCGTCCGTTCTTCCTTCCTGTTCCTTCATCGTCTTCCCCTACCAACATTACTCGTACTCTCATTTGAATTGATACATTCCATAGTTTTAGGTCGATCAGTCAGGATGAACACACCTAGAGCTGAGATTGAAATATGGCCGTCTCATACGCCAATAACCCAATATGCACTTTTGGCATGGGAGACAGCCCGGTACACCGGTCCTAAGTCGTTTGAAGACACAGAGGAGGCAAAAACCATCATCCAAGAGATATACTATGACGCCCATCAATCGGCCGAACCTCCACTTGTTGATTTGGAACATTCCAACACAACTGGTCTGACTTACTAATCAGAAGCGTCAAGACTGCTAGTGCGAGATTAGGGACAAGTTTTGATATCAAAGTATTGACCCCCGAAGAATGTGCAAGGATGGATGTTGGAAGGTTTATTGAGGCTGAATATGATCGCGCACCATTCACAACTGTTTGAGCCATGATAGTTGATGGTCAAGTGCAGCATGACACGCCAGTCTGGTCGCCAGACTACATCAGTTCTGTGATGCAGAAGTTTCAGGAGAAGATGGAAGCTTTTGTGAGGAGTCATGGGGGGAACACGGTGTCACATTGTGTACAGGCATGGGCGCTTGAACAATCTGGACAAGAAGTGGCCAGGAAAAACGAGTCATTTACCGGCAACAGAGTCATGATGCTTTCCAATGAGGCGTACACAAAGTATGTCCTCAATGCCGATGACACCCAGGCAGATGAATTCCCGACCTCCATATCAAAGCCAAGAACGATAGGAACGCAATGAGCAGGAACAAATGAGACATAGGCTGCTTCATACCATAGTCGGCGAGTCGCAGATTCATGTCAGCTACGTATGTCTCGACCTAAGTATGCAAGAGTGGAGTGATCAGGAGTGCAGAAGTGGATACGTGCATGCATGCAGACAGATTTTCCCTAGACTGATGAGAATCGAGAAAAAACGAGACAAAAGCAGCGAGTCAAATTATGAACAAAAATGCGGATGTATGTGAAAATGGAAAAGGATGTATGGATTTCAATGACTCTTTTGTCAAAACTAGATAAGAATGTGTTTCTCTTCGTCATATCTTGCCCTTTCATACGATTAAAGTGAGTTCTACCGAGACGTGTGGATATATATGCGGTTGGTTTACGAGATAAGATACGTGTGACATTACATGCGGTTTAGTGGGTAAGGGTTTGGCATCGTCTGAATGTCAACTTTGTTCGCAAGATTGATGTCAGGTCATGAGGAAAGAAGTGACGTTCGATGGACGAATGGGGGTGAGGAAGGTTGATGGAAGATGAGGGAGAAAAAGATGAAAGAGAGGATGGAAGTATTACTCACTCAACAACCGTTTGATAGATAAATTTGAAAGACCATACTGATCCTTTGATACGTTTGATAGTAAGTGAATAGAGTCCGGGAAGGTTTTTGATCCTACACAACTCGACGTGGAATTTGACTTCGTCACCCGAGTCGACACTGTGGATGTCAGCCGACTCTCGAATGTCTCCTCGGTTATCAGATGTGGGCTGAATGGTGACAACGAACGATGATCGTGGGTGAAGGCAGGTTCGGAATGGACAACACTAATGGAACGATCACTCACGAGTGTTCCCCGTATAAGGGTTCTTTGGTATTGGTGATAGCCGCGAGGGATGTAAGCGAGGGAGAGCTGAGCACATTATTACTCTCTGCCCTATTCAGGTTGGCAACATGTGACGAGTAGCTGCTGCCTCTTCGTAGCAACATGCCTTTGAGGCCTGATGAGACTGAAGAGCTGGTGGGGAGAGGTAGACCTCGGGAGTCGGTCTATGCATCAGTATCGATTGACATGAAGTGAACTGTAGCATTGCTGCCGAACATCATGATGACTTGCGATTGGTGCAACACATTTGGGAAGCAGCCGGAGGAAGAAGGAAGGGTATTTTGACACAGATCAGAAAAGGTCCTACTTACCTTGTTAGTCGAAGCATTCCCCATGAGAGTGAAACCCCTTCCTCCGGTGACACTCATCACGCTTCCCAGACCCAACCCCGTACTGGGTCCTGCCTTTCTCCTCCTCACTCTTACACATCTTAACTTGAACTCGTTCTCCCTCTTCACGTCGATGCCCATTTCTAACAATACATTGATCACCTCTTGCATGACCTCTTTCGGTGGGCGAGACGAGAGAGTGCTTTGGTCGACAACACCATGATGGACAGACATCTTACTATCGTCATATGTCCTATGACTAGAGGTACCTTTTGTCTGTCCCAATGTGGCGTGAGGCATCGTTGAACCGTGTGCTGACGAGAGAGCTTGACTGGGAGTTTGCGAGGTCGGGGTGGGGAGAGTCGATCTAGCTTTTGGTGATAATGGAGAGGGTATTATGACTGGAGGTAAAAGAGAAGTGGTAGTCGTAGGGATATTCGTCTTGTTATCCGCTTGCGACAGTGGCATCCTCTCACGTTGGGTCGAAGGAGACAAGGCGGACTTGGGCAAGGTCGCAGAATCTGGTACGGGTTCTGGTACATCTGCCACCAATGGCGGAGCACTCTCGGCAGTATGGGCGATGGAAGATGTTGAAGACATTGCAGCGGCGACAGTATCGATCCTCGGTCTTCCTCTCCCATCTGACACTCTGACGAAGGAACCAGTAGATTCTCCATCTCCATCAACTTCACCATCCACTTCGACATCATCTTTGACACCTTTGAACCCAGAAAGCGTGTCTTTGGCAAGGGATTTGCGTCGGAACCAATCCATGACTTTCTTCGCCGCATTGGAACTAGCTCCCTTTTGTGCCCCGGGTGGTGGAGTGACAACATCGACAGTGACCAAAGAAGTGGAGGATTGTTCCCTGTCGTGAGAACCAGGATGAATACCTTGACCGGTGATGACCATCGGAGGTGATTGTGCAGGGGTAGCAGAAGGAGCAGGAGGAGTAGCATTGGTATCTCGAGGGCTGAGGGGAGTCGGAGCGGGGGCAGTTGTAGATTTGCCTTCTCTGGGCGAAGCTGCTCGGTTTACCATGAGTTGTAAAGTTCGTCGACGAGTCTTCTTGTCTTTGTCTTTCTCCGGTTCCGCAGGTCGGGGACGTACAACACCTCCAGTGGGTGTTTGTTGCTTCGAAGCGGACGACGCAGTCTGATTTCGTTGAATAGCTGCAGCTGCACGTCCAGACGTCGGAGGAGCGGTTTTGGGCTCGTCGGCCACTTGTCCGAGTAATCGAGAGAAACCGAATTTGTCCAGTGACATACCCTTGCTTCTCCTTTTCGACTGAGCACTCTGGGTGAGCGGCTTGGGCAAACCAGCAGGTGTGAGAGCTGGCTTCTTGATAGGCTCCACAGTCGGCTCCTTCCGCTTTGGCGTTGTCTCGACTGCGGATAACGGCTTGCTCGCTCGAGGAGTAGCATCGATGTCGGTACGAATGGCCAGAGGAGCTCGGGGGGTGGTAGGCGAAGCGAGTCCTTCGGTCTCTCGACTGATTTTGGACCGAGTGGGTGTGCTCGGAGCGGAGGACTCTTTGACCTCTTCGATAATGACGGGTACAGACGTTCCGAGAGGAGGGAGTTGTTGCGATGCCTTGGGTGTCGGCCGTTCTGAGCTGGATATCGTTTCCAAGGTCTCCATCCCTTCAGCGCTCGGTGAAACGTGCTCCGATGAAGATGCCATGTCCACATCGCTAACGCCAAGGATGGGAGTAGGTCTAGCATCTTCAACGGAGTGAGTCTTTCGAGCGTCCATCGCCTCATTGACGCGTTCGTACGACGCGTCAAGATCGTATTCCACCTGGATAGTGTGTCGGTTGATATTAGCCGACATGGGCACCTTGCTCTTTTCATCGACCATTTCGGGTGCTTGTGGTGGGATGACTTGAGCTTCGAGGGCGGGACTGACGCGGGCGGACTCGTTCTCCACGGCTTTACTACTGATTGTAGTTCGATCTGAATAAGTTTGCACGAGTGCAGGTGCCATGGAATGAGAACGAGTTCGAGGGTCGACAGGAAAGGAGGCCGCGATCGCTGCAGGCGTCATGCTGACGCTCGGCATTGGTACCGTGCCATGTGTCGTGACAGATGCGGGGGCATTGACGGTGGAAGTCGAAGCTTCTGCGGCGATTGCCATGAGAGGTGGTGTGCGTCCGGCATTGTCGAGATGAAGAGGAATGGTAGATGCGCCTGCCATGGCGGTGTATGGTCGTTGACGTCTTCGTTCATCCAAGGCTGAAGCAGTAACCCCAGTCCCGGGAGCGCTGCTGTGACTTCGCATGAGGGCGGTACGAGCTTGCTTGGCGTCCCTCTGGAGCGACTGTCTTTGATTCAACTCCCTCTTGGCAGCCTGACTCTTCTTGTGCATATTCTCTTGGAAGATGGTTTCCTGCTCCTCCACCGTTTTGCCCAACTCGTCGGCGTGGGCCGAGAGCCAAGGGTGAACCATAATCTCCTGAACGGTACACCGATGTTCTGGATTGGGGACGAGCATCATTTGTAAGAGATGTCGGGCAAGGGGAGAGATGTGATCGGGAAAGTTGAGTTTCGTGGTCATGATATATTTGTAGAGTAGGTTGATATTGTCGCCCTCGGGGTTATTGGGATCGTCATCGTAAGGTAAGTATCCCGACAACATCGCGTACAAGATCACACCGCAGGACCATATGTCGACGGCGGACCCGACGTACAGGCCTTCTGAGACGACGAGTTCCGGCGCAGCATAGCAAGGTGAACCACAAGAAGTAGCCATGAGATCGTCTGACGCGTGGTTGAAACGATTCGCAAAACCAAAATCTGTGATGATGATATTGCGGTGCTTGTCGAGGAGCAGATTTTCGAGCTTCAGATCCCGATGGACGATGTGCTTCTTGTGCAGATAGTCGACTCCAGAGATGAGCTGTGCGAACAGCTTTTGAGCATCCTTCTCTTTCAAATATCGGTTGGCAAGGATATGGTCAAAGAGCTCGCCTCCTGAATAGTCAGCAAGAGTGCCGAGTTTCAACCACATGTAAATAACTCACCGCCGGCAAATTCAAGGACAATACCGATATACTTTTCAGTGTCTATCACGTCGAACATCCGTACGATATTGGGGTGTCGCAATGTCTGCATCCATCAGCGCGTTGATCGTAGCTATGCATGTACAAACTTACTTTGAGAACATCAATCTCTCGCTCCACTTTACTAGCCCTGACTTCGTCGTCCAAACTGCCACGCCTGATCAATTTGATGGCCACCTCCACACCGAACTCGGTGTGAACTCCAAGCTTGACCTTGCCAAATTCGCCCTCGCCCAACGTATGTAGCAACACATAAGGTCCAAATCCCACCATGGGTCTTCGAGGATGCTGCTGCCGATAGGCGTACACTGAAGGATGTAAAACCCACTCATCCGAAAGGTACTCTTGCTTTGGCGGTGAAGGGTTCTGTAGCGTTGAGCTTGGATTGTGCGATTGACGTTTACGCTGTGCTGCGGCTGACGACTGTGCTTGGGTAGATTGGGCTGTGTGAGTGACAGAGGACGCGTGAAGGGTGTTGGTGAAAGAAGGGGCGGGCGCAGGGAGGGGCACAGGCATCGGAGGCGCGTAAGACTTGGCTCTTGTGGGCTGAGGAGGTAGTGAACCAAACTCGTCTGCTGCAGAGGAAGGTCCGACGATGGCTGGAGGACGACGTGATGATTGAGAAGGAGGTGCCGAGGGTCTGAAAGAAGGTGGACGGGTTGGAAGATTAGAAGAAGTGGAAGCTTGGACTGCGGTGGGCATTGTCAAAGGAGTGGCCAGTGGGTGGGGAAATCTCTGAGAATGAGAATCGGAAGTGCCAGCGGCGAAGGGATCCGACATGGATAGAGCGAGGACGGATGTCATGAACGCTGTCGAGGTGGATAGAAGGGGTGACGAGCTGCTGATAGGTGACTGTAGAGTGTGAGCAAATGAAACGATCGCGTCTTAGATTGAGCGTGTCTCAAACAAGATGGGGTGGGTGATACAGAAGCAACGATGATGAGATGATAGATGAGTGAACAGATGATTCGAGGGACGATGAGCGGTTGACAAGAAGCGGATCGCATGTGATATGGGGATGGTAGGGGTAAAGAAGGATGGAGATGAATGGTAAAGAGAAAGGACTGACCGAGGTTGGATTGAGCTCGAGTTACTCTAGGCAAGAAGGGGGGGGGGAGGGCGTCGTAAAGGTCCTTTCTACACCAAACAAATAAGTTGGCTCTCTCTCCCTTGACACTTTGTGTCTTTCCTCGTTCCCACCTATGCTAAAATGAGTCTGTAGTGCACACACTGATGATAAGAAGGATGTTCTTCGCGTGACTGTATGAGGGATGGTCTGTGTGGTTGGACGGATGCAAGGGTGTAGTGGGGGGAGGGGAGAGTGATGAAACGCGCTGATGGGGAAGATGCCGTGAGGTGAAAAGAGAGGTCCGTGTGATGTCCCAAAAGGTTGGCCGTCTTTGTCTCGTATGGCACTACTGTGATTGAGTGACAAATCCCGTATGTGCAGATGGATATGGGTGGACGGGAACTGAGTGAGAGGATGAGAGAAGTGATAGGGTGATGTTGGGATGTGATTGAATGGAGCTTGGTGGTGTTGATCAAAGATCCAACATGGCAACGAGGGCATTGAATGATTGATACGACTAGGTGAGGAAACACACAGCCCGCTCGCGTTCAAACCGCAAACTGTCTACTAATGAAAATTACTGTAAAAGGTAATTCTCCCTTATAGCAAGGTTTCGAAATCGACGCGACTGAATTTACTTTATCGTCCAACAATAGAGATTTGACCGTGTGGCAGATGCATATCCAGTCCAGTCCGGTCCGGGCTCCCATGCTTACGAGAGACTGTCCCCGATGGCCAACAGACCGTAGAATGACAACATGCAGCATGCTTGCACCCTTGGATGACGTACAACCTGAGCTTACGGGGATCGAACAAGTGATACGGTGCAAGCATGCAAGTGAGGACGGGTGATGGTGGCGGCGTGGTCGATAAGCGACCCACAAACGTGGCACTAAGAGCGATATGCAACATGCATGCTCACAAGCTATGCCTACAAACTTACACAGGCAGCTAGACCCAAGTGACCAATCATACCTTCATAGTCGCCTCCGGTGAGCTATCCGCCAAGGGTGCTTGACTTGGGAATCAAGAGTAGCTCAAGAGCATCCGCCAAGCACGCCAAGATGATCTCAGCCACCTGCATGATTTGTTCTATGCACTCGTTGAATGCCCCACTTCACCATCTCCATCTGACCTTGCTATTAGTGTACATGTTCTCAAAGATAACTCAAGATCGAACGTCTGCTAAATGACCCCGATGCTGTCCGGTCACGTGTTGAAATTTCTGAAACGTCAGGCACGCGTTTCATCCGGTCCGAGACATCTCTAAAATGGGGAGACTGAATAAATAGAAGGAAGGGTCACGTGTTCCTCTCATCTCCCCACCTTTCCTAGCTGCATGCTGCAGCCCATGTCGAATGTTCTGCATGTCCAACTTTTGGATATCCAACGTCCGACCGGGTCATCCACGCAAGAATGAGCAGGCTATTTGATATCGAATCGTCCCTATCAGACTTGACAGCGTCTCAGGCTCTAGGAAGGGTGATCGAGGAGATCTATCACAACAGCTCCAACACCCCTCAAGATATCTTACCTCTCATACAACTCGGTCTGGCTCGAGCACAATCTAATCTACTTCAAGTCGAAGAGGATCTTCGTTCTTCTTCAGAGAGCTTCGGTGGGAACTGGAATCAAGCAGATGTGGAACAAGTCAAGAGAGTTTTGAACGAGAAAGGACATGAGGAGATATTGAGGAATGCGGTCATTCTTGATGATCTCCGACGACGATTAGAGACATGGTGTGTTATCTATCCCACCTACACGCAATTCGAGGACCCGATGGACAATGAAGAGAAGGCGTCCGTAGCGAGAAATGATCAGGATGAAGGAATGGAGATTGAAGATCCTTGGGCTGAACCTGGAGATGAGAAGGACGTTCAGGAAGATGTCGCAGTTGACGATCCTTGGGAAACTGGTTCGAGTCACTCTCTCGAACAAGACAAGCCATCAAGACTACCAGAACGTTCCGAATCGATGGAAGATATTCTTGAATTGCCAAACATAGATCTTCATTCCTTCCTGACAACTCCCCTCATCACCTCGGCATTGTCTCTAGCTACTGCAGGTTCCATAAGGACTCACAAAACTGTATGTGAACGACATCCCGAATTATGGCCATTCCGTTTCACTCTGATATCATCTATACCAGCTTGGGTCCCTCCTGCCGAACTTCAAGCCAGCGGTCTTCTCCCTGGTATCGGACCAGATAATATAGAATTACCATGGCCATCTCCCTCCCAGTCGCATACTCCTTCTGGCTCGTCAACGTCATTCTCGGAAGTCCTTCGTAATGTTTACCCACCGTGGCAACCTTCAGAAGATATAGTAAAATATGCCCGACCACTATCAGCGGAACAACTTTCTCAATGGTATGTCCAACGTATAGACACTTTGGATAACTTCGGTTTACTCGATATTCAACTAGCTTGGGTTCAACATGGTGCTTCACTCTCCGTTCCCTCTTTAGACGCTTTGGGCGAGGATTTATCTTTATTATCTCGATTAATATATGACTCTCACCTTTCTCCCGCACAACAAGCCCAATGGAATTTAAAGACTTGGCGTTCTTCCAATGAATCTGAAATCGTCACAGCTTATCTGTCCAATTCGACACCATTGACAATTGTCAACGATATCAAATCTTTGATTCTACCATATCTTTATGTATTAGATAGTAGAGCAGAAAGATCAGGTCATCCTGATTCCAAACTGGTCGAAAGACAACTACACGATGCCATTCTGTCCTTATCACTACCACTTGTTCTTCCCATATTCGAAGCGTCAAAAGCTACACTCTCTTCACAAGAACGGTTAATCAAGAACGATCTTACTGTCGCTAGACTCGCCCTGGCATGTCTGTATGGTAGTCAACTCAAAAATTCATTCACCGTCATGTCCGCGATATTCGAATGTTTACCAGTATGGGATATCTCAAATTCAGACCCTGATGATAAAGAAGCGACCGCGACTACGTTGGAAAGTATAGCTACTTTTGTACGTCCTTCCAAAGTTGGTGATGCACCACCTAGTGCGAAAGACTTGTATCTGTTCTTTAAACCATTACCTTTTGCCTCACTTTCCGCCGCGTTAGACATTTTGGATGTGCATCTGGAAAGTGGGGAGGTTTTAGCGAGATGGGGAGTTCAAGTTCATTTGAGAGATTTGTTACAGAGTGCTGGAGATAAAGGAGAGCAGAGGAGTTTGGCAGAAAGGTTGGTGAGACGTCAAATGGGAAAGGGTCTGGGAATGACGGAATGGGAACAGGTTTGGGCGGATATGAAAAGACTTGGGCCGAAGGATGGGAACGAGGGAGGAGGGGGATTGAAAGGAGCTTTTGGGTTGTTAAAGATGGAAGAGTTGGTGAGGGTTTACCTGGGTGGGGTGTTGGGTTCGGGGAGTGAGTTCTCGCCTTCTCTTTTTCTCTCTGAATTTCCCACTTGCTCTTCAACTCCTTCTACAGGTCCATCGCTGCTGGTCGAGGTTACTGTAAATCAACCACTGAACTGCCTTACATTCAGCGGGATCTGCATGACCAAATCCTCTCTACTTGGTCGCTTCACCTAAGAATGCGAGAAAGTCTTTATATCCGCAAATGACTGAGTGGACCCATGTGGTTGTCGACATGAACTGATCACTGACCATCAGAATTTGACATCGCTCGCAAGATCGTCCGCAAGTTGGAACAAGAGCACAACCTCTCGTCTCATATTCTGGAAGAAACCGTGTTGACAGTTTCGAGGGAATTTTATGAAAATGCAGAAAGTGGGAATCTTACTACGGGAAATATGAAATTAGCATATGATTGGTGAGTTTGATTCGTCTCCTTTCCCCACCCATGAGCTTACCAACCCGTTACTGTGATAAGAATTACACTTGGAAAGTCGCTAATATCAAGTTTATCAGTGACACCCACTACACCAAAGATCCAATCTCAACGTTCTTTCATCGAAGCAACTTCTAAACTATGTTCTTTCTATCCTTTCCCGCCACTTACAATATTACATTCCTCTGATAGACTTTCTTTCATTTCGCAGATCCTTTCACCTCCTTCCACATCGCCTTCTACATCTTTGTATGTTCAAAACGGTCTATCGACAGCTACACAATCTAATAACTCTCCATATGCTCATTCTGGACTCTCCTCGTTTCCTCATTCATCACCTAAACCTCAATCTTCTGCGGTACATCACCCGGAGATAATCTTAGATTTAGTTGACAAACTGGGTTACGCAGGGGATGTGATAGCTCGAGCTCAAGTTTTGGGCATGTTGACTCGAGCGGCAATACGTGAAAAGGAATATGATCTCGCATGGGAACATTGTGAAACATTGATTGATTTAACTCACCGGTATCCTTCTTCACGTTCATATCATCATTCACGATCTCAAAAAAAATCACATGATCATCGTTCTGTTTCTCCATCACGTTCCCCTAATTTATCGGAAACACAATCGTCGAAGATCAACTCATCTCTTTCTCCTTATACCAAATCACCAGGCTCGTCTCGACATGTACAAAACGCCAGAACACCTCAGATAGAAGAACAGATGTCTTCACATGATAAGAGAAGCAAGAACGGATCAAAGAAGAGACAAAATGGTTATGACGATATAAAAGAAGTATGTTGGAAGACCTGTTTTGAACTATCGAAAGTTTCCCCAATGGTGGAAAAACGTGTAGTACTCTTAGGTCGGACATTAGAATTTTGTCCTTCTGAACAAATCGTACAAGTGTTGGAATTATGGAAAGAAGTTGAGAAATCCTTTTTGTCAACTCATAAAGCCACCATGGACCAAGATGATACGTCAACAAGGTCGACCCTCAAAACAAGTTCTGACAGTCGTACAAGATTTGGAAAAGGATACACCACCTCTTCTCAGGCAACGACAATCTCGAAAGATGAATTCCGAAATGAAGTCGAGGAAAGGGGGAGTAGAGGAAGAATCAAAAACGTTCATACGGCATTAGACGCATTGAAACATCTTCCAACACCATTCTCTTCACCTACTTTCGTCTTACCTTGGAACAGTCCAAAACCAAGTTTGGAGAGAGACATCATGGCTAGAATAGGTGGGGACGATATGGATCGTACTGGTTCTGGTCATTCTCAAACCAACTCGGAAGGTCATAATCATTCTCAAACCGACTCGGAAGGTCATAATCTTGAAATTGGAGTTGGAAGTAAAGTGGGAGGTAGAGTAGGGATAGATGAGAAAGAAGGGATGGATGATGGTGATGGGATAGGTTTAGGAATGAAGTTAGGTCATGTTTTCGGAGAAGAGAGTGATGCGGAAAGAGTACAAAGACATGCGAAAAGGGCTTTGGTCAAAGGTGTCGGATGGTTATTAGGTGCAGATGAGTGATATGTAAATGTTGTATTAATGTATCGGTTCTTAGAGACGACTGAATTACTCTACGAGTACTCTGATTCGGCGGTGGAGTGACAAATATGGAAGTTGTTACTGGACTTGTTTTGAACAGATCATGATTGACTCTTTGACAGGCAAGATAAGATAAGTTTGTTAAGTAACTTCACTCGTACTCTGAATCTATCGTTCCACATGGTAAGGATGAACTTGTTTCGGTGGATGATGTTAGGTTCTCGTTGTAAGTTACCACTTCAACATGCTTGGTCATACTTGAACAGTGAAAGTCAAATAGGAATTGAGATTGGCATACACATTGTCTTGTTTGTGTTGCAAGAAAACTAGAGAAATTGCGGACTCTGGTACATATATTGGTCAGATATTAGTCAAGGTCGAATTCAATGCATTATCATCACAATGCCTAAATGTTTGAATTGTCCAAATCATCAATAAAAAAATCGTTTCAAATCGATCTCGTTCCTTACCATTTCTCATCTTCTTTTCCTCTCTTACATCCCCGCTTGTCCCCTGATACCTTTACCCTTCCCACTCTCTCTCCATCACGCCTAAAATCTGTTCCTTCACAACCTTGCAAAAATACCACGCAAAATCACAATCCCTCAACTGTCAATCCCTGTCCACTCGGACCATTCACTTTAGCTTTTCTCCTTCCTCCTCTCTTCGAACCCCTCTTCCTTATTTTACGCACTTTGGGATCTTTGGGTTCCCATTCCGGTCCATCCAATACGATCTCTCTTCCCGGTCTACCCTCTTCACACGCTCCGGGAGACATGAGAACCAACGATGGGACCTTTGTTAGACCTCCATGAGTGGTCATTTTGGAAGTTGGAGTTTTCTGTGTTTCTGGTGCGCAAGTGGGTTTACTAGAAGATATATGTTCGGAAGGGTATTCATATGATGATGTTGAATGTGGGTGGGACGACTTCGATGGGGTGGTCATATGAGAGGTTTTAAGCATAGAAGTAGTGGATGTGGTGGGAGTGGTTGAAATGATATTTTTAGAGGGTGTGGAAGGTTTGATGAAAGATTTTCTGAAACGATCAGGTATAACAGGTACTTCAGGAATATCCTCGGATGAAGATTTGACACCCCAAGTTAATTGATGTTTTAACCTTTCAATAGATTGTTGTCTCTTAGGAGTCAACTTTCTTTCAGTTGTAGTTGGTTTCCCATTGGTTGACAGTTGATCTAAAGGTTTCGTAGGGGAAGGATAAAAGAATCCGTCTCCTGGTACAGAAGGTTCTCTGGTGAAACCTAAATTTCTACGATGAGGTGAATCTAATTCAAATCTCATACTTTCATCTGATTGTCCTTCGGAAGGTAACCATCCTCTATAAAGTCTACCGTCGGTATACCACATATTCTGTGGTGCGAGGAAAGTTCCTTGTTCTTTCGTATCTTTTCCCACTAACGATGTCGATGCGACAGAAGTGAAAGATGTAAGAGCTGTCGTTATCGATGTGAGGGATTTTCGTGCGCGTAATAAGGAGCTACCGACTATCCCGACCGAATAGCCATTGTCACTTGAAGCGCTAGTATCTCTAGTACTTCTAGAACTGATAGAGACTCCACTTGTCGTGTTGTTGGGGTGTGAAGTCACAGTACATTGGACAGGAGAGGTCAATGCTGGGATCGAGGTAGAAGCAGAAGGATCAGGATGTAATCGAGGTGGTCGAGCAGCTATAGGTTCAGGTCGGAACTTCTCCACTGTAGGGAAAGATGAGGTCGTATCGCACATAACTGGATACATGGTGACTTTCGCTTCCGCTGCAGCTGGTGCAGATAACTTAAACTTGCTTTCCTTTTCCATTATCGCCTCTTGTCCAGGACCCGCGGCAGGGGCAGCAGGATTCATGGGAAACCCGAGTTGGAAGAATCCTTCTCGAAGGGAATCAGCCCATGTTTTCTTTTTTATCAAAGCCGGTTGTGACTGATGTTTCTGCAACAACTTGGAAGGTCGATCCGCATACTTTCGAACGATTGGGAGGTCACCTTCCGCGACGGGCTCAATCTTGCTCGGTGTGGTGTCAGGTGTAACGTCGTCAACTGGAGGTAAAGGGGAATGTTCAGAGGAGGGAGAATCAAAAGTATCGTATTCCACTGCATTCTCCATCACCCTTCTTGTGAGGTTTCCCATATCCGACTCAGAGCTGCCATTCACCGGCCTGTCGCCCTTCGTTCCGCGTTGTTTCCTGTCGGCACTTCCAGATGGGTTTGTACGGGACAGAGCTCCAGTATCTGAAGTATCATCCGCTGATTCTGATTCCGTAGAGTCGGAAGAACCTTTATAACTATTGATCTCCTGAAGCAAATCGTCATAAGCCGCGTCATCGACGTCCAATCCATATTCAGCAGGAATAGGTTGATAGCCATAACTGGTACCCAAGCCATATCCGTCGTCTTCTAACTCAGGGCCAGATATCTGGTTCCCTCGATCCAAGCTTGAGGTGGTGATCTGACTGGATGTGGTCCGCGTCGACGAACGTGAAGATGACGCAGGGCCGTCAAAAAGAGACAAGTCTGAACGATCCTGATTTGAATGGGTTTGATCATGTCGTGGAAGGTTGAGCGGGAGAAGAGGAAGAGGAGAAGAAGGGGATGAATCAACCTTTGACGATCGTAGTGGGAAATGCCAGCTTTTAAACTTTCGCAACGAAGGTGAACCTTCTTCTGATTGTTCTGGTTTGAGAACCTTGGGCCGCTTTTCATCCGTGATCTCACCCATCTCCACTTCCTTTAGAATTTTATCCGGGTGATCCTCCATTGACCCCTGGAAGGAGATACTTCCATCAGGTTCGCCCGTCATTGACCTGTGAGAAGAATCGTAGCTCTTGTAAGCTATCATCGACTGTTCGAAGGACGAATCATTTCCACCGGACGTATCCCCAGATGCTGGCGGCGTTGAGGAAAATACAGCTCCCGTCCCATCCCAGGCATATCGCGAAACAAATGCTGAAGTCGGCGCTGAGGCACTTGTCGGTAAGCGGAAAGAGTCCCTGTCGAAGTCGGTGAAAACATCCTCATCACCGTCCCCACATAAATCCTCTTCATCAACCGCCATTGATATTTCCTCCAAGTCCTCTTGGACGTATTCTCCATTGAGTTCATTATAGGGTTTAGCCTCTGTCGCACGCTTGGTAGGTGGCTCGGCCCTATTGTCAACATGTGAGAGGTGGATATCTTCGTTTGAATGTAGTCGAATCAAAGGAGAGGACTTCGAGATGAAATGTTTGATGGTAAGTTGCGAATCGTTTGATTCCATCGTCGGGAAACTAGGTCGTTCCACAAGATCAAGTGCGGGTCCTAATGGTCCCCTCAAACCTTTGCCTTTGACCGCAATGGCCGATGAACCATCCGATCTCTGTGGTGAGGAGACGAAGTCAGACAGGCCAAGTGGGGAACGTGGTCTTGAAGAAGGCGAATCCTGTACTCCCACGACCCAACGTTTAACTTTTTCCTCCGATCTCGTCCTGACCGGCGTTTCCCTGCTCGAGTTCAGATTTATATTCTCCTTGCTCCTAGACTCTGCCAATACGTGTTTCCCTCCCAATGGCCGAATAGTACTAGCATCGTCCGACATGCCTGGGCTGACCGGAGTTCCAGAACGCACTACTCCCATCTTCAGTTTCACGTCAACATTCTTATCGGAATCATCGGCAATGTTTGAGACAGATGATCCGCGATCTGCCATCCCCTCTTTTCTCGATCGGATGGAATTACTGCTCTGAACTCTTCTGATACCCTCTCCACCTTTGTTCAACCCTAATCCGATATCAGGCATAGCTTTAGCTGTCGCTCGGAATTTCTTCTCACCTTTGGGTGATGGTTCGGGACCTTGCAAACCGAATATTCGATCTCTCCATCCTACCCAGCTCTGCTCTCCATCCTGCGAAGTCTTTGTCATACGTTCCGCCTCCGCGCGTTCATGTTTGTACACTGCGTAACGCATCAAGTCGTGAGACCGATGCCAATTGACGTGGGTGGCAATATCCGCGTGAGGCAAGTCGGGGGGTCCGTCTCGACCTTCGTCTGTGTCTGAAAACTGGAGTATTCGACGTGATCTCTTTTCCGATTCTGGTGTGACTATACGGGTATGTTGGAACCCCGCTTCGGACAGGATCTGATCGAAAGACACGTATCCTACTCTAGATCGGAGGGGATCTTGAGGCTCGTAGGGTGCTTGGCTTATGTCTGGGATGATGGGGCTGGGTAATTGAGATGCTACCGGGACGGTACCAGTGGATGCAAAAGACGTGTAAGGGGCAGCTCGAGAGGGTGAGAAAGGTGGAGAAATGGTACTGTCGATAGAGGGCGCGGGATAAGACGCGAATTTACTACGCCCGGAAGAGGTGGATGTTCGACCGTATGATTGAGCAGAGCTGGAAGGACGAGATTCGCGAGGAGAGGCAGGACGTGATTTTTCGATTGTTATAGAACGGAGGGAAGAGCAAGATGATTTCGTCGAAGTGGTCGTGGACGAAGTGGATTTTCGTCGAGCTGGTATTGATGGATGAGGTATCACAGAGGACGCGCAGGCCTGATAGTCAGCGCAGATACGATGGTGAGGGACGGCCGACGAACCATGCTGTGGCTTCTAAGTTATTGATATGGATGGAGGAAGATTGGAATGAAGGTGAAAACGAAAGTCGAAGACGAATGGGGGATGACAGTTACAGGTCAGGGTGAGGTGTATGTTGTTGTGTGTGTGTAGGTGTAGCCGGTCAAACACACAACGATCCCGAATGGGACGTGATCACACACAGTTGCTTGGATGTTTGTAGATACCCGTTTTGTCTGAAACAACGACGGCAAGAGTTACCCAAGTTGGAGAGATGACAAGAAGAAGACAAAGTAAAAGAAAGGCAAGATGTTTGGGTGTTGATCTCTGCCCAAAGCCCGGGTTTCACGACACAGTAGTGGCGGAGATAAAGCAGTCAGCTTCTCCTATTGGCTACTGGAACCTATCTCGTAAAGACATGAAGGTCGTCAAGAGGTCATTCACAGTCACAAGCAAAGAGTAAAGAGCGATAGTAGAAGAGCATAGTAATGGATAAAGTGACGGACAGGTTTGTAGAGTAAACTCGGGTTGTTTTGTGAGGAAAAAGTGGAAAATCACACGCGTAGGGCAACGTGACACATGGCTTTTGGCTGCAGCTATCGAGTACATATATCTCCTACTCGGCACACAACCTTTGTCCCATCCCATGGTCACTTTCACTACAGATTATAAGCGGCTACCAACCGCTCCATCCGAAGACCCTGGCGGCATAAAGGGCATTCTCTTTTATCCAACCCGCCCAGACATCCCCAGCAAAACACATGTCCACACTCGGTCACTCCTACCGTTCCCCCGCTTCCTTCCCCCGTTCCGCGTGGCTCGAGGCACAGAGTGCATTGTCTCCCGCTCAGGATTTGAGCGGAGGGAGAGAGATATGTATTGGGTCGATCGTAGTCTTTAGTCCGAGCGGATAATAGGACGACTTCGTTGTTCGGTGGAGGGGTCAGTGGGGGGGATAGGGGAAGTGAGGAGAGTGGTACTGATGAGAAAGCGAGGTTCGGTGGAGGTGTGATAGGGTCAGATTGGGCACGCATACGAGTAGAGATTAGACGGTTGAGAAGGGCTATCAACAGAAGCAGTCCTAGGGGTTCGTAGGAAGGTGTTTGCTCTGGGGGTCGAGCAGGAAGAGTGGAGATCTGCCTGTCAGATTTAGGTCCTCTTTTAGCTCCTTGTGCCAAAAGCATCCACCTTTATTGTACCGCCGAGGTTAAACAAAGATGTTTCCTCTCGACGCAGTATGTGCACAAGAGTGGCGAAGAAGTTCCAGTTCAGCACTCACATATGTCATTCCTGTCAGTCTCCTGGCAAGGTCGAAGAACCGACCCCTTAAGAGAAACGCCACGAGATGCAACTCTGCCCCGATTCTGGCCCACGGCGACTCTAATACATCCGCCAAACTTCTCTTAGTCCTGCACCACCTCGAATCGTCGTTTCTGAGGTATGTGATAGTACTCGGACTGGTGAGGATGGAAGGGATTAGCAGTAGTATAATAGTGACCATCCTCCGCTAGAGTCTTAGCATCTCTCCTTCCGCTCGTCGACACCGTTAATTGAGACACCCTGGATGTATCTCGTTTGACCGATAAGGATATTATGATTGCGAGGAATATACTCACCGTACGGGAAGGTAATCGTCGTGACTTGGAGGCAAAAGGCACGATATCGGTATATTCCTCTCCTAGTGTTTGTTGACCTCTACCAAGGGTGAGGAAGAGATACACGGCTCGAGTAGTGAGATCCACGATGGTCTGACGATGTGCGAGCCATCTTGTTCCTACGAATCAGCAACCACCCTCCACTGTATGACAGCGACCTCATCGCCGAGCCGTGATAGATGGTCAAAGTTTCAGTGCGACACGGAGTGATTTGCTCCCTTGTCAGGAATGATGCCAGATGGAGTAGACGTACCGAACAAAGATCTGAGAAGCTCTGCAGCTAATTCTGTCAATCGGTGGATCTGAGAACTGTCCCTCTGTTGAGCCCTCACTACTATGGGTTAGCGTCTGCAAAGTGGGAGTGGGAGGTAGACAGGCATACAGATCTGGGCCTGTGACGCTGGCGGGAACGAGAGACGATCTTCTTGTACATTGACTACAGATTGAAGGGGAGGAGGTAAGAGGGGCTGTCTTGATGGTCCTGGGTCCATGTTCACGTCAAAGCAGCGCTGCTGGAGTGTTCGTAGCGAGATAGCAGTAACTTACTTAAGCAAGAGGTGGATGACAGAATCCACACAGAATTGCCCAAAGAAGCGATTTTGACAAATCACTGCAAACCACTTTCCCCCTTCTCGCCTGACATCCTTTTCATCTTGTCACCTTTTCGTATCAGACTTGAATTGTGCGCGGCACTGAACATAGTACGGAGAAGTACCTCTGACACACACTTTGGATTGGATCACGTCGGATGAGTGAACACCCGTGGAAGAGAAGATGACGGTTCATGATTATCCTACCTTTTCCGACTCGCCGTTCTTCTTCGACAACCGATTCTTGTCCATCCCCGAGGATGAAGCTGCGATAGTCCGGGTGAGTCTACGCATAGCTTCAACTTCTCTCTATGACTGGACACTCATATGGTCATGCAAGATGTGTGAGGGAGAGAGAAGATGTTGCTGACACCCAGCCTCATTCTTTACCCAAGGTATCCTACTATCATCCCAAAGGTGTGGGCGAATATCACTATGGGGTGTGTTCTTCCTTCTCATCTCTTTTCCTTCTCTTATCGTCACTCTCGCTCCCCTTCACTGATCGCCGCCCACATCGAGCATTTTCTCACCCACTACCTCTCATACTACTTTGGGACCATGCGTGGACGATAACCGCAGCCGTGCTGACTCACAGGACCGCCACCCTATGCGTCCCTTCCGATTAGAACTCACCACCCAATTAGCCCTAGCTTATTCACTACACGAAAGAATGACCATCCATTCCCCTCGATTAGCCACATCAGAAGAAATGACAATGTATCATTCTGAGGATTACGTAGACTTCCTCCAACGCGTATTGCCCGCTTCGAAATCCGCCATAAAACTCAAGAATCTATTGGAATACGGTGAAAAGAAATATAATGTCGGTAATGATTGCCCTGTCTTCAGCGATGTGTTTGAATTTTGTCAGAAATATACAGGAGGGAGTTTAGCAGCTGCTAAGAGGTTGGTCAGTGAGGGAACGGATATTGCTATTAATTGGAGTGGGGGTTTACATCATGCAAAAAAAGGAGAAGCGAGTGGATTTTGTTTTATAAATGATATTGTTTTAGCTATTTTAGAATTACTCAGGTGAGTTTTCCACATCTATTTCACTCTCGTACCCTCCCCCCCCCCCCGGTCCCTTCCTGCTCCATGCTAGTCTTCTCCTATCGCCGAGAAGCATTGGTAATGTTTACGACTGACTTTATAGGGTTCACCCAAGAGTACTTTACATCGATATCGATATTCATCACGGTGACGGTGTTCAAGATGCTTTTTACCTTTCCGATCGTGTCCTCACAGTTTCTTTCCATAAATACGGCGGACTTTTCTTTCCCGGTACTGGTGGTCTTTCAGAGACAGGTGCAAAAGATGGTAAAAACTTCGCCATCAACGTTCCTCTGAAAGATGGGATAGATGATGAATCATACATTTCATTATTCAAGAATATCATAGAACCCACAATTTCCCGTTTTCGACCTTCTGCTATAGTACTTCAATGTGGAGCCGATAGTCTAGGTGCGGATAGATTAGGAACTTTCAACCTCTCAATAGCAGCTCATGGAGAATGTGTCAGATTCGTCAAATCTTTCGGATTACCATTACTCGTTTTGGGTGGAGGAGGATATAGGATTTCTTCAGTCGCTAGATGTTGGGCGTACGAAACTGGTATTTTGACTGGAGTCAAGATGCCTGATCAATTACCAAGGACAAAATATCATGAATATTACGCACCGGATTATTCTTTACATCCTCCTTTAGCTGGAGGAAAGGAGAATAAGAATAGTCCTGTTGATTTGGAGAAGATAAGATTCGCTGTTATGGAGAAATTGAGGTATATTGCCGCGGCACCGAGTGTTCAGATGCAGGAGATACCACCTGGCTTGGAGGATTTGTTGAAGACTAGGCAGGATGATTAGGACTTGAGTGAAGTGGCCTGGTCATCAGATGCTCGAGGGAAAGAATAGCCCTGCAAGGAAAGACGTGGAAGAGGTGGTCGAGCTCCTGTACGACTATCTTCCGCTGAACTTTCTTAGCATTGATTCAATCATCCAGGCGACTTTTCCAATTATCAGTCACGCCAGTCTCCACTCATCATGACATGGTCAGTCGACGGACGAGTGCTCTCTCAGTTTGGACAACCCCTCGCGTAATTGATTCCGGCATCAGACGGGCCCCACCATACATCGTCGGGATGTCAACGACCGAGTTGGAGTATCGAGTGGAACGCGGCGGTCTCTCGTCTCTCCGTTTCAAGAATATCACCAAAAACACCTTGTCATATATCTAACATGCATGGACATCCCCCTTTCGATCTTTTCGGATCCTCATAAAGCCTTCCTATGTCCTCTACGTCTCAATAACCTTTTCCCCAAAGCATACAACGCCAAAAAAGCAGTTTGACCCAAAATCAGTCTAAACACCGGATCCCAATCACTCTTCTTCGACGGTGTCAAACCTAATTTACGTAAAAACCTAGCATTATTGGATCCTATTCTTCTTTTCAACGGTTCCATCTCTTTCCCCTCTGCACGTCTCGGATCTGATCTCGGACGGTCTTCTTCATTTTGCTGAGGAGGAGTGGAGTGATCGGGGATATCTTGATTTGAAGATGTGTGGCCTTGGAATTGATAGAGTCGGTCTTGGACAGCTATAAGGATTTCGTTTTGCCAGAACTGGGCATCAGGATGGGATCAGGTTCAGACTTATTTTGAACGATACGTATTATATGCAGTGATGTAGATGCAAGCTTGTCCTCGAGGGTATAAGATGTAAATCTATCTAGGATCCAGTTTGGTTGTAGAAGGAAATTCACAAGAAAAAAGGGATCATGTTTGAGGGAAAGAGACAACTCACGTTGAGCTCAAACATTTCTTTATCCCATGCTCGTACTGCCGACCGCATCGACGTAGCTGCGTCCATGAGGATTTTCTGTTTCTCTTCCATCGCTACGAGCCGACCGAACATATCACCTCCGGAATGTCTGATATCAATCATCGAATTCTCATTTTCCACAATCCAATACGATTAAATGTTGAACTCAAACGGAATAAGCTCGAAACAATCGCACGATGTGTTCATCCGCGTTACAGTCGTTAGAAAGTTTATCGAGATGAGTCAGGCGGAAAGCCTGGGATGCGGGGAGTGTAAATGTGACGTCAAGTGGTATCTATAGGGAGCACGAGGAGAAGGGATAGAAGTCGACTCACCCTTCGGACGAATGATGACCTTCCCTCACATAAATATCCATCACTCGTCCCAGATGCTCTATAGCTTCAAGCATACGATCCTGACTATGTTCAAGAATATCGTCCATCACTTCAGAACCGGTATTGAACGTGATCACTTCTGTCGGCTCGGGTTCAGGTTCTTTTACTGTAGCAGGGAGATCTGGGATTGGTTGGAGATGAAGTTTGTCCTCGAGACCGTCGATGCATACGACTATGTGTCAGGGTGTAAAATCCTGTTGAGAAATGTCATGTTCGAGAAGGGCAGGGCATAAGGAACGATGTGAAGGACCCGACTCATGGGTGCTGAAATTATTGTAGACTTAATGGAACAATGGAACATACCATATTGAAACTCATGATCCTGAAAGTCATCCTGTACTTCACTGTCTATAACTGATTTCTTATCCCACACCATGGCCATGGGTTCCGGATTGATAGGTTCTTCGAAACATCTTGCACTTCTCCTTCCTTGATGAATCGCTGTATCAACGTTATCTCTCACTATCCAATTTTTCAATCCTGCTGCTGCTATTCCAAAACCCATATAATCTCCCTTGATACTATTACCCAAGACCCTTCCACCTTTAAGAACCGTTTCCGTGTCATCTGACCAAACGGCTGAACCTAATCCTATACCCACTCGAATCGTCCTGGATTCCGCCGTTATGGTGTTTCCTTCAATGACAGTCCCACTGTAATCCCCATCGAAAGGAGCAGCATCAACAGCTAAAATACCTGCCATTGCCGATAACGTTCTCGTTGTAATTGTATTTCCCGTGACTTCTGTCCCTGGTGCACAATAAAGTACAACAGCAGCATCTGTATTATCGTAAAAAGTATTCCCTTTGACTTGACTATTTCGACATGCTATACTTATCCCATCCGCTAAAGGTCGACCTAAAGGTGACATTTCAGGATCTGGTCCATCGACATTTGAATCATATTCTTCTCCAACTGGACCTATTTGATTTTCTTCAATTAAAGCACTTGTACATTGTAATTTATCTCCTTCTCTAATATGAATAGCTGTGAAACCTCTTGGATCTTGAATTGAACATTGTCGGATTGATTGACCTTCATTTCCTCCTAAAACTACCAATCCTGTAGATTCTCCTTCCACCACTCGACCTAATTTCGAACGGTTTCCGTCTATGACAAGAGATCGGATACTTACTCTAGCACAACGTCGACAATCACCTTGAACAGCAGTAGCGAGTATATTCGATTCTACACGTAAGATAGCTCTTTCGGATCCAGTGGGATAACCGAAAGTGGCCAGCTCTTGATCGGCTGCGGTGAAGACGATGGTTCCTGATAATCGATATACTTTAGAGGGACAGAGAAGGACTTTGGTACCAGGTCCGCCGTCAATGAAAAGCTGGTTGATAGAGTCGTAATCTGCAAATCGGAGACAGGTCGGTGCTGCTGATATGGGGGGAATGAGGAGACAGAGGAGGAGGAATGTGAGAGTTAGGTGAAGGAATGTTGGAGGGGAGTGCGTGTTGGTGCTTGACGAGACACCAGAAGGTCTTCTTCGACGACGGTTGTGAGGTTGAGTGACTCCTGGCATGACAGATAATTGTATGTTGGGTTTCATAAAGAGCGTTAGGAATGATGAGAAGGGAGGAAGAGGATCGGGTGGAAGGGGGAGGTGAGTACCTCATCAATTAGTATCCAAATATCTGGAAAATACTAATGAAATGCTAATCACTACTGAAAACGCTGGGTACAGTAAGTTACTTACCCGTATAAAAATACTAAACACTAACTAATCACTACCCTAATGCCTGGGGCCCCATTCTATCTACGCGTATACTTTCACTCGTGGTGATCGTCGTACTCAACGACGGTAACCATGAGACCCACCGTCTGCTCCATAAAGACATCCTTCCCCATATAACATGTCTTCTTCTTTCGTACACTTAAACTCCTCTTCATCATAAAAATGACGGAAAAAATGACGGCAAGTAACATTCCCTTTGCTGATGATCCCCTCGCCCAAGCTCTCATCGGCGATGACCCCATGGAACGAGAGCAACCCAGTATGGCTTCTCCCAGCACGTTCGACTTGGACATCAGTGAGTGTTCTTGGCAGGTAAAAGAGTGATACCTAACACTCAGTCGTCAAGGTCCTCCAGGGGACCATTTTTTCGCCCATGTTTTGTGTCTTCGTACCGCTGCTGGTGTATTCTCAGGCGAGGAACCAATCTGATCCGACTTTCCTAGGCAGCTGTATATGGACAGCAGGGGTGTGTTTGATAGGCGAGTCGCTCATCGTTCATCCTGATTACCCTTGTCTTCTACCGCTAAGTCTATACACCTCCATCTACCTTTATGTTGAAGCACAAGAGTGACTTAGGTGAAAAGGTTAACTGGCTAACGTCCCAGCACTGTGGAATCACGCAGATAGGATATACGCTTGTCAAGGTTCTTGGTTATTCGCGCCGCCTAAACTCGATTGGGGAGAACAGATCGTTTTGATCACAGGGGGTAAGTCCCATCATCACCATGAACTGAAGTATAAGCTGACCTTCAGGTGGTTCTGGTATGGGAGCTCTTCTAGCTGAGACTCTGGCTATGCGGAATGTCACAGTTGTCGTATTGACCAACACTCCCCAAAAGGTTGAGTCTGAAAATTGTCGGTCTACCTCTGCCAAGAATGATATTCATAGTTGACGAAAAGACAGTATCACAAGTTATGTCTGTGACGTGTCGGATCCAAAGCAAGTATCAACAGTCGCAGCTCAGATCAGGGAAGAGGTCAGTCATCTAGGTTTTGGTCGGAAACGTGAAAGTAACTTGATTGCTAGATCGGAGATCCTACCGTTATCGTCAATAATGCCGGAGTTGTCAAAGGGAAACTCTTACTCGATCTTTCCGACGATGATGTACGAGAGTCAGTCGTCCAGTTGTGAGATCAGTTGCAGAGCTGACAAGAAGCACCTTTGGTTCCAACACACTATCTCACTTCTGGGTCCTGCGGGAATTTCTGCCTGCCTTGATCAGAAATAAAAGGGGTCATGTGGTGACTATGTCAAGTATCATGGGTTTGGTAGGTTCGGCCCAGATGGGTGAGTTGATATCTGTCATTATACGTTTGTGTGTTGATGAACAGCCGATTACTGTGCAAGTAAAGCAGCTGTGATATCTCTTCACTCATGTCTGAGGTTCGAGTTGGACAATCGGTGAGTATCTCCTTCTCCTCCACTTCTCTCACCCCCCATACTTGTATGCTTTCTCCCATTTTCAAGCTCTGTTCAAAATGCAAACATCGTAGTCGGTGATCGTATAAACCAGTCAAGGAGGCGAGTGTGTTCATGAGGCGGAAGGGAGACAAGACTTGAGGTGTTGATATCAGATACAAAGCCCCAGGTATCCGCACCACCCTAGTCATACCATCTTTTGTCCAGACGCACATGTTCAGCAGAACCATTCTCCCCAATTCTAAACTATTCAACTTCTTGGCTCCTCCGGTTCAACCACATGAGGTCGTCAAGCGGATCATAGCCGCTATAGATTATGACGAATCGCAAGTCATCCGCCTACCATTTTACAGTAATCTGGCTAGGTTCATGGGGCCTGCAGTTGGAATTGTACCAAAATGGGGAGTTGACTTGTTGCAGAAAGTGAGCATGATAGTCTTTCTCTGCACCCTGCTTGGTGTCTTAGTCTAGTGATCTTGAGTGACTGTATGATCGATTCTCCTGCAATCCGAATCCTCTGCACAAACTCTATCGTCGACTTTTCACGTCTTCTTCTCTACATCCCTTGGGGGCCCTTGGGTGAGATGCTCTATATCTTCCGACTCGCTGGATTGCCGAGGTTCGCGACTCGTGGGATATCTCAAGAGAACGGTCGATAATTGCCTCATTAGATTGGGAAATTTCAGTCCAGAACTAACGTCCAGATTGCAGGTGCCGACCACGCCATGAGATCTTACGGTCCTCATCCCGACGCCGCTGAGCGTCTTATATCTGGCGAATTCGTCCAATCACCAACAGACCAGAGGGAAAGACAAAAAAGTCCTACTCCCGCTTGAACGTATAGATCAATCATCAATCAGGCTGCTATGCATGTCATACAACATTGAAACCCTATCAGAAAACTCTCTATAGCCACTTAATTCTCTGCCACACGGATCGATGCAGATCTCTACATCGTGATTGACGTTTGGTGATAACGTCTCATCGACGTGCTTTTGATAATTGTTCTTCCCTTCTTTCCCCTACTCTGTCCAAAAAATCGCGTTTCTGGAGATATCCCCCAGATCGACGATTAGCTTCGAGTTCATCGTGAATGGAAGTATCGGATGAAAGGTGGGATTTCCAATCTAACTGGGACTAGAAAATCAGCTATGATCCAGCTGAACATGACAGAGACCCATTCTCATTATTGAGAATCCACCGGAGTACGACAAACGTATCAACGGGAATATGTGCCATGTTGGAAGAGGGCGGGGAAGAAGGATGAAAGGGGTGATTGGGGAGAGCGAAGAGTTCTCCAAACTAACCTTTTCCAAAGTTGTCATCTTCTTGCCTTTATCAATAGCAGCAGCCATAGTTTCCAACGATACCCGAGGCTTTTTTCTACCTTTCGCACTCTTCCCAGGAGTGGTAGTATCCGTACTGGAGGTTTTGGGAGGTTTATCGTCTGTTGATGTGAATTCAGTGGAAAGATATTTGATAGCTTCTGGGTCGTCCGCTCTCAATTGGATTGTCTCACTTTGGGTCAACAAACCTTCCTCGGGAAATTCATCTTGGCCACCGCAGCACTTATGGTCACAACCCAAGGAGGATCTGAGGGAAAGACGGAGATGACATGTAAGCAAGTGAGAAGACGAACAACAAAGCCGATGATGATTAAAGAAAAGAGACTGACTAAATGGTCTCCCCCGCAAACCTCCTGGGTCTTTTGATCTCTATTATTTTCACTTGCCCCTCTTTGTCTATCATATCTTGCGCACTCTTTTTGTCACCCTTGTCGCCTTCCTGAAAATCTTTTTCTGTCGCGTTTACACTTCGAGATCCCTCAGAGACGTCTGGCTCCTGTGCCGATCTGACGATGGTGTCTTTCTCGGACGGTCCGGTCACGGTGGACGTGGACAAAGTGGGAATTTGAAGTATCGTAGACGATGAGGGTTTTGTGGGGGGTAGAACTTGATCAGATGAAGCTTCAGCCTTCATGGCCATCAATATCTCCTCTGCTCGACGTCTTCTCTCTTTCTCTTCTTCCTCCTTGACTTTCATCTCTTCCGGATTTGGAACACGTTCATGTGCATGCTCCACAGATTGCGATCGTTGACGTTTCTTAGCGGGGGGAGAAGGGAGGAAATCGGCGTCTTCGTCGTCTGAATCGGAAAAGTTTGCAGAGGCGAAAGTTGACATTTTGTCTTAATAGCAGAGGTTGTTCAGTCAGATCCCAGATTCTGTGTTGGTGTAGATATTTTAACTTTGTCTCTACTTATGCGATCTGCTGTCACTCTCTTTGACTTCACAATTATTTTTTGAAGCTTTCTAGTCTATATCGAGTGGAAAATAGAGAAGGTTTTGAGGGTTGTTATATGAACGAGGTGGAGAAGCGAAAGAGAAAACGATCGAGAAAGAAAAGTCAACGTCTGTTTCGTTCATCTTCTCACATCTCTTCCCTACGGTGAAGGTATCATTCAGCCTCTCAACATAGACGACATGCCCACATATATCAAGGATAATCTCAAGGTCATACTATTCTGTTCTATCATCCTCTTAGCTCTTTGGGTGCTCATCGCGGCATCACGGTCGCCCGTTGTGCCCAATGACATTCCTAGAAGACAAGGAGAACCGGTGTTCTCTCAACGTTTGGTGGCCATGGGGGATTTACATGGTGGTACGTTCATATCTCTACTTCTCTCTCTCTTATCCTAACCTACCTATTTACCTGACTATTCTGTTACTCATAACATGGATTTTCCGATCTCTTGCTGTCCTCTTCCCGTCATTAACCCTCGACGACGTACGACGATCAAGAGTACAACACAACCACCTCTCATAGCCGTGGTCCCCAGGGTGTTCCACCGGGGGTTGACATCATGGGAGAATTTGACCACTAATAGCAGATCTGGAAAATGCCAAAACAGTCCTTCAAATGGCTAGCATCATCGACACCTCTTCCATCTGGATAGGAGGTACAGACATCCTCGTACAAACTGGCGATATCATCGATAGAGGCACATACGCTCTAGACATCTATAGACTCATGAGAGATCTTCGTTCTCAAGCTTCCAACGCGGGCGGTAGAGTGGTAAGTATCTTGGGGAATCATGAGATGATGAACGCTATTGGAGATTGGAGGTATGTTACTGCCGGTGATATAGATAGATTTGAAGGGGTGAAAAAAAGGCAAGAGGTATTGAGTGTGAATGGATGGTTGGGTAGGGAATGGTTAGCCAAGTGAGTACTAGTAATATCCCATATCTATTGGCTACCAGCTACCTAGATCTACTCCTTGTGGACCCCGTCTATATATGAGAGGTTGGTCCTGCGTTGGGAGAACATTCGTCGGAGCCTTGTACACTCATAACGGTTTCTTTGTCGCTGTTCCGTATAAAATATTCCGGAGGGAAAGGGGGAACTGGAGATGAGGGTCATAAAGATAGTCTGCGTCGTGTCAGAAAAATATACCAGGGAAAGTAAAGAAACCATCTGATGCTCAAGTTACTCGACTACTGCTCTAGTCCCTCTCTCCCCATACCCCTTTTCTCCCACTCTCTGTTTCACACACGGCTCTCTCCGTCCATCATACCCTCATCTCACACCTTATCCAGAATCCATAAACTCCCTCGGTCATTCTCTCCTCCTCAAAGCCCTCACACCACCTCTGGCCCCACCTCATCCGCCTAACCCGTACTCTGGTTTACCGAAGGATACCACCACTGCCGAGGCGGGAGTATACGACGCAGGAGGACCATTTTGGTGGCGTGGTTTAGCGGAGGTGAAAGATGAGAAGACTGTCTGTAATTGGGCTAGAGAGTTGAAGGAGAAATTGGGAGTGAGGAGAGTCATTGGTGGTCATACACCTAATTATGAAAAGATTGTGCATAGATGCAATGCTAGTGTGATTATCATTGATACCGGTGAGTCTTCCATGATTCTCTCTTTTTCAGCCCTATTCACCTATCTCCCGCTTCATTGTACTATTGACAAACATCCTAGTCTTCGTCTCTGTGTAATGGGATTAATATGGATTATCGTGGGTGGAGCCATGGATAAAAAGGGTCAAGAAGGGTCGGCAGGCAGAAGGGAAAGAGGTAAGGAGGGATCTACAGGGGCATGCTGACTACGAAGGTATCTCATCGGCATACGGAGGAGTACTAAGCGCGCTTGAGATCATCTACACTCTCACACCTAATCAGTCGGACACGGACAGATCAGGGCATAGGCAAGAACCATTCCTCCCTTTGAACATCACCAACACGAATGACCATAATCAAAATCCCAATTTCGACTCTATCAAGAGTGGACAATCGTATCTGGAGCGCGAAGAGGTGAATGCGATATACCCAAGGAAGAAAAAGAATATCATTGTTGAAGAACGTGTCGTCGTTGCTGGACCCATGCGGCCGTGAAATAGAAATCATATGCGTCTTGCGTAATGAGACTCGTGGCGTATGATCCACCCATGCGGTCGATGGTTCACGACCAAGCTTCTTCGAAAACTCCTTCCTCCGCCAACTCGGACATCCACCGCCAGAACGGGGCCGAGGGGAAGCTGTGGTGTCAGTTAGGTCCTCGAGTCCTCCCAAAGCCTATTGATATGGCACGGCGGAGCGAAAGAGGAGAGGATTTCTACGAGAGTTGTTTAGTGGGCGGACTGGGTGCAGGCAGGGGACGATGCAAGGATCAATGAACAGTGAGGAGAGAATAAGGGAGTCGTACCCGACAGCATTATCATAATTCCCCTCTATACGCTCAATCAATAATCCTCCTAGACCCTATCACATGAGCATTTCATTATATGCATAGCTTGACTCACTTGTATGGCAAAACCCCCCGCACGGTCGATACCTTCCCCACTGTCCACATACGCTTGTATTAGTTCTTTCTATTCAATCAGCGACCTAGTTTCCAGCCTCATGGTATGTGAACTCACGGAGTTGTCGTAGAAATGACAAATGGTGGAGCATGAGATAGACCTTCACATCAATCTCTTCCAACCTTCCACCAACAAGCCAGATAGGAATGGGATGGACACCGGGAAAGCTTACTGTAGCTTGAAACCTGGGGCCTCGATGATAGGATAAGCTATACAGATCCCAGTGACCACTTCGCAAGCTCTACCAGACATAGAAGAGAGGATACGTGTTTGATCGTCCTTCGAAAAAGGTTTCTCAAGTATTTCGGAAGTCTCCCCTTGTGATATACCACCAGGACGGGTGTCAGCTTCGGGAGGGAAGATGACTACTGTGTCGGCTAAATGTCAGTCCCAAGTCTTCCCATTTGTCACTTCATTAAGGTAGGCAGAGCCACCTCGCTACACTTCCAAGGGCCCAGGTTTTACCTTGCGGAATGCGCACTTGTGAAGAGATGAAAATCATGGCCCCGACTTTGGGATCGATTGCGTCAGATGTGAGGAGTTGGGGAGGGATGTATTACTAACCACTGATAACCAAATCAGGGGGATCATGTTGATTCTCCCTCACCAGACGTTCGTATACTTCTGTAGCCTGACTATCAGCTCTTTACCACAACCTCGATTACTGACGGAGCTATCGCACGGACTTATAGTGAGGAACGAATAGTGAAATGACTGACCTTCTCTCCAGCGGTAGCTACGGGATAATCACCCAGACTGTCAAATTGACTTTTAGGAAGGTCCTCTGCGAATGTGGAAGGTACGATCTCTGGTCTCAAGCCCTGGTCGTTAGCAGTCCAAACTCGTAACAATGCATGATCAGACTTTTCATTGCTTCCACTTCAAGAGAAGAATGGGATAGCCCACAGGCAGATGGCCGTAGAGAGGAGAGCAAAAAGTGTCGATAGAGATCTAATGAGATAACGGGGGCTGGAAACGACTCACGGCTAGTTCTAGGATATCTCTCCTCCTCGGACTGGAGGAAGCGAGGACGACGCGTCGGTTGGAGAGCTGGCGGAAGATGGGTAGGGGAAGGGCGGTCGATAAGACGACAGAGGGACGCGTAGACTTGTCCGAAGGCATTATGTCTTGAGAACAAGTGTGACTAGGAAGATTCATGGAAGTTATGCCAATTTGCAGTGCGGCAGTGCAAAGTCGAGGTAGCTGGGTGGAAGGGCGAACTCGACAGCGTCGGCGATAAGATATTGATAGCGCGAATATCGGCGTTTCGGCGATTCAGTAGTATGGACCCGACGTTTCACTCAGCACTTTGTCACTTTCACCGACAGCGAGCTTTGTGTCACCGTGACATCCACTTGTTGCGCGGACATTTAACATATTGATAGGGCACGCTGGCCAGCAGGCTAGCGTGCAACTTTCGGTAGCTCAGCTGGTTTAGAGTAGGGGACTGTAATGGTTGCATCTTCTCTATCCCTTGGTCGGGTGTTCGAATCACCCCCGAAAGAGCTTTTTAGGCTCCGGGGGTTTAGTGTCTACTTCAAGATCACAACCTTTGTAGAAGAAATATGGGTATGCCGTGTGGATTGCTGGTCATGCACAACCTGTCTCATAGTTTTTATGCACCGGCTGAGGATAAGCAGTGGGAAGCGATGAGCCAGTCTCGGATCGCAGACTGGCAAAGTAGGTTCGTTCAATCAAAACGTCACCCGTGGGAAAGTAGAATTTCTCATAGTCTTCGATCACCTGAGTTTTTACCTTAAACCTATCACTCTTTGCATCTACATACTTGCATCTTTCACCCTATCATGCTCCTTCGTACTTGAGTAGAAACACAAGATATCGGAACTGGATACTCTTCATCGATACCTAGCTAGGATGGAGGAGCCACCATCGAAGCGCTTCAGGGTGAGTGCACATACAGCAGTTTAGCTGTTGGACTGACCGCCGTAGTATACCACATACACTGAACAGCTCAAGCAAGTCACCGTGGATGTCGGTAAGCGTAAGGGACCGTCATGGAATGTTGAAGAGTATGACTCGGATACCGAGGACAACGCAAGTCTTTCCGTCTTCTTGATCAGCCTGAACGCTGACTAGCAGCGAACCCCTTTCACAGCTGAACTTGATCGTTTGTCAATTCATGACCTCACCACTGGCTATCAAAATTTTCATGCCTCCATCAAACCCCTCTCCACCACCCTGACTCTCATCCTCCTGAACCTTCAGCCAATATCTGACAACTTCTATACTTTCTACTCGGCCTTGAAACCCGACGACGACCACTCCAATTCAGGCGTTTCGTCGGTCTTATCCCTTCATCATGCTCTATTTGAGACCTGCATGGCCGAAGCGATCCCTCAGCTCCCCCAAACGGTCAAACACATTCTTCACATTGGTTCCATCCCTCAATTGGATCCAAGCGTAGTGGAAAAAGCATACTCATCTCTGTCGCTTATTCTTCGTACTATTACTTCCCACCTTCTCAAATCTGATCCAGCTTCCCAACGAGTCCTCAGAGAGACATGGACCGAAGTAAAGCTGTATATGGTGCCAAAGCGTAACAAATCATACGTTCGGAAATGCATCGCCGAAGCATGGTCGGTGGTGATCCGAAAAGCACGAGGAGATGGGCTGGCTAGACTTATGGACATAATGCTCGAAGACGACAGTGAAGGATTGGAGGTGGTCTGGGCTTGCGCTCTGAAGGGACAAGGAAGCAACCTTCATTCAAGGGCTATGGCAGTGATAGACACATTACTCGACCATGCCGCTGCGACCTCAAACTCTACCAACAAATCGATGCTGATGAAGGTGTTGACTTCTCTGGTCCATCACTGCTCCTCTTCCACAATCACGCCCATTGTCGATGCTGTCGTATCACGCCTAGACCTTCCCATAGGGCCCTCTTCTTCCACTACTCCTGTGACTTCCTTTTCAGCATCATCCACAACGCTGCTTGAGCTCCTATCGGTCCTTCTCTTCACGCGCAAAGGCAAGCGTTTTCCCGAGAGTCATATCCGACCGGCAATGCTCAAGCTGCAGGCTTTGGTGCAGGAGCTCCCGTCGATGGACGGCGAGATTAACAATACCGAAATAGAGTGGAGAAGAGCTTTGGTCTCAGTTGTTGTCGGCTGTCTTGAGGTGGGACATCTTCAACAATGGCTTAGCCCAGGAGTACAGCTCATCGAGAAACTTTGGGACGTTTTGGTGAGTGAACACCTTGTTATGTGTTCTTCACGGCCCCATGTCTAGTGACTGACTTCATAGACTGTACATGAAAAGTACGCATTCGCTAGTATGCTGGTCGCGCACAAGTGGGCTGGGGTAGAACAATTCTTGTTGCCTCATATTGCAAAGTGAGTGAAGCTTTCAAGGATGATAGTGTTCGTCGCTTATTTGACAGATCGGCGCTGGCCAATGTGCGAACGGAACCCCTCCCTATCCTTCAGCTTTTGCGTACTCTCGCCACTGCAGGCTACCTGACAGGCGGACTTTCCAACGTCCAAGGTGGACGTTGGCGTGACAGTCTTGTCTCTGCTCTGCAGGACAGCCTCGACAATACCGATATCACCGATGAAACTCGTGCGGCCGATCGACGCATCGTGGGTCATGTTCTCGAACTCCTACCATTATTCGCTAGCACCAATAAAAGAACAATTATCCGATTGCAAGCGATGATATCGGCCTTGATCGAAGCTCAAGCCAATTTCAGCGCAGCTACTTTGCGACAAACTTGGCTTAGTTCTAGCCCCTGGAACGCCGCTCATATCTTGGCAAAGCTCCTGCGATGTTGTATCCGACTACTCGAACGACACGGTGACGAGCTTTCTCCCCTGAAGCAATTTCTGTGCGATCAGAGTTTTTTACCTGTCCTGATGGAGAAATGGGGGTGGAATCGAGAGGTGCTGAGTTGTGTCGCTACATTGCTCGATCGTTGGCCAACAGAGCCACCTTTCATCACCGAGGTATCCGAGAGATTACTCCCAAACCTGTTGTCATCCGACTCGTCCCTTCGTTTGTCAACTCTACGTATTCTGAAAAATACTACCTCAGGGACCGCCGAAGAAGTGTGGGAATTAGCTCGTCATGTGGAATCTGCAGAAGTGACCGCTCGAAACGTCCGCGAGCGTACCACTCATATCGCCCGTCTGGGAAGGTATCTGCAAGCCTTGCCCCAGGTAGATGCTCCAGATGAGCTACTGCGAGCTGCCATCAAGTACCTACTATCGCAGCTGAAGGTCAATTTCCGCCCAATATACCCAGAGGTCGTCAACAGTCTTGCTACTTTGGCCAATATGCACGGTGATTTGATCTGGTCGACAGTGTGGGGAGAGCTAGAGAAGGTGCAACAGGAAACTCGGTCCAAAACGACCGACCTTCTGTCCGAGACACCTCAATGGATCAATGATGGACGCGCCCCAGGTTCTACCAATCGACTCGACGAGGACAACGAGGACTTCCTCTGTCCCAACCTGCAGAAATCTCGGGTGATTGAGGCAGCCGCGTGGTCTACAACAAACCAAGACGTCGCCGACCAGCAGGACACAGCATCCCAGATCTCCGATGAAGTACTTGACATCCCCAATTACGAAGCTCAACTGATTGCCGTTCTCTGTGCTTGCCCGTCAATAGCGGAGAAGCATACCCGACATCTCGTTCCCATCTTATTCTCCGTCGCTCGCCATTCAGACGCCGAAATCACCCAACTGCAGCTGTCCACACGACAACGACAATCACGCACAGCGGTGTATCTGGAATTGTTCGCAAAGTTTCAAAACCCCAAAGCTGCTTTCCGAACCGATGAACTGCATATCCTTTACCTCGAGCTGGTCAGTCGTGGAGAGTCCAAGCTGCAAAGTCTTGCCTTGAAGTGCCTAATGACCTACAAATCTCCCAGTTTGAACCCGTACCACGATAGTCTCCAGGCGTTGCTCGACGACTCTAAATTCCGTGATCAGTTAGCACACCTCCCTCTTGGGACCACTAGTGAAGCCATCGAGCCGCAACATCGTGCCGAGTTGTTACCAGTTGTCATACGGCTGCTTTATGGGATCATCACTGCACGGCGGGGGAAGTCCAGCGCCCATGGGGCTGGTGCTAGGAAGCAGGCAGTCCTGACCGCCTTGAGCGGTTGCACATCCGCCGAATTGGGTACGTTGGTGGACCTCATGTTGGAACCACTCTCTCAAATCAGCCCGCCTGTCAGGCAGCGAATAGGATTCCTTGCTTTACTACAAGACGTGCTACGCTACCTAGGTCCACAAACCCTACCACACTGGTCTCGACTCATCGATGCTGTCATCCTTCTTTTGCGTCACGCACAGACTGAAATCGATGGAGCAATGATTTCTGAGCAGGACCAAGGAGAGGAGGAAGAAGAAAAGGAGGAAGACGAAGAGGAGGTTCCGCACTCAACTGGTCAAGTTCGTGGGGTCCGTACTGCAGCCATCAAACGGCTGGTACAGTTTCTCCGTTCCCCCATCGATTTTGATTTCTCTCCTTTCTTACCACACATCTTTGCTGTCGCCATCTCCCCACGTCTCTCTAAACTCGAAATCGAAAACACTCAAGCCCCATCTGGTACACTGGACCTCATCGCTGCCCTAGCCTCTCTCCCATCTACAGCTCCGTCATTGTCACGACACGATGAACGAACTCTGCCCAAAGCATTCGCCTGTATGACCGCAGTCAAGGTAAAGCCTGCGGTTATAGCGAGAGTTTTTGACATCGTCGAATCTTTGCTTGGTGATGGGAAAGAAGAAAATGACTCATTAGAAGTCCTGAGGGAACAATGCCAACCATTGTTGGACAACATCATCAAATTGTTGCCAAACATGAGCCAAGCCGGTGACGACCTCATGCGGCGGCTTCTCAACATCCTCTCCAACTTATCGGACATTGTGACGGAGGGCCCACAAGCTCAGCAGTTGGTCTCGCTATTGGGACCGATGTTACGACGGTCAAATAAACAGGTCTCGGAGAAGAGTAAAGCCAATATCCTCAACACTTTGCAAAAGCTCTATGTCTTGTCACCCGAATTCCAAAATCCCCAGAGCACCTTCTTCGAGCGAAATTACGAGCTCATATCCCAACAACTGCAAGTCATCTTCTTCCCGTCTTCCCGTAAAGCCGTCCTGGCTGTCATGAAGACATTCGGTCAAGTGGACACAACCCTGCAGAAGACGATAGACCTGATTTGCAACCTGAACGCTTATTCTTCCAGACGGATCGAGGAGCCCGATTTTGATAAGCGACTAGAGGCTTTCGCTATGTTGACAGACACGGATGCCGAGTTGCCACTTGGGAGTAGAGAATGGCTTCCCATTCTACGTACAGTGCTGTTTTTCATCCACGAACCCGAGGAGTTGTCTATCCGTACGAACTCATCCGCAGTTCTTCGCCGTTTCATCGACCTGGCTGGCTCTGCCACCGAAGGTCCACTCATCGACTCTCTTACACATATCATTCTTCCTGGCCTTCGTCGCGCACTGAAATCTAAATTGGAATTGGTCCGGAACGAGGCTCTCTTGGTCATCTCCCACGCTGTACAAATCTCTACTGGTCTGCCCACTCTTACAGAGATGACTCCCCTGCTAGCGGATGGAGACGAGGAGGCGAATGTGTTCATCAATATCGGACACATCCAAGTTCATCGACGATCCCGAGCTGTTCGACGCCTACGAGACTTCATCTCAGAGAGTGTGGTGGGCGAGAATAATTTGTTTCACATTTTCCTACCGATCCTGGAGCATATCATTAATGGTGCAACCGATGTGACGGACCATCATCTTATCAATGAGTCGATAACAACCCTTGGGGCTTTGGGAGGGCACTTGAGATGGAGCAGATACAACGGACTTGTCATGCGATACCTCAAGGCGGGAAAGACGAAGACAGTTCAACAAAAGTATTTCATCAGGACTATATCGGCACTGCTTGAAAACTTCACATTTCCGTTAGCCGAGTCGCCTGTCGTTGAATCTCATCCCCAGTCAGCAGCAGTTGCACTTGACGCAGCTGAAGTGGCGGAAGAAGTGGAGTCAGATGCCGGGGATTTGCCGGAAGAGATCACACCCATCGAAAGGGTTCCAAGCTCGAAGATCGCAGAGGCGGTCACTGAACGTCTACTTCCTGCAATTTCCGACTTTGTGGCTTCAAGGGACGAGACGGATCCCGCGATCAGAATTCCTCTTGCTCTTGGTGTAGCGAAATTGGCAAGTAAGCTTCCCGGTGACCTTGGGTCGAACGAAATCACTCGTGGCTTGACGACTGTGTCCCAAATCCTTCGTAGTAAAGAGCAGGACACACGTGACATCGCTCGAGAGACCATTGGAAAGATTGCAGTGTACCTCGGACCTTCATGGCTCGTACGAGTGCTGCAAGAATTACGAACTGCGTTGCAGAGAGGACCACAGAAACATGTATTGGCAGTGACGACTCATTCTATACTCGTGCTCGCTACCACCGAAGCGAACGACCGTTTCATCGACCTCAACGCTGCAGTGGAAGACGCGGTATCTATCTCAGCCGAGGTAATCTGGGGTGGATCTGGAGAAGACGCAGCCGCAGAGGGATACAAGACCAAAATGAGGGAGGTCAAGGGTGCAACATCGCGGGGTCTTGACACATTCCAGTTGGTCGCCCGACTCGTGTCCGCCGCCAAACTCAGCTCGGTTTTAGCTCCGGTCAAGGAGATAATGCATGCCTCTCAAGCGGTCAAGACCATGAAACAGGTGGACGAGGTGTTACGACGCATTGCTCTGGGTCTGAACGCCAACGTCATGCTTTCTCCTGAAGATATCCTTTCGCTCTGTTACTCCCTCATTTCTGGCAATTCAGGATACACCAGAGTCAAACGAAAAGCTCAGAAAGAAGCAACAGCAAAGGAGAGCTACCGCGTACGGATGAAGAGGGACGACAGGGAACAAGAAGATTTCTTTCCTCTGAACGCGCACAAATTCGTCTCTTTCGGTCTGGACCTCTTTATTACCGCCTTTCGAAGGGGTAAATTCAATTTCGATGAGCCAGGTCATCTCTCACGATTGGCTCCTCTGGTGAACGTCATTGGGAACACGCTTTACTCTCCAACTTCTTCAGTGCTCAGTCTCGGTCTCAAGGCCGCAGCGGCTATCACCAAATGTCCCTTGTCTCAGGTCGACGCCGCTCTTCCCGTCTTCATCAGTAACATCTTCAAAGTGCTCAAGTCAGCTGGAGGCTCTGCCGAATCTGAAGTTGCTCAAATTGCCTTGAAGACCCTAGCGGTGATTTTAAGAGAAAACAAGACGTCTCAAGTCACAGATACTCAACTCAAATATCTGGTCGAGATAATCACTCCAGATCTTGAAGATCCCTCTCGACAGAGCGCCATATTCACTATCCTCCGTTCGGTAGTGGGTAGACAATTCGTCATTCCGGAGATATACGACTTGATGGAAAGAGTATCAAGTATCATGGTCACTTCCCAAGCGGTACAAGTGCAAGAGATGTGTCGTGGGTTGCTCATGCAGTTCCTTCTAGAGTTCCCTCAAGGACCCGGTCGTCTGAAAGCTCAAATGACTTTCTTAGCCAAGAATCTTGACTACGAGTTCGAATCGGGAAGAATCAGTGTCATGGAGATTCTCGCTGCCGTTTTCGACAAGTTCTCTGACCAGCTTATCGAACAATATGGAGATATGTTCTTTGTTGCTCTTGTGGCTGTCATCACCAACGATGAAAGCGAAAAGTGTCGTCTCAATGCGGGTGCGTTGGTGCAGAAACTGTATGGAAGATTTGGGAATGAACACAGGGTGAAAACAAGACAAGTCCTCCAGAGTTGGTTGAATCAGATTAATAACCCAGCTCTGGGTCTGACATCGCTTTTGGTCTACTCTCTTCTTGTCGACATCCAAGACGTGGATCCTAGACTGGTGGACGAAGTCGCCTCAGCTATCAGACCCATTATTCAAAGCAGCGCTAAAGATGTTGCCAAAGCGGAAGAATCGGACGATCCTATCTCTCTATCTCATCCTGTTCCCTTGCAGGCTTTGACACTCGCATCCAAATTGGTTAAGCTTCCAGAAATATCTGTGACATCACTCCCCTGGACCGATATTTCTTACCATCTAGGCTTCCCACACGACCAAGTCCGCATGGCCACCGTCCGTACGTTCGTCGGGCTTCTAACCATACAGAAAGAGCCGTACAAAGTGTTCTCACAGCAAGAACTATTGGAAGTGACGAAGAAAGCATGCTTGCTGTTTACTCCGGGCAAAAACGAAGACGGGGAGTATGTGGTTGTGGACGGCAAATTGGCCGACGAGCTGGCGAAGTTGTTATGGCATATAGGGAAACATTGGGCGGTGAGCTCAAGACTTCTTCGGGAAACGATCAGCTGATGTTCCAGACAACAGAAGCGGATGGTACAAATCCGAGTATGATTGCACATGAGGACGATAGCGATGAGGATGAAGGCGAAGAATCTAGGGGCGGGAAGAGTAAGTGGCCACTGGCATGGCTAATGTCACGGATGTCTTACCTCGTTCGACAACTCGTGGTCACACGTCCAGCAGCCCATCAGAGCATGTTTACAGGGGTAAGTGTCTACGTTCGGATTTCTCTTTACGGCTGCGAACATCACATTCTGGTCGCTCGCGTTATTCATGACTGAGTGGAAGAGGATAATGTGGGCTGCCTGTTGGAATGGTCAGAGGAGGATTAAAGGTGTTGCCAGTCATGTATAGTCGCTGATGTAATAGGACCTCTGGATTCCACCCACCATGGCCATCCTCCGATTCTTCGCAGGAATGTATCAAACTCTCTCCCGATCACAATCCTCCCGTTTCTTACCCCACGTACTCAGTCCCATCCACCGGATTCTGGATGATGTCGAGTTATCAACTACAGCAACCGAACTTGGTATGTATCATCCCTCTCGTGTGAGAACAGTAACACTGACAATCAGACGCACTCAGAGCACTCGCCACTGAGATTCGTGACTTTGTTCAGACCAAAGTGCCCGCTTCGGACTTTGCCAAAACTTGGGAATCCCTTCGTCGTCATACCACTGAAAAACGTGAAGAACGTCGACAAGCTCGGAACTCTATGGCGGTGTCCGATCCTCAGCGCCACGCTTTGCGTAAAGAGAAAAGAGGGGTGATGAAGAAAGAAGCGAAGAAGAGAAAGGTTAAAATGTTTGCGGATGGTAAAATGAGAGAGAGACCTAGTAAGCGGCGGAGTTAGCTTGATATTTAGTACGATGCATTGATCTATTTTTGAGGTGAATGAAAGCTAAGGCTGCATAGAGGGATGTTTGACATCTATAGAAGATATAAACGTGAAAACGGGATCAGGTTGGTATAGATCGATCAGGACAGGTCATTAGGTCGTCAAAAGGAATAAAAAGTGTGGACATGATAGACAGTGGATTGTCTTTGGGAAAGTGGGAAGAAGGGGGAGTTGTCAAATCTAAAGTAGGCAAACTAGCGGGGTCCTTCGTGAGGATGATAAGCTCGACGGAGATGACGAAACTTTTTGAGAGAGATGAGTGCGAGAACTTCTGTAGAGTGAGTGAATTATACGAAGACAATCCTATTTTCCTGTCCCTGAGATTAATCCCAGGTGAGGAGAGGGAGTGGAGATGAATGTTATAGGACGACTCACCCTTTTTGATATGTTCAGCGAGCTCTAATTGTTTTCTCAGCTTCTCTGGATCTTTTTCAGTTGCGTTTTCTGCGTATCAGCTCTGTCCGTCCGGCGGGCTCTACACCAGCTGCAAGTGTTAAACAAAATGAATTCTTTCCGTATGGCATGATCAGAGTCTCTTTTGGTGCTTGAGCATAAGAGTATAGGAAGATGTTTCACCACCACCGTATCGCGTGTATGTACGTTTAGCTGTTTAGGGTCACGTCATAAATGAGGATAAATGAACGTTGAAGACATGTGACGATAATAGGAATTTGATGGTTGAAGTTTCAAACGAAAGAAAAGCTACGATTGGCAAGTTTAACTCCATATGGAAGCAGAATGAGAGGAAATGAGACAAGAAGAAGACAAGACTTACTTTCGTACGCCCGACGAAGACGACGATTAAATTCGTATGCCGGATCGGGGCTGTCTATCAGTATCTCTTGAACAACCTTGTATCAATCTTCTGAAATATTCATCAGACAGCTGACACAATACAATTGCTCCTTTCCCCGGCCTTGGCGTTATGTGCCTCTTCACAACTCGATTTGCATCTCTACTACCCGAACAAAAGGGAAAGAAAAAATAAAATCTGACAACTAGGATTGTTCAAAAATGGTCATATGACTTACTAATCTCTTCCTAGTCTATGTAGCTATCCATGTCAGCTTCCAGTGATTGTGTCGTGTGGAGTCACCCACCTCTTTGTAAAGCTTTATGGCCTTCTTTCTCAACTCGGTCACATCATCCACTGCAGAAGCTGGGAAAGCCGTTGGACTAGGTCCAGAGGGGATGGTTGAAGCGTATCTCATTCCCGCCTTGCCGACATTCTGAACTCCCTGAAAACCTCTGAAGGTAGTGGGTCGAGATATAAATCTGTATAGAGACGACATGATGGTGAATGAAGAGCGGAGATGTTGATTCTCAAATCGAGTAAGTAGGCCTACAATGGGCCGTTGGGCCGGAAGGGCCGGAAGTTGTGACGTTTGGTTGGGTTTATTTAATACCCTCATTTAAAAAGCGGAGATGACCGGTTAGGAATTTCTAGTGTAAGCACGTCACTCCAGCTTACTACTCGTTCACCTTCGTCTATATACAAGGATTTCAGCACAAAGTACATCCAGTACAGCGAGCAGTGATCGAAAGGGAAAATCACACACCATGGTTTCTTTTTTAGGGTGGGGATCGTTAGTTCTTGTGTCTTGTCAGCGGTATGAGGCGAGAAGGTTGACGAGTCAGATCAAAAGCCGTCACTCCGACTTCACACGAACATTGTGCTATGCCTGAACATCAAGGTAAACCAGTCAACCCTCTCAATCCTACAGGTCTCAAGCCGTATGTTCTTCCTTCGTTCATCTCCATTCCAATCACTTTTTCGTTCTTCACATGTTCATCGATGGTCATACCGTCAAACTGGTCATACTATCTCTCTCCCTCCTTCATTCCTCTAGCCGCTTAGTGTGCGACGCCCCTAGGTATTCGGAATGAATCTTCGCTAAATACACACATACGACTTTCACTCACATTCTCAAACACCGAGAACACCGAGGCTGATACCCAGCTGCTGTGCATGCCCAGAGACAAAATCCGCAAGGGACGATTGTTTCCTTAAACACCCACCTGAGGTCGCAGCTCTCAAATGTGAAGATTACGTTTCAGCCCATAAAGCCTGCATGAGATCTCTAGGTTTCAATGTCTAGGTTGGGCCACACCCAGTTCGAAAGACGTTTGAGTTATAAAATCAATCACGGTGGACGATTAGGTTGTCTATAGATCATGTTGTATGCATGCCCCTCTCCACTCCCCGTCTGTCTGATTGGACATACCTGCACGGACTGGCGATACTCAATGTGGCCGTGGGGGTTTGCGAAGGTTGACAACGGCTGGTTCCCATCCACCCCCACGAACGGTCTTCCATCTCCATCCCCAACATAGCATGGCAGGGCCGACAAAATTGATGAGGGCCACGAGACCGAGGAGGATCAAGGTCGGGGGAGATAGGAGTTGGCTTGCAGGTGAGAGAGTAGGGAAGAAGGATATGGAGACGAGAAGGGTGGATATGGTCAAAAGAAGAGAAAATCGTTGTCCCGATTCCTATCTATCAGTGTGAGCTCCAATCCACAGATACTCCGGATGAACGACCGTGGACGTCATTGGCACAAAAGGGCAGAGACGATGGAGAGCAAAAGGCGATTGAAGACCTGGATATGACACTCACTCTTACACTCTTGGCAACACGAGGCCATCCAGCGAATAGAGCAACGGCGAGGAGTACCAACGAAAAGACATGGGCCGTGCTTGGGAGGCGGGAGGCGAGCACGATTGCACCTGATAAGCCTGAGGTGAAGGAGAGGCTCGAAGTGAGACTTATGAAATCAGCCCGCGGTCATCACGTACATATAATTTTATTCCGAGAGTTTCAATGGGGAGAAGTAAGGAAGTGAGTCAAATGACAGGCAAAGACTATAGAGATCTGCATGGATGATTGAAGAAAAAGAAGATGATGACAGCATTACTCACCTCTTCTCCTCAATGAGAGGTTCATGAGCACTCAGACTCCCACTCCTTTTCCTCTTTTCCCTCTCCTTCACCCAACGCTGTCGTAAACGAGCATCTCGTCCGGTACTAAAGTCACCAAGGAGAAGATGGACAGACAACAGTCCTCCCGCCAAAGGCCATATAGAATCGCTTGTCGTCGCGCTGGTCAACGTTCCCAAGACGGGTGATAACAACGATAATAACAGAGGGGGTAGTATCAATGGTCGCAACTTTGTTGGTGGGGGTAAGTATTCTTCATCATTCCCCCTTCTCTTGCCATCAAGGCTATGTTTGAACGAGAGTGACCGTCCCCACCCCCAAGAGTGTACGAAGTAGAAAAACGAGGAGGATAGTATGGTGCCCCATCCGACTTGAGATGCGGTCAGACGGTCTGTGAGGAGAGAGTGGAAGATGGCTATGAACAATGCGAGTACGGCGAGATGTTGAGTGACGGGTAATGCGGCTAGGATGAGGGGAAACAGCGGTGGTTTAGGTCTAGGAGCTGTTGTGAGGTCAATCGAGGATCATCTTCCGGGAAGGGAAGAAACTCACGGAGTGAACGTAGTTCTGATAGGAAAGAGGAAGGGACGTGGTTGTCTGGATATGGTTGTCGTCGCCATAGTATCTTCTCCCATGGGACATTGGGCTGGAGGGTTGAGAAGGAAGGGATAGAGGTAGACATGTCATTTTGAGGTGGAAGTGGTCAAAGGAAGGAAGGATGATGGCAGGCCGCGAGGGCCCATTGATGCCTCGAGGCGGCCTCGAGGCATCAGGGGGGCTCTTCATACTCCTGCAGATCCGCCTGGAGGCGCTAGTATTTCCCGCATCCTTTGGTTGTTCCTCGATGTAAGACGACACCCACCCACCACTACTACTACTTGAGCATTGTTTCTTTTTATTGTTCCAATTATCGCACTATGCCTTTACTCCCGTGCTTGGCCGCTATCATCCAACTCCTTCGCAACTTGCTCGGCTTTGTCATCGTTGCCATCACACACATCGCACCCCTTCCTCCGCAACCGCTCCCGAATGCCACATTGCTACCTTGGCCTGCGCCGCATCCTAGTCCTTCAGACGCCGTCCAACCGCCTCGAGTGCCGTTGAGCCTCCTTCCCGCAACAGCCGAGATGGCTTTGCTACTGCGTCAAATGACTGGTGAGGTCTGACTCGCCTGTCACAGCATACCACTGAGCACAGCCGCTCAAATATCGGCACTACCCGGGCTGTTCTCCGCCCTTCGCCAGGAGTGCGCCGGTCTTGAAAGATCAGTGAGTCATTCGATGCCCCCGGTCAATACGCTGACCTTCCGGCGTCACTGATTGATGCGTGGGAATGGCAATTGCGAATCTATCTCAGCAGATTGCCGACCGACCCTGCCGAGATCACGCAGCCGCCTTCGTGAGTCTATCGTGTGACATCATGTATGAGTCATTTGTCAACAATAGGCATTTAGACTCTGCTGGAGCGTCAGCGATCCCAATGTCTCTGAAGGCTTTGTAGGTTCTTTCTATCCCAAAACTGTATCCACTGAGCGGCCGCAGTTCAGCGGACCCGGTGCTCCGACGGTCCCGCTCGGTGGAAGATTATAGGGGCGGGCGGGTTCCCAAAGTGCGACGCCCGTCGATCTGACCTGGCGGATAGCTGGCGGCCGGCAGCGGGAGGGAAGATGAGATCGTTTGTCTCTGACCACGGGTTGGTAGTCGCAATCGTGCAGAGATGATGGTGCATTGTTGAACATGAGGCTCCCTCCTAAACATGAGGCGTTGCAGTGTCAACACCGTTCATCCCCTTATAATAGGTTTCAGCTCAGAGGTCTATGTCCACCTTTCATCCCTTTGTCATGTCTTGCAACAGCTGTCCTCATCTTCCAGCAGGCGCTCAAGCCGAGATCCGACATCTTTGGGCTTGGAATCAACTCACCCGCAGTTGTACGGATGAGTTGAATCCGCTGAGAGTGATTGCTTTAGGTGAGGAATTCAATACAACAACCATGTAAGCTGACACTACAGACACCGAGCCCACCAGCCAGGTCAATACTTTGGAGCCGCAGTGTCATCCTAAAAACCGATTGGCCGAGTCAATCGACGGTGTGTGGAGACCCGTGCCAACTGACTGCCAGGATCGGTATTGTAGATGCAACTGGCAACACTCTTTTTCGTGCTCGGGTCCGGCCGTCTCATGGTTGGCGAGTTTTTGACTGGAACACGTCCAGTCAGTATCCCTTTCCGTTAGGAATGTCCATTGACAAACAGCGTCGGGACTCGACAGGGCGACCTTCTTTGACCGTAAGGCAAAGTCCGTGAGACACGAATGGCTGACATCACAGGCAAAGTCCCCACCGTCACGCCGGCAGAGGCCATCAGAGTTGCCAGTCACTACTTGACACATGCCGATCTCGTCTTCATGTGGAGCGCAGATTCTGGCATCAGGGTGAGAGGGATCACACCGCTTATGTGTATCACTGACGAGCCAGGCTCTCTCAATCCCTGCTGAAACGATTGGCATGTGCCACATCGTGGACGCCCAAGATCACCCGGCTATGAGGGCTCTGCTGCAAGTCCCTGAAGCCAAAGCCAAATTGGCAGAAGCCTTCCTCTACTGCTTTGGGTGCGTTCATCAGGCGCCAGAGCGGTTGACCGTTCGAACCCTTCGTGGATCATTTTTGCGTGATTGGTGGCCTGACGGAACTATCGCTCCCAATTCTTCAAAGGCGGAGCTGACGGGCCATGATGTCGTGGGTCTAGTTCCTTTCAAGCGTGACAAGTTGTGTCTGACACTTTCAGATATGGGGTTGTCTCGCTACAATGGCCTTGGGATTGCTAATCCATCATTGGGTCAGCTCCGATGCTCACTCGGGCGCACATCTCCCGCGACCTGCCGGCGCAGGGTGGGCTCCCATGACAAAAGTTGGGAAAAACTTCCCTGGAGCGGTTATCGATGCTTCTGGACCGAATGTGGTCATCGTCGGGCGGTACCGTCTAGAGGGGTGTCTCTCAGCATGTCAGTTTGTCCAGGACGTCGCTGGGTGTGAGGTGATCCAAGTTGGGCAGAATCAATTGATGTGTCGCATATACGTGAGAGGTGGCGACCATGAGGCATGTGTGGAAAAGCGTGAGTGAATGAGTGGTGCCAAACGTTGCGAATCTGATCAGCAGTGGTCTGCGAGCTATCTTCGCCATGGACCACCCTAGCGAGAGCTTTCTCTCTTCAGACGTGCGTCTTCCTGGCTGACGGACTCGATGTGGATCAGCGGTTCGCCACGTCATTCGAGCAAGCCTGCGAGGTCAGGCAGAAACAAATCGAATCGAATGACAGTAGTTCTGCAGCAACATGGCTTCGGCAGAAGACTTCTTCAGGTGGTGGGAACAACGACGATCCCACGCTCACTTCCCTCACCCTGGGGTCTATGACAATATCAAGCCCAAAGATGATGGAGCCAAACTCATGGAGCACTCCGTGGTGCTCACCTTCCATCAACAGTGCGCCGATGCCAACGATCAAGATCAGCACTGTCAGAGTCCCAGTGGGTCCCTTGTCTGTCTTTGCTTCTTTCTCTCTGTCGGGATTGACATTGCTCGATCCTGACTCTCTCAGAAGACAGCCACGTCAGTCCTCCGGCGGCCCCGCCTATGTTTGGCGTTTCGTCGACTCCCACCCTTGGTCGGTCCCTTTCGGCATACGAGTGGCGACTCCGAAGAACCTATGTGATCGTCCCCGTCTTCTCGTCCCGCCGCGAAACCCACCCCCTGCCACCACCTCCGCTCCAACCGCATCTTCTCCCGCATTGGCCGTCACAATAACGCACCCTCTGCTTACTCCCTCGGCTTTGGCGGCGCAGCCCACCGCCGTCGGTCAGCATACTTGGAAGAACGTCCACGTTTGGGACTTGATTCCGCCGCCACAGAATGCAACGTGGTCATGTGTTTTACCCTTCCCAGATGGCTGGCAACGGGGAGGGGTGGGAAGAACGATGAAGCGCAGAGCTGCCTTGTGTCTCTATTGCGATCAAACCCGCAGAGGTGAGTCCACATGCTGTTCGCGCTCTTGCCGCTGATTGCCAGAAGACAAGGGTGTTACAAGCTCTGCAGGGCATTGCCTCTGATACGTCGATGACCATGCTGCAGGTGAGCTCAGTCGACCATGTGACTTGATGGCTGTCTGACCGCAGCGCGAAGCCGCATACCAATGGCATATGGTTGTGGCTCGAGGGCCTGTTCCATGAAGCCCCGGGCGTGCTGACTTGGTAACCTTGTTGGGGCAGCGATTGACTCCCTGAGCCGTGTGGCATATGAGAATAGTAAAAGAGTTGTCTTGAAGGTCTGTCACATCGCGGAAAATGAAGGAAGAATCATATTTTGAAGTCGCAGATTTGATGAGATTGCATCGTGACCTTAGCAACTGGTGGTTTGAAGCTCGTTTCTCACCAAAGCTCATGGAATGCACCAGCTCACTTGATAGCAGAGTATTGTCATTGTTCTCTTTGAATTGTTTGGTATGAAGTGGGACACCTTTTGCCGAGTCATGGATTCATTTTGCTCATCTACATCACCGTACTACAATCCTATAACAATGACAATAAACTTACACAGATTCCTCTGCCTCCTTCACACTGATAGCTTCAGGACCATCATGGATGCTCGCCAAAGGTTCACCACCAGACTGTTCGATCCTCGAGCCAGGTGCAGACTGACTTGAAACAGCATCAGAAGCTTCTTCTTCTTCGTCTTGCGGATCATCACTCCCCATCTTCAGCCCGGCCATGTCACCCAGGTTTTCTCCTTCTGAGAGATCAGGAGATTTGCTACTTACCCTTGTGCGGTCGGTAAACGTAGCTCTACCATTGTCACCGATTTCCATCACAGTACCAGGCAGACCGTTAGCCCTTTGCACCCTTGTTAACTCCTTCTTAATAGCCTTATAATAGGCCTGATATCTGTCGCAAGCCTCCTGCGCCTCCTGCGCTTTCCTGTCCGACTTGCGTGCAACCTTCGCCCAGTCCTCGGCATCGTCTTCGGCGGCTTCAAGTTTCGTCTTGTACTCCCTGCGAACCTCCACAAGCTCTTGGGTGGCTTCAAGTTTTGCCTCGTACTCCCTGCGAACCTCCACAAGCTCTTCAGCCAGTTGTTTTTTCTCTTCTACCGCCTGATGTACCACACCAGCAGCCTCTGATAGACTCTCTTTTACCTCCTCAACTTCCATTTCCAACTCTTTGATCTTACTTTGGCTCTCAGCAGCTTCTTTTCTCATTCTTTCTCTATCTTTCACAGCTGTAGCCCAACGTTCACTCAGGACACTGACTTGGCCATTGAGAGTATTTATTTGAACCTTTTGCGAATCATTCAAAGCACTTGACTCTTGTTTGATATCTTCAATCGCTTTTTTGAGACCTTCGTTGGCATCAACCTGAGTACGGTATAGCTGTCCCATTGAGACAAGATGCTGTCTGACAGTTGCCAGCTCAGCTCTCAGACCATCCTCAGTGCCAATGGCTGTGTCGTAACGATTTTGTAACGCTAACACTCCTTCAGTCGCGGTGGTCAACCCCTCCGTGAGATGTCTCCGATGGTTGCTGGTTGTTTGACGGAATTCATCGAACATTCGTGAGATATGAGATCTGACCGTTTGAGAAAAGGCCTTTTCAAGGACAGTCTCCGTTTCACCGAAATGTTTGACCAGATCGAAGCAAGTTGCTATCTCCTCAAGGTTCACAGGTTGTCGAACAATGAAAGGAGAAATATCATCCAAAGGAGAGGTTAAAGAAGGGGCAAACGGCTTCTGATACAGTTGACCGAGAGAAGGGGAGGAGGATGAAGTAGATTGCTGTGGTACTTCCGGGACGGTGGATGGAGGTGGAGACCCACGAGGTTGCTCAAGGGACAGGGACTCTTTCAGATGGGGATCCTGACTTGAGGTTCCCCCGGGAACAGGACGCACGGGTGGTCTTGCATCAGATTTTGACAGATTGTCACTATCACCTCTGATTTTCTTCAGCCAGGCTCCAGGATTCAGCTTTGAGACACCGTGAGAGGTAGCAGTATTCTCCAATGAAGGGCCAGACTGAGCGGAAGAACTGACAGCAGCAGAAGATTGTCACGGCCGTCGAACAACTACCTTCTGGCAGACCGACGGTCGACGAACCTCAGCTAACTCGACGCTTCTGAATCGATGTCTCACCCAACCGGGAGGGCGCAGACGTCGAAAGGAGTGTAACTACGGCGTACTTCGGCGTAGTTACTCTAACTGGGGTTTTGTTCTACTGATGGCGATGTATCTTGATTTGTATATAGCTATCTCTTTCTGTCTTTCACTACTGACAACAATCAAGGATCGCTGAAGAACTTCAGCGATCTTCTCAGCTAATATTATCTACTCCTCCTAGACGTTCATCCAACCCTCTCGCGCTTTGACGTACTTCAACGTACTTCGTCCAACTTCCCCGAGCCCTCGGCCATCCTCTTCCTCCTTCGACTAACTCCGCCTAACATCCCCGCACTTCTGCTCCCATTGTCCCTACCTAGCCTCACTCCATCTAACTTCGCCGTACTTCTGCTCCCATTGTCCCTACTTAGCCTAACCCCGTCTAACTTCGCCGTACTTCTGCTCCCATTGTCCCTACTTAGCCTAACTCCGTCTAACTTCGCCGTACTTCTGCTCCCATCGTCCCTACCTAGCCTAACTCCGTCTAACTTCGCCGTACTTGGTCTCAGATGTCCTGAGTTACGTGTAGAGTAAAGAGGTTAAGGCGTGATGGGGGTTTTGATGGTCAAAGGAGGGTCATTGTTGGTGGAATAATCGAGGTGTCACGACATAGTTCGTGACAAAGATGCTCCGAATCGAGGATTTTGTCCGAGAACGCCAGTAATCTCGGTACTTGCTTGACGTACTGGCTCCGGGATACTAGAAATGTGTTGCGAACCAGAGCGTTTTCCCTCGCGACGTGGTAGCTTGTTCGGAATCTCCTCAGATTCTTTGGCTTTGCGTTTCATGCCAACAGTCGCACCCACGCTTGATTGCATTGAAGAATCTGGAGGGGTTTGTAAGGCAGGTGAAGCCATTGACTGACTCTTTTGATCTAGGGCAGAAACGACAGATTGAACGAGTCGCGAAGGGGTAGGAGTTACGACTGGAGACTGTGTTGGAGATGAATGATGAGGCAAAGCACCGACATAAGCTTGCAAATCGGTGATCGGTAGAGTAGGAGCAGGGATGTGTGACAGCGCAAGGAGAGTAGTGGCTACAGCTCGCGAAGAGCTCTGAGAGTTCTCTTGAGAGTCGTTTGACGTGATTTCTTGAGGATTCTTGTGAGGCTTTGCAGGACTCATTGAAATGGTGGGGAACGCAGGGGAATAATGGTTGCGAACAATGGCCAGAGGTCTGTGAATCCGCTTGAGCCTGAGCACGACGATTTTCATTTTGATCTTGAATTTTGTCCGTTCCCTCGGTGCTCTCATCGTCTGCAGCATCGGTCAGCTCAGGTTCCCCTTCGACAAAGAATCCCTCACTGTTTTGCAGGGTGTCACGAAGTGACAAGACAGTTTGATAGTGATAGTGATAGGATGGGTTGGGTATTTAACCAGCGACCGACGGTTTGCAGTAACCGCCGGTTAATAGGCCTTTTAGCACAGTGGTTTAGACCGCTGCCTCTGAAGGGCACTGTTATATCGTCCCAATGCTGGTTAGTTGGTCTCGTGACAGATTAACCGGCGGTTACGGGTAGGATCCTGGGTTCGACTCCCAGGGTGGGCTGGGTCAAATTCAGTCCCTACTTGGAAAACCTCCCTCTCGGAGAAAGTTTTCGGCCTATCGTACCCTTCCCTGTTGGGGCCCCAGATGGGGCTGAAAGGGAAGGCATAATGTCACGAAGTGACAAGACAGTTTGATAGTGATAGTGATAGGATGGGTTGGGTATTTAACCAGCGACCGACGGTTTGCAGTAACCGCCGGTTAATAGGCCTTTTAGCACAGTGGTTTAGACCGCTGCCTCTGAAGGGCACTGTTATATCGTCCCAATGCTGGTTAGTTGGTCTCGTGACACAGGGGCCACGGAGTATTATCTTGAGGTGTTCTTCTCTTCTCAGCTTCTAGCCGGGTCTTCCAAGTTGGAGTAGATCTTGGAGGCTTTGATCCACTGGCTTGTTCTGAGGCTGGAGTGGTGCCAGCGGGAGTTTTGTTCGCAACCTCTTTCCCCTTGATTTGCTTCTCCTGAGGTAATGGAGTCAGGGCCGATGTTTGTCCACTGTCCACCACATCTTTCGTGCTTGTCTCCTGGTTGAGATTCTCGCTCTTGCTGTCCACCCGACTCTGTTGATTGGGTAGCTTCTTCCCTCTGACTGTGCAGTTCGTGAGATGCGTATCTGCATAGCACACAGAGCAGCTGAGAAACTTTCCATCTTCCCAGCGGTCAACAATGGTGGCGATAAGCCCGTTCCCTACGTTCTTGCAACAGACATTGGGATGTCTGTGATCAGCTTGGGATTCTCTCCATCGAAAAATGGCATTCTTAGAGGGACGAGTTGCAAGAGGGAGGCTCTAAGAGAAAAAGAATTGTGGTTGGGAAAATGAGGTTGATAGGCCACCCTGCGAAACTGGCACTCACTTGTAGTAGAAGGCTGCCAGTTCCCTGTCCTTATGACAGGGACTCTTCTTTCCATCTTTGAAGCACGAGGGGCTTCTGTTCCCCATGCTCTTCACTCCTGCAGCTCGCGCTTCTTCGCCAAACACCTCCACAAACCCTGATTTTGTTGCTTCGTTGGGCAAAGCAGAAGCCTGACAATGCCACCACGGCTGTAAAGGACCGCCCATTATCTTCACTTGTTCGCGGATAGTCTCTTCTGACTTCCATACAGGATGGGTGGGTTGGATATGCTTACGAAAGAATGCATGTGCAGGTGTGAGTACGACATTATCGGGAGGATGAACAGCTGCCGTATGAGAATGATAATCTTCTGCTTCGCTGAGCTCAGCAGCGGTGTCCTTGGAGGTACCTTTTGATTGAGCGGCTACCTTCGGTTTTGCAGTCGGTTTCGTCTTTGTGACTTTAGGAGCCATTGCTGAATTTGTGAGGCAGATGATAGAATGAACGGCAGAGAGGAGGCTGACGAGATGAAACGGCAAGGAGAAAGTGTTTTGGGAAGGAGGATGCGAGAATTTAGACGAGGTTTCGGTATGTAAATTGATCGGATGGTGTGTCAGGTCAGAAGCAAACTTGAACAGCGAATGATAGTGAGAGGGTGTGCAGAGGCTTGCAAAAGAGTCGAGGAATCGATCTGTGTCGGGGTGTGAAAAGTAGAAGTTGAAGGATGAAGAGAATGAAAAAAACGTGTCACGTGCAGTTGTTGACAACACAGGTGTGGAAGTTCGGTCAACTGTTCTATGCCACCCTGTCAGATTGGCTCCACAAGCTGTAAATCGGTGCATGCATCCCAAGATGATGAGCTGGACAGGTCAGAGGTTGGCCAATGATGCATTCAGAAGGGATAGGTCCACACACGGTTGCCCGCAGTCATAAATGTACCTATCTGTCGCGTGTACTGCCAGTTGGCAAATTGTTGATTTCAGACTCAACATGTGTCTGCCTCGGAGGGACACTTGTAGCCATCCACAGTAGCCACAATGTTCCTGATGCGGCTCCCTGGTCAAGGTTAGGGCACTGTTGGGAACTTATGCTGGTAACCGTCATAGTCAAGACAATGTAGAGTCACCGTGTACACGACACTGGATATATGGGAGAGATGGAAGACCTCAGAAAGCGGCAGGCCAGTGTGCGCTGTCCGATTTATTTCTAAGCTGTCCGTGGGGAGTACGGAATACAAGACGCTTGTGGCCATCATACTGTCACACTGGTGACAACTCTCTTGGTGCGTCATCAGTGTCAGACTCAAGGGTCCGGATAAGACGTTGAAACCGAGAGAGATGACTTGGCTCACTACTCACCCAGAGGTTGGTGTACACATTCACTTGTTCAGGAGTGTGCGTCCAAGTGTACCAAGCGGGAGAGACAAGGATGCGACGAAGTAATGAGAGCATCACAACATGGTTCCACATGCCGCGTGATTTGTCATTTCTTGGTCGAACCTGATTGCGGCAGTCTTGCCTCGGTCACGACCAGTGAGGGCACACACAGTGGGCAGGACCATCGTGAGCGTGAGTCAGAAGGAACGATGAAACTTGTTGCATGATATTTTTTGATGGACAGGGCGATGATATAAGGTCCGGTTGAGCGGACGAGCCTGAATGCGTTCAGAGCCATTTGCTGTTGACGAAGTCAGGAGCACTTACCACGACTTGTGGTAGATGATGCAGTCACGAATCTGACCGGTTGAACGGCAATGTCCCACTGGCGATCAGCCGTGCCATAGGAGAATAAATTGACTCACTGTACAGAAGGCAGCGTGATCTTATACACATGCTGTTGCTGAATTTGGGGTCAGCTTGAGATTGGGGGGCACTTACGTGGTTTCAGCACAAAGGGGGGAGACATGAGGGCTTCTTGGCCGATTTGAACACAGATGTGGCAGGAATTTTGGGCGTCTGAGTCAGCCCGGTACATTGGCAGGTGAGGGACCACTGACCATGTACATATTCACAAATATAGCGTCTCATGACCTTAGTGCCTGGGAGCCTCTGGAGCCAGCTGGGCGTTCCCCAAAGCAGGATTGCCAAAAAGCCAGCAGACGAGCCAGCTCTGACCGCGCCAAGGGTGATCTCATAATCAGCCAACGTTCAGAATCCCAACGCATTAGCTCACACGCTGGCAGATGCTGGGGCTGAGCTGGAGCACCTCCTTGGGGGCGATGCGAAGGATCGACATAGCTCGCGGCCTGGGAGAAGCGAGCAGGCTGGCCTAGGTGGTCAGTGTCGACATTTGAACTGTACGTGACACTCACCGTCGGGCAAATTATGCGGATGATCGATGCGGCGGAAAGGCCGGAGGAGGGGGCAAGGAGTGTAGATGCCTGAAAGATGAGCTGCGAGGTTGGGTCATTGATTAGGGCCACTCACGGGGTCCGCGTGACATAACCAGTTGCGTGATTGCAGACACCAAATGCCCAGCGTTTGGCCCGCTCCCGAGATAGTTGTCGCTGTGGTGCACCACATTTGGAATATAGCGGTTCGGCTGGGTCGCCCACTGGTGCTGTCCTACGGCATGCGAGCCCCACCAGTAGTCGGGTGGAAAGCTCCAATCCAACATGCGACCGACTTTCCGTTTGTACGCTGTGCAAACGGCTTCTCTGCCGAGAGACAGCAGGCAGAAAGAGTTCCACAACGCGATCCTCGTGCTTGGGTCTGCCAAGTGATAGCGGGGATAGACGACCTCGACCGCGAGTTGAAGCTGCAGAGCTTGGAACTAGGTATGTCAGCTACAAAAACCCAAACCATTCGATTGGATAAAACAGGGAAAATTGTAACGGTACTGGAAACACGATGACTAGGTCACAGGTTGGGTCGAACTCGATGGAAGTCTCGTGGAAATCTATGTGTCTCTGGTGCTATGTGATGGATCGTGTCTCCTCTGCAATCGATGTAGCCAAAGAATGATATTGAAGAATCAGCAAAGTTGGTACTTTGCTGATTGTACTATATACTGTCTACGTATATCCTCGTCCTTGTCCTCTTCCTGCTGCAAGCGTCTACGTACGTACATACTCGGACAGGTGAAAAACCGCTTTGAGCAAACCCAGTGGGGAAATCTCGAAAGGGGAAAACCCGTCCCTACCTACTGCAGCACTGCCTCCAACTCCCGCTTTCCTCTGTCCTAATCCGTCGAACTCGATAGAGTCCTCTCAATTCGTTGTTACCCCGTAACAAAAATGAACAGACACGGATCAACCTGACCACGGAGGCCTGACAAAGGAGGAACGGTAGAATTGCAGGAAGAAGGATGGGAACGATCAGGACATCAAAGTGGACCCCGCCGAGGAGGAAACGGACAGAGAGAGCTACAGGAGAGAAGGGAAGTGACGGAGAGAGACCACAGAAACGGGAAAGGCCAACGAGATCAGACAGTAGAGCAATGACAGCGATCAATGAAACGTTTACAGGAACCAGATCCTCAAAGAGGTCGTAAGAGGGGGTGATACCAACGGAAGCCAGAGTGAGGCGATCGGTACCGAGATCAGAGGAATGGAGGAGGGGTCGGAAACGATGTCATGGGGGCCGGAGAAGGCGATTAGAGATCACAGCTGACCGGGAGTGCGGAGATCGGATAGGTGGACAGAGACAGAGAGAGATCGCAGACGATCACGGATCACGGACCAGACGCAAACAGAGCAAACTCGAAATACCGGAGAGTAGAACAGAGAGTGGAACCAATCACGGAACAAACGTAAATGAAGGAGAGTATATATAAGGGACGACAGAGTTTGACAGAAGGATTTCAGATAGGGAGATGTGGGAATGAAATGGGCGAAGAAGTTGGCGAATGAAGCGGGGGCCCTAGGGATCCTAGAGAATATCAGAGGGGGTGGCAAGTTGAGCATTGAGTGTGAGGCAGTGAGGAGAATCAGCCGGATCAGGAAGCAAAGATGAACGAAATGAAGTAGGTGCGGACGAGTCGCATGAACAGACCCAAATGAGATTGTCGTAGAGAGGCGAAGGAGAGATACTCACAATTGTCTCGTCACACAGCGCTACCATCAGAGCGTACCAGCGACGTCGGATTTGCTCGTTATACCCGGCACGACCTGGGTGCCAATGGATAGAACTTTGCACGCCTTGAAGGCGTAGCTTGGGCATGAGAGCTTCGAGCGCATCTTCCCAGCGGTCATGCCATGGCGAGATGAGATTATGGAAATTAGCTTGAAGAAACCCACGCTGAGCGGCGATATTGAATTCTCCTGCGAGGGCCATGGTTGTGTATGTTGCAGGATGAAGGTTTTAAACAGAAGAAGAAAAGAGAAAAGAGAAAAGAAGAGAAGAGAATGTTCCTCCGCCGCCGCCAGTCGCGTCACCCGGTAGCTTAGCCCATGTGCCCCCGGCGTACCGGCGTCGTTCGTCTTCGTGTCCGACGTCGCGTCAAAGCGGGCGTACGCGGTGGCCGATTGTCGAATGACGACGTCTCCGCAGATACATCCGATACCCGAGAACGTTTTCCTGCATGTGTAAGCAGGATCTAAGTCTTTTAAACACATAACCTGCAACTGGCTTGATCAGATCCACTTTGATCAGGCCCCCAGCTGTTATCTTGCTCATAGATCTCCCCTACTTCATCTTCTCCTGTCTCCAGAGTTCCATTACAAAGGGATTGAAGACCAGGAGACGGGGACCAATTCGAGACTGGCTGGGAATAGGGATTGATTGCTCTTTGCAGGGGCTTGAGCTTCTTGGAGTGGCCAAGAGAGACCGAGTCTCTGAGCGATAAGATTGTGGGCTGAGTTGGCCATTGAAGCAGAGTCAGATCGAAGTTGAGCGGCCCCTGAGTCTCAAAGATTTGTGTGAGTCTGTCGAAGTGAGGACATATGGATCGTGCATTGTCTGAGTATCAGCCACAGGGAAAAAATGATGGAAGACAGACAAACAAATCGATGAAAGACAGAGAGAAAAAACCCAGAGGATAAGGGATAGAAGCGATCTTACTCAACACCGATTCAAGAACCAATTCTCTATTCTCTGGCCTCGCATCTTTTAGCTTGCGACCATCCTGACCGGTTCTCGTAGCATGGAGATCGGCCCAGGCCTTAGCCCATAGACTGTGGAGAGAGTGAATCTATGAGTGAGAGACAAACACGACGAAGAACTCGATCCACTTCGACCCCCCCCCCCTTTCCCCCCTATCCTTCCCCCCTACCCTCCCCCTTTGGCCCTCCACTGCGACCAGGGAACCCCGTACGCATGGTTTTCAAGGCGTGGGGGAGGATCTGTACAGTGTGAGGAACCTTTTGGGAACCATGGCGCATCGTGCAACCCCTCCTATGGATTTTTGACAGGCAAAAGTTCACAAAGCTGACCCCCTAACTTATTCTATGTTTGCCGGGCTCTGTTTGGTCCCTAGGACAACGGTTCTACCTGTGACGACTGACGGACACTCCAAATTGGCGCGCTTTTTTTACGTGTATTTGTCATAGGAGGTAAGAGGAGGACAGGAGAAGTAAGGGGTAGTGAACGAAAAGCAAACTTACGAACCTTCCTTCAAATAGCAGTCCAACTTCTCAAAGCAGGACATCATTGTTCGAATAGATACTGCCCACGGAGGACTGAGGCCTTTGTTCGGTTGTACCGTCGTACCCATTGCGAGGTCAAACAATGTTGTTGGGCTGATTGGGCCAATCTAGCAGCATGTCCAACAAAGACCTTTTATCCAAGGTTCCATTGTCTTGTCACCACACTGCCCTTGGTTTTCAGGGCTTCGTACCGGAACCCAGTTATCTGAGACGCTGTATGTGTAAGTTGCAAGAATTCGGGTGTGTAGAAGCATTCTCGGGTCTACCGATGGAAGGACGGGGAGCAGGGCAGGGGCCGAGGGGGGTCGAAGGGAGAGTCCCGAGGACAAGTTGCTGTGGAGATTCATGGCAGTTTGTCTGTCTCAAGGAGTGTTTCGAAGCATGCCAAATTGATTGGTGAAGATTCGAGGGTGTTATCGCAAGATCTGAGAGAGATACATCTCTCTGTAATTGTTATGAATGTCTGTAATGCATGAACAGGTCAAACGAGAGTTACATGTAATCGCCGCGTGGAAATACTCCCGTTACCCTAATTTACATGCAATTGTATACCCCTGCTATGCGTGCAATGACTTGGTGAGTGGAAGTCCTATTGGTGAAGTGGGGTTCTATGTGGGTGAAGTGAGAGTCACCGGTAGTGAACTGTGGCCAGATGTCAAAACAGCTGAAAAAGCAAGGGGAATATTTAAACAAGTAACACCATTATCCTTACACGCTGCGACTGTTCACAAGAACGCTTACACGAGGCCCACGGGACCAACAAGCCAAGTATCATGATCACGCTCTACGAACACCAGGCCGGTCTACGAGCACCAGGACGCGCATGAGTCGATCAACAAGGCTTGCCAAGCATCGAACCCCGATACCCACGACCAAGGTCAAAAGGCCCGGATCAAAATGGTGAAGATCAAGAAGTCACACGATGTTTAGCGTGGGAATTTGCCGCCCTTGGTTGATAACAAGGACATTCATGACACCGGTGGGGTGGAAATCGGTCGCATATGTGGTTTGCACAGTCACTCGAACGATTGATCTTTGATGGAAAGATCTTCGAAGAGCCTCACGGAAGCCTCGAGGCACAGTGGTTTGGGGGATATGTGATCCGCTTTCTGGCCGTTGGGGAGGAAGACTTTTGGGATATATATTTTCCTGTCGCCCAATCCCCCATCGTCTTATCCTTCTTTCCCTTTCTAACTCCATCGCTTTCATCACCTTTCTCACTCAAGCCCACAAGCCTCCTACCCACATCATGCCTTCAGATTCGCAATACTTCTCAACACAGCCAGAGACTCCGCTGTTCTGGAGGAATGCACGAGCCATGTTGCAGAGAGAGGCTCCAGTCGGTGTTGACCTGGGCAGAGTGATTGCGTTTGGCAAGTGTCATCTCATCAATACCCACCCACTTCCTGCTATCCCAAACAGCCCAAGACACCACCGACACAGTCAAGGCTCAACCTGCCGGGCGAGACCGAGTTCACCACTGGCTGTCTCTCCACAGAAACATGATGAGCTGACATCTAGACCTGGAGTTTGTCTGCGTGAAAAGGCCAGACGGCTCCAGAGGAAGCGTTCCTGCACAGTGAGCGGGCCTTTGTTTACTGTCCACATCTGACCCACAGAATCGCCATCTGCAATGGATATGGCGAATGCACAGTGGTGCACATCAATCTTCCAGCCGACGGCCACCTTCATGCTTGGAATACACAGTGTGAGTCACCTGCCTCCTGTGACACCGCTTGATGTAGTTGACAAGTAGACAACAGCCTCTCACCTGATGCCTTGGTGTGAGATGGCTCGATCCTGACACCGCATCCCGCTGGGTACAAGCAAGGATGGCAGCTGCTGACTTTGTATTTCTTTGGGGAGGCCACAATGATTTGAAAGTGAGTGTTGGCCCTTGGTGTGATGGCAACTTACATTACCTGCAGTCGCTGAAGATTACCGCCCCATGGCACAAAACGCATGACCTATCCGAGTCGCCACACCTGCAAGATTTGCTGGGTTGCTTGGAGAATAATAGGCCTATTGGTCTGAAATGGGCTGTCCAATCACTCTTTGGCTGGGTGATACAAGGCTCAGTCACTCAACGCTTTCGCAATCCTTGGGGCGGGGAATACATGCGCACTTATTTGCCCACAGGTCAGCCCATCCCATGGCCTGAACTTGAAGCATCAGCACACAATGTAGTAAGTTGCTCAATCCACCACGACTGACCATGACTGACCAGTCCGAGTCAAAAGACGCCTTATCAACCATGGCAGTAGGGCTTATCCTTTTGCCGACTTTCTTCAACGCAAGAATGAAAGGCCTTAGGACGCATTCGCCTTCGATGTAAGCATCACCTCACATAACACCACCATCACTCATCGTTTGAATCATATTCTGACCATCAGGTGCGGCATCCGTGCTATGACGCATACCGAGCACATTTCCCCTGCCTCTGAGGATCTTCCACGCGGTACCGACGTCGCTGCTCTTGTCCCTCTCATTGCCCCACCCTCAGGCCCACGTCCTCGCCTGCCTCCCCGGAAAAACAAGCCTCCTTCAGCAGACTTTGACATCGAAGGCCCCTGCATCTGCTGTGTCGGTTTGATCGATGTCGCAGAGGAGATGGGTAAATTGGCAGTCTTTATAGAAGCGCTTGGCTTTCGTGTGCGTGGGATAATGGGGAACAAGTTGCAAATCTCAATTTGGTTGGAAGATGCGGGTGAAACCGAACACGTAATCATGGCTTGTGAGTTGGTCCTTCATACGCATGACAATCTCACCAGTCTATGCGAGCAATCTCAATCTCGTTCGCCTCAAAGAGCCAAGCTGACGCACAGTGAACGCCCCTGCTACCGCATTCTCAAACCACTGGCAAACTCGGCGAACATTTCCCAACAATCCCCTGCCATCAATCCCCTGCCATCAATCTCATTCCTCCTGGCTGATGACCTGCTTGTCCACTCCCTGGCTGACTGTGAAACATATGCCAAAGCTGCTGCCGAACGTGTCGAACAACTGTCTTCTCGCGCCACACAAAAGTCTTCCCACTCTGCACCACCACGCTCCTCGACCAACCCTAGACGCCTGATCGCCCCTCCATCCTCACTCCCGCCCCAAGACCTTCTCTACCTCTGCCACTCTATGACCGCCCCCAATCCCTCACAGCCACTCTCTTGGGGTTTACCCTGGGGAGGTTCCCAACCTCAGCAGCTACCTAATCCTCGATGGGGATTTCAAGAGCAGAGGCGAATACCATGCTCAGACCACCCAGCCTATGATCCTACTTCAGGTGGGAGAGTTTGGCTATACCTCAGAAGGGAAGCGGACGACCCCCAGCAACCATTTGATCAAAAGGATGGGCTTGAAATTGATTGGTTGTTTGTAACGGTACTGGAAACACGATGGCTAGGTCGCAGGTTGGGTCGAACTCGATGGATGTCTCGTGGAAGTCTAGGGTCTCTGGTGCTAATGGATCGTGTCTCCTCTGCAATCGATGTAGCCAAAGAATGATATTGAAGAATCAGCAAAGTTGGTACTTTGCTGATTGTACTATATACTGTCTACAAGAGTCCGCGTCCTCCTCTCAGTCCTACTGCAAGCGTCTATGTACATACTCGGACAGGTGAAAAACCGCTTTTGAGCAAACCCAGTGGGGAAATCTCGAAAAGGGAAAACCCGTCCCTACCTACTGCAGCACTGCCTCCAACTCTCGCCGTTCTCTTTCCTAATCCGTTGAACTCGATGGAGTTCTCTCGATTTGTTGTTACTCCGTAACATTGTTCAATTCCGCATTGGTGAGACGATTTCAACTCAAGACCATGGATGGTATGTTGCCATTCAAAAGGAGCCGTACTGGGGGTATATCGAACATTGGCATGGGGGCAGGGGGGAGTGTGACAGCGACAAAGAGACAGTGAATAGTGCAGCTCGAAGATTTCTGGCGGCTTTATAAAATCATTGGTTCCGACCTATGCCCACCATCAGGCAAACGTGGCGGACCGATCGTACGCTTCAATCGATGTTGTCACGCCCTGCGTATGCTGAGGGATGACGCCGATGGTTCTCGTAGGGAGTTGGCTCTGGAGCGTTTGCGAGAAACTAGAGCACGGTATAGAAACGAGGAGTTTGCGGTAGGAGAGTGGCAGTGCGATGAGTACGAGAAGGCCATTGAGGGCCAATGTGGAGTATGGTGACCCACTGCAACTCCGGTCGCAACAAGAGCGGAGGCCATGCTGTTGTACAAGGAACGTATGACCGAAGAGGTACGTTCAGAGGGATTTGCTGACGAAGAAGAAGTCGAGGAGCGTGTGGAAGATGAGGAACGGCAGGGGGTAGAGGTTCTCATGCCGAATGAACTGGCTACGGTAGCATCCGGAGAGCAGCGTATCAAAACCATTACACCGTCGTCCAACTTGAACGCGGACAATATGTGGGATCATCTGTGAACCATAGCTTTATTTTGTTGATGCAGTTGTCAGAGTTCCGCCTTTGACAAAAATCCGCTCTAAAGGAGGAGATATGGAACACGGAGAGGGCCATTCGATTGTTGTTTTTTTGGCCGATTTTTCTTTTTTTTTTGAGCCGAGATTTCTTTTTCCAGCGATCAAACTTTACTCTAGATGAGGTTCATCGAGATTCAAGCGCACTCACTGCTTTGTGAGATTGGAGAAGACGCTACCTTGTGTAGAATGATTGCATGCTGACGAAGCTCCCCCGCATTGGAAAAGTGGCACCCGACGTTTTTACTTCCAATCGCCACGGAGACCCCGGACGCATGACTTTTGAATTCAAGGGGTAATTCTACTCATACTCACAGACATTTTGATACTCTTGGCCACGTCAAACACCCCTCCTTCGGATATTTGACGGGCGGGCCAAGATGACGGTGGAGTGTTAAGAATGGGGGGATTCAGTGGACGATCAGGCGGCGGAAGCCGAAACGCCGTGCGCGTATTGCTCGATGTCACGAACTACGTCGTGACACCTCGATTACTCCACCAACAATGACCCTCCTTTGACCATCAAAACCCCATCACGCCTTAACCTCTTTACTCTACACGTAACTCAGGACTTCTGAGACCAAGTACGGCGAAGTTAGACGGAGTTAGGCTAAGTAGGGACAATGGGAGCAGAAGTACGGCGAAGTTAGACGGGGTTAGGCTAAGTAGGGACAATGGGAGCAGAAGTACGGCGAAGTTAGGCGGAGTTAGTCGAAGGAGGAAGAGGATGGCCGAGGGCTCGGGGAAGTTGGACGAAGTACGTTGAAGTACGTCAAAGCGCGAGGGGGTTGGGTGAACGTCTAGGAGGAGTAGATAATATTAGCTGAGAAGATCGCTGAAGTTCTTCAGCGATCCTTGATTGTTGTCAGTAGTGAAAGACAGATAGAGATAGCTATATACAAATCAAGATACATCGCCATCAGTAGAACAAAACCCCAGTTAGAGTAACTACGCCGAAGTACGCCGTAGTTACACTCCTTTCGACGTCTGCGCCCTCCCGGTTGGGTGAGACATCGATTCAGAAGCGTCAAGTTAGCCGAGGTTCGTCGACCGTCGGTCTGCCAGAAGGTAGTTGTTCGACGGCCGTGACACTCGACTGATGATCTCACTTCCGTCATGGTCTCTGAAGGACGTGAATGATATGCATGGAATATAAACGTTGTTCATGTAGTACATGAGAAGGTCAAAGTCTGTGTGGTACATAGATCAAACATGGATGAGACATGGATAGGACATGGATGGGACATGAATGGGACATGAATGGGACATGATGTGTGGCCAAGGAGGCTCACTGTGAGAATGATATTATGCTATGGCCTGAACCTCAAAAGCCCACCGTATGATGCGAAACGGATTTCCTCCCCTGCCCCGCTGTCTCTCACCTATCTGCACTCAGCCCCGCGTTGCACTATACCTCCTGACGTTTGCTTCAACCCCTGTTGCCATCCCCTCGATAGCGCAACTACGCCCCTCTGCCGACCAACTGTGGCCCTTCATTTGTCCACATCACCCAGGCGCTTGCCGTTGCGGAGACGCTGGCCGGTGCTGCCCGTGGCATTTCCCCCAGGCAAACACAATGCTGTACCGCGTTCTGGCATCATTGGCGCGTCGCTGTCGGTTGCCCCTTCGCCTTCTGAGCTGGCGTCAAATGATTCTCCTGCGCTGCTTTCTCCGTCAGGCTCATCGGTGAAGCTGCCCCGACCGATGCCTCTCCCACGCTTTTTGCCGGCTCGCTTCGCCACCTTGTGGCGAGACTCCTTTCCTTTTCCCACCGCTGCCTTCTTGTGATTTACTCCAGCGTGTTGCTTTCCATTCTCCCCCGCAGACTCTGTTTCAATTGCCATCGCTCCCTGCTGATCATCGTCCATCGCTTCCTGCCGATCATGCTCCCCCACCTGCTCCCAGATCCCCGACGTGTGTGCTTGGTTCTGACTGCCAGCGACTGTCGGCTCACTTGCCTGGCCCGAACCTTCTGGCTCCGATCTGTCCGCCGTATCCGAAGCGTCTGCTACCCCCGTACGCTCTACCCGCTTGGTTCACGACCACTTCCTTTTAGTCGAGTGAGCTGGACGGACAAATCCGAACAGGAGCTCCTTCAGCTCTTTGAGGCTACCTCCTGCCGTCCCCGCAAAGGTGGGATTTTTGCGCTTATAACGCGTATCTCCCCCGCCGACACAGAGCAGGTGAACGGCTGCCATATGTTGCAAAAACTCAAGCATGTCGGCGTGCGTACGTCCCGCCAGGCGACAGGTCGGATCAGGGCAAGCTAGCACCCCATTGAGAAAGCAGAACACAAAAGGACCATCTTCGTCCCTATGCGGGGTCGCGGAGGACTGACGTTCTTCTGCCGCTAACCACAGTTTGCCCAAGCAATCTCTGATATGACTGCGGAATGCTGAGGAATTAGGCGGGTGTTGGCGGAGCCTGTGAGTGAATGAAAGCGCGGGATCGTGAACGCACAAGAGACAGATGCCGGGGTGTATGACGAGCCTGCCCTTCTCCACCTCGAGTGCATACCGAGTGTCCGGCGGATTACCTGGTGCGGGCTCCTTTGTGCTGACGTCTTTGGGCACGATCAAGTCCGTTCGCACACCCCAGGGCGAGGCGGACGCCTCCTTGTAGACCGCATCATATGATTCGAAGCAGTTTCGGTAATGATCGGCTGGGTCGGGCAGATAGCGCTGCTGGAGGTAGCAGAACGGAGCCAAGGTAGGGAAGCCGAGGGGATTTGGGTCGGTCTGCCCTGCCTTGAACCGGGGCCTTTGCAAGGGGAGCCATATCCCGTGAGCGTAGATGAGATGCTCTCTGAGCAGCCCAGAGTCGGGGAATTCGCCGTCGCCGCAAGCGGGGTCTGCACAGCGTACGATACCTTTTCGCCTTAAGGCAGTGTCCACCGCCTGGAGCAAGTCCGCCGGAGCTATCGCCCCCTTGTTGATGAGCAGTTTGACTGGGCGATAATTTTCGAAGCGGACAGGGCATTCGGCATACCCTGACAGGTCGCAATGATGTTGTATATCGGCAATTGGCAAGGCTCGAGCAGCAGGGAAGCTTTGTTGAGCAGGTGAAGGGTGCGTCCTCGTGGGACGGAGTGGGCAGGATCATGCGCCGGTCCGTCTCCTGTCGCTACGTCGTCTGCGTCGGATTCTTGCTCGGTGGCTTCGTCTTCGAGGCTTTGGTGGGACTCTGCGTCTGCTAAGGTGGCGAATTCGTGAGGGTACTGCATGCTGGCCGTTCCCAACAAACATTCGAGCGTCTCGGCGTTGTACTCGACCAGCTCCCCAGAGCTCCCGAGCAGGTCTGGCATAGATGCAACAGCCTCCTCTATGTCCGCGGGATCTTCGGACAGCTGGCACTGGTGTCACAATCGTCGTTTCTTCTTCTCTACTGACCGACAGTCGACAAACCTCGGCTAACTACGTCGTAGTGGGGCGTCGATGTCTCACTAAGACAGGGTACTCGTCGAGGAACTACGGCTAACTTCGCCGTAGTGATACGTCGAGTGGTAAATGATAAGATGATCGTCGATGAACTGCGGCTAACTTCGCCGTAGTACGTTGAACTGCTCGGTGGTAGCTCTCCTTAACTCGAAGGTTGTAGCTACTGAATATATCTCTCGCTACTGACAACAATCAAGGATCGCTGAAGAAGTTCAGCGATCTGTAAACTATCTATACTACTCCTCTCTTCTCATAGAACGTCCCTCAACTCCTGCACTGCCTCACGCTCAGTCCTCTTCGTTCAACTTCGCCGTACCTCGCCATATCCCCGATATCCTTCTCCGCTCACTTTGACTAACTTCGCCTAACTTCCCCTGTTCTGCTCTCCCTCGGTTCCCTTCCCCTAACTTCGCCGTAGTTCTCCGCTAGACGGGGTTATCGTGATAAATCCCCTCTTGGTTCTTGTAACTTCGCCGTAGTTGGTCTCAGTGGTTCGAGTGGAGGTTGGTGGTGGTGAAAGGAAGGTCGGTGACGGTGAAAGGAGGGTCGGTGATGGTGGTTGTCAGGGATGTTACGACATAGTTCGTGACAACTGGTAGTCGGTGCAGTTGGCAGAGTACCATTGCCGTAATTTGCGACGGAATGCCTCATGCGCATGCGAGCGCCACCAAGTCCCGAGCTGTTCGTAGCTCACAGCGATAGCCTGTTGGACGTCGGGCGGGGCTGCTCTGAAAGGCCCAAAAGGTTTGAGCGATTCAGAGCACAGGATCTGGTGGGCGTTGAGCAGGGTGGTATCTGAAGGTCAGTCTTGGGTCTCACGAATCACGTCGTTGGCACAGTGGGGATGTACGCGGTGGCAAGATGGAGGCCTGATGGCAACGACCTGATGTGCACGTGGGGGCCCGGGTTCGAAAGGGGTGATGGACAATGTGTCAGTGAGAGATGACAGATGGACACTCACACTCGGGGCTTTCTTGTAGTGTCTGCACCCCTGTGAGCGACAGGTGAATGGGAGCGTTCGATGTCACTTTGAAAAGGTTTGGGTGCAAGCTAACCGACTCGGCCATAAAGCCCTGAACCTTCTTGCGTTCAGTGGCCGATTTGCGATGAATATAAGCAGCAATGTCCACTCCGCTGGGTGCGTCAGCACGTGTGTCGTGGGGATGGATACGCAAGTCCACAGGAGCTGACAGAGTGGACAGAGACGCGGATGAGGGAGATGGGTGAACCAGAACGAAGGACTCACGGCATGTCGCCCGTGTATCTCCGCATGACTTCGGAAGCGAGCTTATGACCTAATTGCTGTGTTGCCTGAGCGATGCTGGCGCCTGTAATTGTCAGCTGGCCCTCTTGGTTGCATGGCAATGTGTCACGGACCTTGGGAATGCATGCGGACTGCCACGGCCCTCCGGACTGCGTGGGGGGTGACGCTACGCGGGAAACCAGCCGTGCGTGAGATTCTTTTGCATGCGTCGTGCATCCGGTCGGTGTTCCATGTGACTGAGCCGCCATTGACAAACCCTCTGCATAGAGCTTGGTCGCGGGGAAGCGTCTTTGAAACACAGGGTGACAGCTTGGGTCCAGCGAGCGGGCATGAAGATTTCGGCGAGGGTGCAGGGTAGCGCGCCATCTATGTTGGCCAGGAGCAGGAAGAAGAAGATGGGGCATTTCCAAGGGAGCGGCTCGGGCACAAAGACGTGCTTGAGTCTACGAGTGGCTGCGGTCTTGCCGCCTCGCGGGGTGAAAAATGATGGCGATCTCGTTTTGCGCCTGGGGGATTACCGCTGGCTTGATACGTAGGCGGAGGTCGCCGTAAGTCATGCTTGTATCTGGGCAACCAGGCTCTTTTGAGCGAAGGATGCTGCCGATTCGGATGGCGCTCTGTCGTATCATTGCGAGTATGAGCAGGACCTGCCATCGGGTCCGGGTCTGCAGGGGTTCATAGGCGGTGGACAAGGCTGTGGAAGCGAAAGCAAATAGGGCGGTGTCATCGGCGGAGCCGGGGGGTATCACTTGATTGCAGAGGAGCCCCGCCAGGACAAGATCTTTGCGAAGATGGCGGTAAACAATTTTGCGGAAGCCGGAGGGGTAGCGTGTGGATGCTTCTTCAAAATGCGGGAAAAGGTTTGAGAGCAATGAGGAGGCGGATTTGACGGTAGGCAGTTCAAAGTACAGCGGGTTAGCTGTATGCGCCCACCATTCCGTAAAGGCGCAGAACGCTGCAATGGGCAGGGTGGGGGATGATGAGGGTAAGGTGGCTTCTGGTGCCGATGGTTCGCCGGGTAGGAGGCCGACATTGCCGTCGCGCTGGGAGCGTGGCGAACCAGGTCGCGAACATCTTCCATGCGTGGGCTCGGGTCAGTGCTGTCCTGACGCTTAGATGATCGGTTGAGAGCGTTTGTGCGGGTGACTGGTCTTGCATTGCGCGGAGCTGTTCGGCCAAAGTCGCTGAGTCCATGATGGCTGTGATGCGAGTGGGAGGTGGTGCGATGGTAGTGCCGTTCAAGGGACTGCGGAGGTGATGGAGATGCAATGAGGTGTTCGCGAGAGGGGTGGGAAGTTGGGTGCGAGGGAAGAGATGTGGATGTGTGAAGGAATGAAGGTGCGAACGGTAGACTGGCTTCCCAAAACGGTGGGGACGTTCGCGGCGTTGGGGAGGTTGACGTCATGTGTGCCGCCGATCGCGAATTCGCATGACGCGCGAATCCGATGCCAGGTGTCAGTGGCGGTTTTGCGGACGTCCACTTGGGGCACACCCCTAGTTCACTTGGGGCACAACCTGCCACAACACGTGGCCAGGAACACATAGGCCTCGGGGTTTCACTAACCCCGACCACGCGTCAGATATGAACTCGCCACTGATCGGAATTTCAGTAACGCCGAACTCCACCACAACGACGCGACATGTCTGCTCGCTACCTACCAACCTGTCCTCACCACCACTAATCTCTTTATCGTCATTTTACCAGTAAACTCACGCTCTTTTTCACACACACGGTCTCTACTCGTCTCAAGGATCATTTTGATACTCTTCTCACTCGTTTACGACTATTTTTCACCCACTTCTGGCCCTTCGCTTCTTCAACTGCGCCCTCCCTGACTACCACCCATCAAATTGCTATAACTTCTGACCGAGCAATTGTGGTATTCTCTCGTCTTCTCGACACTGCTCTACTGCTCTCTGCGAGTCCGTGAGTACTTGTTTCATCATCAGAAGTGAAAATCTGACTTCAATAGGCCATCTCGCCATCATCATCCTCGCCACCAAACCCCTCTCGAGAGATTTTTTTTTTACTCTTCAACAACACATCTTCAGCCTTGGTGAATAACTCGACACTGTTCTCCTGTTCGTCCTGAGCTGTGAGTACTTGTTTTATCATCAGAAGTGAAATGCTGACTTCAATAGGCCTACTTAACATCATCATCCTCGCCACCGAACTCTTCGAAAAATCTTTTTTCCTGCGATAACACATCTTCAGCCTCTATCGATAACTCGACGCTGTTCTCCTGGCCTCTGCGAGTCTGTGAGTACTCTTCTCATCGAAAAATGTAAAAATCTGACTTTTACAGGATCTTGTCATCATCATCATTTTCGCCACCGACATCCTGGCAAAAAACTTTTTTAATTCTTCAACAACACCACCCCCGGGGTCCTAATTTGTCGACATGTATTCTGCTGGTCTCGGGCTACGAGTGAGTACCATTTTTACTGCATGAAGTAGTCATTCTGATGAGTTAGATGTCATCACCGATTCTTATCCAATCATCACCACCCTCTTCACCAATTCTGGATCGTTTTTCACGGTCCCCTTCTATAAAATACAGTCCTCGCCACTCTCGATCTTCTTCTATCGTACCAGAAACTCAGCAACATCGTCCTCAAGATCATGACAATGATTCATTGGACGAATTACTTGAAAATCTTGGTATTACCCCTCGCGAAGAACCAGGGTTTGATGCTGTGGCTCACCACATCCACCCCCCCCTCGATCTCGAACCTCAACCTACCATGGAAGCTGCTCGACTACATACTCAGCAGGTTGCCATGGGACATACTGTCTGCATCGTCACCAAACGCAGTATAAAAGACAAGGGGAGGCTTGAACTTCAGTGTGTTCATGGGGGGGATGGTCGGTCACATCGAACCAGTGATTTCGAAGAGGTTAGAAAGCGACCCCGAACCACCAAGCAAAGTAACTGTCCCTTCTCTATCATTTGGCGAAGGGAGACTAAGAAGATTGCTCAACAGGCCAACCGTGCGCCCCTCTGGATCCCCTACACCATCAAAAATTCTCATAATCATGAACCATTGCCACTCCTCTATTACTCTTTTATCCGTCAGGCTAGTCGGTCTCCTGAAGTTCTTCAGTTCATCAGACATCTCCTCGAAAGTGAACACACCCTTCGAAGTGTTGTTTTAGCCGTTCAGCTTCATTTTGGTGACAAAGTCTCCCTCACCAGGAAAGACGTCGAAAATATTCGATTTTCTCATGAAAAGGCCCTTCGACAAGGCCTCTCTGCTACCGAAGCAGCTATTACACGTCTCACCGACAATAACGATCTTTTTAAAGCGTTCACCAACAGTAAAAAAGAACTTTGTGGACTCGTCTTTACCACTCCGTCAGCCAGAGCTATGACACATTCCTATCCTACAGTCCTTTTCATGGATTGTACATACAGAACCAATCGATATCGTCTTCCAATGCTTCACATTGCTGGATGTACTGCTACGAATCAAACCTACACCTCTGCAATTGCGTTTTTAAGTCGAGAAGTGACTGAATGGTACTCCCTGGCCATCGAGGCCTATCTCCAACTCATTGGGCCTATCAACAATGATATCAAAGTTATCGTATGTGATCGTGAAATCGCTTTACACAACGCTCTGTCTATCCACCTACCTCATGTCCACCTTAATTATTGTCGGTGGCACATTCGCGAAAACATCAAGGTCAACTGTCGAAAACATTTTTCGTCCCTTTATAAAGAGGAATGGGTGGAGAAGTTATCTGAATTTGGTGATCATTTTCAGAACAATATCTGTAAAGCAAAGTCTGAAGAGTCATTAGATAAAGCTCTGTCATCAATGCAGACTCGGTGGGGACATGAACAGTTGGATGGTGCGAGGGCTTATGTGAGACAATTGGTGGATGAACATAAGACACACTTTGTCTCTGCTTTTATCGATAAATACCCTCATCTTGGACAGACAGCAAACTCTCGACTTGAAGGAAATCATAATGCATTCAAGAACTGTCTCAAAAATGCGTATAGCGACTTCTATGGATTACTGCGAGTTGCTCAACGGTTCTTCGACGATCAATGTGATACAATATTACACAAGATGGCTCATGACCGACTCGTACAGGATACCACCATCAACTCTGTCTTTTATAATGTCAAGAATCGAGTCTCTCAATGGTCAATTTTCCTCATGAAAAAGCAGTATGATAAAGCAAGCAGTGGCAAGGTCGAAAATGATGATGAGAGTAACCTGTATTCGACATCCATGGGCCTCCCTTCTGCTCTGCAGATAAAAGAAGTACTAGAAAGAGATGGTACCATTGCTCTTGGTCCTCTCCATCGTCATTGGCGTCTCCTTAACCCCATGTCCTGGCCAGACACGATCAAACAGGCCACTGCAAAAGTTAGTGGAGATGTTAGTGGGGTTCATCCACTGCTAGGGCCTGAGTGGGATGTCGACAATGATACGAATCGAATTCGAGATCCCCACCTTCGAAGAAACCGGTTGGTATTACCCATGAAGAACCTCAAGAACCTCACCACCACTCAGATCGATCTGACCACCATCGAAGACGACGATCTACCTGCTGATAATCCCTACTTTTTACCTCCTTCTCCTACTCTTCCTCCTTCTCCTAAAAGAGGGGTAAAATCGAATTCTACACAGCTCGCAGATGATGTCTCTCACACTGGCCGTCTCCACACTCAGTCAGAGAAATTCCTTGGTGTCAAGAAAAAGGCAAATCGTCCCTGTCCCCTGTGTGGTTCAAGAAGTCATGGTCCTAAGAAGTGTAAAAGGGCTAATGAACATCGAGAGAGGGATCCTGAGGCCTATGATCGCGAGGTAAAGGCGTATGATGCTGGAGAAACGACCTGGACAGAGGGATCAGTAATGGGGACTAATGCTGCTCTTGAGAAGAAGATCTCGAGTCTTCAGGAGATGGTTTCCGGCCTGGCTAAGAGTATTGAGGACAGAGATAAAAGGGAGAAGGAAAATCGGCCTGTAGTAGTGAGGACAGAGGACAGGATGGTGAGGACAGGAGAAATGATCACTAGGACAGGTTATTTGGTGGGTTTCTCATATGATAATGACATTTCTCCTTCCCTCCTTCTCCCCCTCACTGTCCTGCAGTCATTCCTGGCTATATTGCTCTGTCTCTGTCTATATTGGCCTCACGATTTCGAAAATTTTCACTCTTCTCTTAGTCTCTTACTTCTAAAAGTTTCCTGCAAGCTGATTGGTCCAGGAGACACCAGGAAACGGCCAATATCAACCGAATGTGAGTCTCTAATACTGCATTATCGGCTGTATCCGATGGGGGGTCTCTAATGAACAGGTACCCCCATTTTTCGACATTTATCCTCTTGAGGAGAGGTACCTACCACCCCCCCCTCTTCCACCTACTCTCCCTCCTCTATCCTCTCAATATTGGCCTCCCTATCCCTCCCAGGGCTCTTCTAGACATCCCTATGGCTCATATTATCCTCCTGGACACTGATAGTATGAAGAATGCATGGACAATGAGCGGAAATGACATGGTATAGCTAATAATGACATTGACGATGTAAGAGAAGAGTGAGCAATCAGAGGTCGCGGGGTTAGTGAAACCCCGAGGCCTATGTGTTCCTGGCCACGTGTTGTGGCAGGTTGTGCCCCAAGTGAACTAGGGGTGTGCCCCAAGTGGACGTCGGTTTTGCGCCTGCTGATGACGCGCCCCTTTGCCACGTGACAACTTTTATACGTCATATCACCCTTTGCCACGTGGCAACTTTTATAGTTTATCTGAGATGGTCGAGCATGTGTGCAAGTAGTAAGTGCTCTAGCTATGTAAACTGTATATATACCATGTACCATGTACTTACTTGCCATCGAATGCTGTAACCTTCTTATGTGATTGTGGAGCATGGTGCATGGTGCAGGGAGAAAATCAACAAGGCAACCCCGTCAATTCATGCCATACAGTAAACCGTTGGCGGCCGTTGGGTGCGTACATCTTGTCATCATCATTCTTAACTCTTTGCTTCTTTCAACCTCTGCGTCACATTCCATATATCCTTAAGAGTCCCTTGGCATGATCATGGCCGAAGGTACCCCATCCGCACAAGCTGGTCCTTCAGACTGGCGTACGGCCTCCCGACGTTCATCCAATCCTGGTCCAGGGAGACCGTCAAAAGAAAGAATGGTGTCTCTCAACTCGGAGCAGGATCGAGAGGAGGTTCTCAGAGAGGCCGAGGTGAGTTGGGCTAAGTTATCTTCACCTCCTGAATTCTATGACCACACTCTCCATCTGTTCTTTCATTGCACTTCTTGACAGTTGGGTTTGACCGGACAACTGACCTCATATACAGATCAATCACGTCGAAGTTGCTCTCTCCACTCAATCTGAACACGTCATCCCCACCTCTCGACCCCGATTGGGAATCTCCACACCTTCTGACCGAACCGACCCAGTTCACTCGGTATCTGCCTTGTACACCTCCGCTTCAGACTACTTCGCTCTTCCCGGTGCACCACAACTCACACGAGTCACAACATACTCGTCTTTACCTCCTTCACCCCGACCCGACTTCTCATTTGACCGTCGACCAGAAACGACGGAACTGGAAGAGGTGCTACATAGACTTCAACGAGACACCGCGCTTGACATAGAGGATGAAGTAGATCAGTTTTGGGAAGCTGAAGTGGGAGATGTAATTGGCGAAGATCATCATGCCGTAGGAACAAGATCCTCTGTTGAGAAAGTTGATAAACTTGAGAAAGCGATTAAATTGGACAGACCTGACACACTTGCTCCGGGTCAAGTGGGTAGCACGAGCGTATGGAAACTTCTGATCGACGAGGATGGGGCCGAGGAATGGGACGGCTGGATCGTAGATGGCAAATGGTTCGTCCACCCATACCTCCTACTCATGTACTGGCTGATTTCGGAAGGGAGAGAATCTCAAATTTCCTCGCTGTTCCGCTCGCTGTTGAAAAGGTGTGTTCACTTGACTGTCGCATGAAGTATATGTTGATCTGCAGGTGACTCTGTTTGGAGCTCTTCTATGTTTAGACGGGTTCCTGTACAACTTCACCATTTTACCCTTCCGAGCCACCTTCGCCGTGGTGCGTCTTATCCGTTTGATCTTGGAAGGAAAACCCATTTGGCCCGTTCCTCCTACTCAACTGCATTCTCTCTTGAGGATGTTATTGTTGGTCATCCCCACTGCGGTACTTTTGTGCGGGACGGACGCTAGCAAGATGTATCACTCTGTCAGAGGACAGGATACCATCAAGCTTTATGTCATCTTCAACGCTCTTGAGGTGAGCTATCCCTCCTCCTCTAATTGCATCTCCAATCTCGTTATGTTTTGTAGTGATAGCTCCGCTGATATCAGATCGCCGACCGATTATGCTGCGCATTCGGACAAGACGTATTGGACACTCTGTTCGCCAAAGAAACCCTAGCTCCGACCAATAGGAAAAGTGGTAGAGGGAGGAAACGTCAACAAGCTCGACCTTTGTTCTTCTTTGCCCTTGCCTTAGGCTATGTTTGTGAGTTCTAATCAGCTTGCGAATGTAGATCGGAAAGAATATCAAGTTGACAAGAAGTATGTCACACACTCATCTACTTCTACATGCTGGTGTCCCTCAATGTCGCTATCAATTCGTATGACTACACACTGCTATCGCTCCTCATCAGCAATCAGTTTGTGGAAATCAAAGGGTCGGTATTCAAGAAATTTGAAAAGGAAAATCTGTTCCAGATTATGTGTGCAGGTGAGTCTACAGCCTGCCTCCCTCATCCTTCAGACCTCCAGTGTTCGACAGAGTCGCCAGTGACACTTACTGTATTGGATGATCCATTACTGACGATACAGACATCGTCGAACGGTTCCAGCTAGGCCTCATGTTGTCCGTGATCGCCCTGCGTAATATGATAGAGATGGCTGGTTCCGACATTGCTTTCCTACCCAAAAGCTTTGTGCGAGGAAAACATCTGGTGGATGCTATCATGTCTGTGAGTGCATCTGGCAAAGGATACTACACACTTGTCCCTATGCCTGATAAGGAAATCCCTAAAGTAGCATGCTAAGTAACAGCCCGTTCTCTTCGTCATCGTCTCCGAGATGCTGGTCGATTGGCTCAAACACGCCTTCATCACCAAATTCAATCATGTCCGTGCTTCGGTCTACGAACGCTTCACTGATATCTTGGCCAAAGATGTCTTGCTCGCTGGTTCACTCAGCAGCAAGCGGACAGTCAGAGGCAGAAATGTGAGCTTCCATCCTCAAAACACGGGAAATTATGTCAACGACTGAAACGCCTAGCACCCGATACTGCTTGACCAATCTCCTCTTGTGGCTCGACGAATGGGATTTGCCTCTATCCCTCTGGCGTGTTTGGTCATACGCATAGCTGCTCAGGCTCTGGGTATGTTGACATCTTCTTCGCACCACACAGATGCGGACGTGGGTATGGGTGAAGGGGCATGGGCATGGACGGCTCTGAAATGGGCAGGTTGGATTGGGGTGGGTTTGAGCGGCTGGGGATGGTGAGTACGATTCTGCCGGCCGAGCGAAGAGACTAATGTCACAGTTTGGTGGCTTTGAAGATATTCCTAGGACTATCTTTGCTAAGCTTTGCGGCTCTGAGAAGGGAGGAAATGGATGAGAGAGAAGCGGAGGACGTGGTGAATGATTACGGTCGGAACCCCGTCGGAGAAAGTAAGGAAGAAGCTGTGCGTCCTTATATTTATCTGTTGCCGACATCTCACCAAGTCGTGTTTGAGAGAGGGTATCAAGAAGGGGGAGTACAATCCATGGTGAACATCTAGTTGATGAAGCGAAAGTTGTCGATTCGCGGAGAGGAATACTGATCAGGTAGGAGTACAACGCACAAACCACGGAATATCTCTCTCAAGATCAAGACGACCTTCCAGGTTACCAATCCCCTGCTTCTGCTGCTTCTCCCAATACGATTTTTCGTTCAGGTTCGACTCCCGCTCGCAAATACTCCACCCCGCCTCCTGGAATTGAGACCAGAACCAACACATCGGGGAAGAAGTCGTCAAAGTGGAAATTGGAGGATGTCGAGAGATGGACGATGGTCAAACGTATATGGTGATATTGCATCCAAATTGTTGTTTGTATATCATACATCTCATTTGCATCTATTCTTTCGCTGGTGGTTTAGATAGCAAAGATGAGCCTCGGAGTTTACCCGCCCAATCGTATTTTGCCTGTAGTGGGTCAGCTTCTGCGCCAGATCATCAAGGCTGAGAATGAGAGATGGAGTTTGAGACTTGAGGTAGAGGCGAGTTTAGCAGTGGAAAATGAAGACGGTAGAGAGAGACTCACATCATTGGACCATGCGATAAGGGCGATGCTGGCAGGTGCCAAACCCGCCAATATGAAGATATGTCGTGTGGCCCTTCTGGTAAATTTGAAAGTCTGATAGACGTTTTCTCGCTACCATATGAGCTATTTGTCAAAAAGCAGTGAGAGCTCACCATATAATTCCATCTCTCTATAGCAGGATCCAGCTGAAGGTCAGTCATCTGAACCGTACACCGTAAGCGGACGAATTAAATCCGTCCCATACACTGGAATGCCATTTTCTACTCAGTCACGGTGAGAAGAGGGACAACATACCCGGACTGGTTCTATCATCGTCAGCTTACCAATTGGATTCGACAGCGAGCTCACGATGATGACCGTCTCCTGCCATTATGTCCGACTTTGCCTCAACGTTTGAAAGGTCAACTGGTCAACTGGGGAGAACAGGCTGGTGGTAGAAGAGGGTGTAGGAGCGGGATCAAAATCACCATCACCACACCCGGGATTATCGTCGGCGTTTCCATCCTGTCCTTCCCTTCAATACCCTTCTCTCACACAGCCTACAGCCTATGTACTCGTACTGTAGCAGTTATAAAGACCTGCCTCCTCCTCTATTCAACTCGGTCATCGCCTTATCACTCGATTCTCTAGTCAAGGCTTCCAAGTCATGTCAACATATCGTCAGGAAAGACCACCCTCACCACCTTCTCCCTACAGACAAAGATACTACTCCCCCTCCCGAGCTGTCTCGAGATCGCCTTCCCCTCCTCCCACGAGGTATGACAATCGTCCCCAGTCTCCACCTAGGAGATATCCATCGCCTGCTCCTAGATTGCCACCCCCGAGGAGATACGATGACATACCTCGAAGACCCGAAGATAGATACAATATCCCGCCCAGACGACCGTCTCGTTCTCCCCCGCCCAGAAGACTTCCTTCTGGGTCTCCTCCTCGACGTTTCGACGCTCGGGAACCGCCCCGTGGACCCCGTGCATTAGATGATTGGACTCAAGAGGGGATTTTAGGTATGGCGGCTGATCGGGAAGCTGCCAGGGCTGCCAGATTACCTACACGGCCCAATCTTTCCGGTGGGCAGTGGGAGAGGGGGCAAGATCCCGAGGAACTTTCAGTAAGCCTTCTCTTCTCAGACGTATCGTTGACTTAAAGACTAATCGTCAGTCTCGGAGTGGTAGTGTTCAAGATGATAGGATACGAGGTCCTGTTCCTTCGAAAGAAGTGGAATTTATCGGTCTTGATCCAGAGCTCAGAGAAGATGACGTAGGTCTATCAAGACTGTCATGTAAGTGGGACGAGCTGATGGCAGCTCGCACAATATCTACGAGGAGAACATCGTGTCAGCTTTGACTCCATAATTTTTCGACGAGAATCTCGCATGAGGCAAGCTGCTCGTGTTCGATTCTCAACTGTCGCAGGAGCCACAGAGTTCTTGGATCTCAAGTAGGTCAACTATCCATCACGTTGAGCCGGAGCTGATGCAGCAGCGCTCCTTTCATTCTCATGCCTGCCCTGTACGAGCATTCCGAGCCGAAAAAAGTCAAGGTTGAATTTGCCACACCTCTATCCGAAACATCTCGAAACCTCCCACCTCGACCGCAGCCGGCCGCGGTAGCACCTGTCAGATTTGACGGCATGCGTGACATTGGGCAACCAGGAGACGGGAAAAGAGTCCTCTTATTACGTGAACTTGATCATCGAGTCCAAGGCACAGAGATCATCCGACGTATGGCGCAGGAAATATCAAAAATGATGGGAAGAATCGGAACGGAAATGGAAGCGGAGGGTGCTATCACGAGAGTGATTCGTATCGTGGATCGCCGGACTAGGCAAGGTTGTGGTTTGGCTTTTGTGGAGCTCGTCACCACCGAGGTGAGTCAGATTTATTATTTCAAGGACCACTGCTGACTATCCAAAGCTTGCTACACAGCTTCTGAGTTATTTGATCAATCCCATGACCCAGCCAATGGGTTTCACGATTGTAGGTGTACCAGCAGCTCCTTCATTCGCCAACCCGACTTCTTTCGTTCCACATGCTGCTGGACTCCTAGGCGGAGAATTTCTAGTCCGGGCAGCGCGTTCGGGAGGTATTGGCAGCGAAACCATCGATCAACCGGATGGCAAATACTGCGCGTATTGGAACGACCAAGCGGGAGCTATGGAGACTGCTCCTCCGGGCATGTCAGTTTCTGAGGATGGTACGTTGCCGGCCATGAAGCAATCTCTTCGCATCTACTTGGGTTCGCTCGCTGGCCCTCCTCAAGCGCCGATCGCCGCGGGGACCGAGATGAGCAACTCGAGCACGCAAGAAGGTCTGCAGGGAATGCAGCCCTTCAGATTTGGGGAAGGTCTGGGTTTGAAGTTGCCCAAAAAGGTCGCAGAAGAAGGAATCATTCCATTGACTAATCCGGGGATGTCTGTCTTGGACCACGATGAGACTGGTGTGGAGGACAAAGACACAGTGTTGTTATCCAGGAGTAAGTATCGTATGTCGGACATGGCTGTGGGCTGACAGGACCAGCCCGAGGAGCTCATATAGTGCCAAATTTGGCTGGTAGTAGGAAGGTAAAGAGCGGCTCTCTGTTTCCACTATTCTATTGTTGTTATCACATTATATGGAAAAGTGCTCACCACCGCTTCTTCTCTCCGACAGACTGCCAAAAACATTTCAAAGTGGAATACGAAACAGTCCGAACTTGCTGCTCCCATCGCACCAACCCTTGACCATGCCGGCCCACCAAGGGGCGTCTCTATGGCGAACTCCGTGATGGGTGTCAGGCAATCCAGTCTGACTGGACCATCTAAATCACCCTCTGTGGAAACTACTGTAACTTGTCATCTTCACTTACCGTCTAAGTAATTGACGTTGACGTTTATTACAGACTCCTCAACCTGTCCCAAGTGTACAAGAATCGTTCGACTATTCCGACTTGACAACATTGGCCACGACCGGAAAAGTGGCTTGCCTGCTTTGCGAGAGGAGATTCGGCTCCGAAGAGATGCTTAGGAAACATGAGGCGAAATCGGAATTACATAAGGCTCGCCCATCTCTTTGGATACACTCCTTGGCCTGTGGGTTCATAAAAGGGTATGACACTGACGCTTTGGCTTGTTTTTCCTGTTCCGTACACGACATCTTCGATTTTATTCAATCAAATTTTCGAAATTTTCGACGAAAACATACCTCGTATGTGGCCGGTATATCATATCGACATCTGGAAACCTGGCTTGACTGAATTTTGACTGGTTGACGACGCTATGCTTTTCTCTTCTCATTCGGACAACAGACTAACCTGTTGGATCCCACGATCCGTGCAGCTGGACAAGCACGCAAGATTTCCTCTTCAGGCTCAATGGAAAACGGACCAAAATATCGAGATCGCGCTGCTGAACGTCGAGAGGCATTCAACCAGCCTGCTATCCCTCTCCCCGAAGGGCCTCGAGTGCCACCGAAAGAACGAAAATACGCCGAAGCTCCCAAACCGCCACCTCCACCACCAGAGCCCGGTCGTGCTCCAGCGGAGGACGAAGCGAACAAGGGTAACCAACTTTTGGCCAAGATGGGGTGGAAAGCGGGTACGGGTCTGGGAGTGGGTGGGGAGGGAAGGGTGGATCCCATTGCTGTTCAACAATTTGAAACTCGGGCTGGATTGGGTGCCGCCAAGGGAGTTGATCCGACTAGGAGTGTGACGGGTAGGAGGGAAGATATGGCGGGTATCGCGCGATGAGTCAATTGAGTGAGTGCTGATGATACAGACCAAGGATAGGTATGATTCCGTTGGGAGGTGAGGTGAGGGTCATGAATAGCATTTTCTGTGGGTCAATGATGGACGACTTCGTAAATTGTGTCATGAATGTTTTTAAACAGCTTCTCCTTATCTACTCCACGAAGATAGCATGCAGAACCTTTGTGTCCATTCCGACCGACGGCGGAGCAATCACGCATGAGGACAAGGTGAAGATGCTATCGATGAAGTGCGGGTGGATATCGGATCGCTTGAAACTTGTATTGACGAACGGGGTGAGAGGGACATGTACTCGTATGCAAAGATCATGACGGACGAGGACCATCCACCCAAACAGCTTGTAATTCTACAATCTCTTCACCTTCCACCACCCTCTTATGCTCCTTTCCGACACTAGGACTGTTCACCCATCTTCTCAACCGTTCCATAGTCTGCTTATCAACTCCGTACTGTCTATACAGCCTCTCAATCTTCATAAGACTTCCGGCGTCGGAAGGAAGAGTCTTTATTTCGTCGAGGAGTGAAGTGAGAGATTGAGCGGTGAGAGTTGAAGGGGGGAGTTGAGATTGAGATTGACGTGCTGAGAGTGTACGTTGGGCCAGTGGGGGCTGGGAATGAGCACAGCACACTCTCTCAGGTATCTCCTGTTCATCCTTGTCATCACTTTACCCTCACCTGTTATACTACTAGACATCCAGCGTGTTCTTTGAGACAGTAGATCTAGACCTCTTTGTTTTCATGTAACGAGTCAAGATGTATGTGATCTCAATTGATCCCATATCCCTCTCGGAGAGTGAATTGACATCCTCAAAATCGTATGGGAGTCGAAGGATGTGCGAGTGAATATGAGCAGGTCAGTAATCCCGATGGCTGCGAGTTGTAGGAAGTAGCCTGAAGAAACCCACAGATTTGACAAAATGTCCGACATCATGTATACTGACCGGCCCTAATCTAGAGAGATTCGCCATGAACTGAGGGTCCAGCGCATCTTGTCTCACCGCTGTCATTCAGCTATAATTCTGGTTCCGATATGTTCACCGGAGATATGGAGGTGACGACCCACCTTGGTCTTTCTCCCCGCTGAAATTCTTTGTCGGATTCACATATCCTCCAAGTGGATTTTGAGCAGAGGATTGAGGAGAATGTGTCTGTCCAGGCTGAAAGAGAGAATCAGGATGAGGGGTTCTTGTTCCTGCCCATGGTGGGGACGGACGAGAGGTGGATGTTGGTAATTTCCTAGCTGATTTTGATGTCGAGGATCCCATCTCGGGGTGAAAGCCCCTTAGCTATTTTTGTATTTTGGGTGCACTTTCCACGAGGTAGTTGGATCGTACTGAAACCGGCAGTCAGTATCAGTTTCGGCTATATTCAGGTATGACCAAATAGTATGTAGGTTGAGGCGAGAGGTGGGACTACCAGAAGAGGCGTTTTCCTCCAAAAATCAACGATCGAGACGTCATACTTACCACGCATCTTTCTATACCGCACCTAGCGCACCTTTCTTCCTTTCACCTCTCTACTACCTTATAACAATCTCAACTTCCTCTTCTTCTGACGTCGATTGTGAGAGCAGCAAAGATGGACACACCTCTATCAGGAGACAAACTCAACGAAGAGAGAGCTTTCGTCAAGAGGTACACTGAAGGTTTGGCAGATACAAAGGTCGAATATCCAGCGGATTATTCTGCTCCTCTTGAGGACAGACCGAGAAAGGTGGCTACGGTCAATGTGAGTCATAGTTATTCTCTCCCTTGAATCTTCTCTCTAACTACTCTCGGTCACTGCCGTGGATGGAACACTGGGTGATAGTTTTCAAAGCGGAGAAAGCCACGACTTGGGAGATGAAAGGTGTATAGAAGCTGATGGGTTCAGGTCCCCGTTGCTGAACCTCCAACCTTGATGGAAGTCGATTCTGGACCTTCTCATGGTAAGTCTTCTTTCATTGATATCTTCACGCCACTTCAACTTCATCCTATAGTCCTCACCACATGGAAAATCTCATTCTCACACCGGAGGCAACAAGCGTCGAAATGGTTTCTTCATGCTTATTCCCAGACACCATCACCCTCACTGTGAAATCACTCAAACCTTCCCTCAGCGTCAACGTCAAGGCCCAAACCACCGATACCATATCCGATCTCAAATCTCTCGTCTGTAAAGCCGCTCCCACCGCCCCTCCTCCCGATCAACAACGTTTATTGCTCAAGGGCAAAGCGTTGGTCGATACGAAGCTGTTGAAAGAATACGACATTCAAGATGGCGCCGTCGTTCATCTTCTTCTCAAGCCTGCAGGTCCTCCACCCCCGACTCTGACAATAACCACTTCAATGGCCGATGACAGTTCACCCGGAACGTCCAGACCGCTTCAGGTCAGTGACGCACCACCACTCGGTCCACAGGCAGAAGTGTCAAGCAGCACGTTTCACAGGACCGTCTCGGATCCCACGTTTTGGCAGAAGATCCATGCGTTATGTGTGAGCGAGTTTGCTTATGAAGATGAAGGGGATGCATGTTGGGAATTGTTCTTGTTGAGCGTCAAGGGGAAACTCAGCGCGGGAGAGGCGGCAAAGATAAGGGATGTGGTCGGGGTCAGAGGTGAGTGATGTTCATGTCACACTGCTTCCGATTCGTGTGCTGACTATTTCAGGTATGGGAGGAGGAGCTTAGAGATTGATTGCTGTTCATTTGTAAAAGGAGATTATACTCTTCACTCTGCACCATGCACGTCCATGTCACTTACATCTGCTACGAGTGTGTAACTAGTAAAGTAGGATAGCCAAGTAGCAAGTGCCTCTCGAGTAAGGCCAGACTAGTAGAAAGTGCCACACTGCCCTTTAGCCTTGAAACGCCGATAGCTATAGCTTGTTGGACGTGACTGCTTTTGCTTTTCGACATGTTGATATCCCCTCATCTCGACGCATCTACTATATACTACTAGAACTACTATTTACAGCATCTTCACAACCGTCGTCATATTTCGAACATGTCATCTCAACGTCCACGAAGATCTTTGGGACCGCCCACATCAGCCGAAGTGACCACCCAAAGAGAGGCACCGTTCAATCAACAACAACATTTTGATGATTGCAAGTTGATCCTCTGCATTTGAACAATTCTAGCTAACAATTCAGTTCGAAGACGTCATAGCAAGCAGAACAAGGAGATAATAGCGTTAGTCATGATAGTTGACATGAGTATGGACCACGGACTGATGGAATCAGAGAAAATATAAATCGTAAAACTCAGATGAAGGGACTGCAAGATGAGATACATGCTCTTCAAATGGAACTGCTGGAAGTGCGACATGCCAATATCGCCCTACAGTCTCACATACGGAGAATTCAGAATCAAGGTGGTCAGATGGCACATGAGGTCAGCTATCCCTGCAAACCATTCATGACTCGTCATCACACGACTGTGTACCGGGCTGTCATGAGATGGACACCTCGGTGTGGATGAACATCCAGGGGGATCCGAGGCTCTATCTGACCTTCAGGCCACGAGAAAAGCAATCAATCAGATTCTGTCTCTCGTACCCGCTCTACGAGAACTACAATCTAATCTCGACCCTTCACCCGTCCAGCTGGACATCCGCGATATACCAAAAATCAACCGAGAAAACTTTCTCAGGAACATGGGGATGACCATCGCCACGAGACCCGCTTCCCAATTCGCCCAATCGCTAGGATTGACAGCATTGCACGAGGCAGCTGAACTGAATCTGGAGGACAGAATACACTTGAACATCAATTCACATCGTAAAAGGTCCAAAGGGTGGGTCTCCTTTATCATCCCCCCCGTCGAGCTCGGTTGACACTGCAGGAGGAGAAGTGGGATGGGTTCCAAAGCCGCTTCGAGATCACCCATTCCCAAAGGACTGAGAGACGTGTTGGATCCTCCATTAGGAGAGATGTCTTCTCCCAGCTCCACAAACTCTAGTCCTTTGGCACAGATGTCGCCAGCACCTGTACGTGGGGTCGAGAACGGTCGACGACGGAGGGAAAGTGGATTGCTCCCAGCCTCTGAACCTCAGCAGGAAGAAGAGGGTGAATGGGAGGAAGGGGAGAGAGTGTTGTTATCCCCTGAAGATGCCGCGCGCATACTTCCTCCAGCCACCGAATCGACGATGCTCCCTCTACCTCGCATGATACTGACCACGGAGGAGGATGCGACTACGGACATGCCTGTCAGTCCCATGAGGGCGTTATCACTAGATGAACGTGAGTGTGATCTCCACTCTCAAAAATGAAATGAAACTCATACATTAGCGTCGTCATCATCTGCTTCCAAACCTTCGAGCCAGTCGGATTTTTCCTCAGACACGCTCGAAGAGGAAGGAGGTCGGGCAAGGAGGGCACGAAGAAGTGTGAATTACAAAGAGCCCAACTTACACACGTATGTTTTCTTCTTTCTGAAGCCTAATCCCTGCTCCTCAGTTGACATATCTTAGCAAAATGCGTAAACCCGATACCATGTCATCGACAGACCCGCGGCGGGGTTCATCAAGATCCTCATTCGCTGCCACTTCACTTCTCTCTCCACCTCCATCTTCTCGTGCCGCCTCGTCAGAACCCGGCCCTGAAGTCATACCCAGCATGATGCAAGCCTTGCAAGCGTCAGTGCCTGAAGGATCGAGCAAGTATGTCACGGCACAGTTTGGACCGATGAGGAGGAAGAGTGTTCTTCCAAAGTCCATCCCCCGACCCGAGGAAGATGAAGACGATGATGATTTGGTGGATGATGCTCTGGGAACGGTGGAAGACGAAGTGGGTGACCAACCGGCCAGTTTATCGGCTACACTCGAGAGACCCACGGCTCCTCCCATAACATCGAACAACGGACTTCATAAATCTACAACCGTATCATTGCTTGCTCCTGCTCCTGCTCCTGTTGCCCGCTCTGGGATGTCGATCTTAGGAGTAGGACAAACTTCAAAACCACCTTCCGCATCCTCCAATCGGTCTGTTTCCGCTCCTCGCTCATCGCCGAGAAAGAATGTCAAAATGACATCAAAGGTTGGGCCCAACTCACGTCCGCTTGTCAAGGGGAATCCTCATATAGTCCCACTGGCCAAACGAGCATCGTCCATCGCTGCCTCTGCACTGATACGTGACGCTTTATCGGATATAGAAGAGAATACGGGCCCACGACGAGGGATCAAAGATCATACGCATCCGTTTGTGTCGAGTAAGAGTGATGCGAGATCAGTGTCAGGGAGTAGAGTGTGAGAGAGAATATAGGCATAAACATTATCCATAGCGTGTCTATGATACACACATAAAAATAGATCAATCCTCGTTGTATGACGTATCTGCACAAAGCTCCTCAGCATGAGTATCATGGGCTGATACAATAAAGTACTCGTACTCGTTATTTAGCAGTTTCTTCAAGGATGGTCTTGTTGAAATCTTCAAGAGGAATGAGGTCTTTCTCCGAAAGCAATTGAAACTGTTCGTCAGGTTGAGTGAGAGCATAACTCCGTGAAGAGACAGGGAAGAGGGAAGGATGACTCACCTCGTCGACGAACAAGAGGAAATGTCGGTAGTTGGTATTGAGATGAGCCTCGATCCCCAACGCGCAAATCTGGTCAAAGTGGGAATGATAGATATGAGCGTAGACTCTGAACAATCGACGAAGGATGGTTTTGGCTGTGGTCATGAACGTGGAAGGGAATTTAATCCCTTACTGTCAGCCGTACTGGTTTTGCTGACATCCGTTGGAGAGAGACGTTATAAGTGCAAGAAGAAGGGCATATTCCTAGGAGACAGCGACAGCAAAGGAAAGGACATGTTTCTGACAATAATGGAAAAGGAATCGGTGCACGAAAAGAAACTGGGACAGCTCGTGAGGTAGGGCAAGATATACGTGACAATAAGGCTACCAGTGTATTCTGAGGGAGGTTGTAACTTACCAATCTTTTGAGGGAAATGACGCTCGTCGTCGAGAATCGATTGAGTCCAGCTCATCAAAGCCTCGACGTATGCAGGGGCGGAAAGATGTGTTGGTTTTTTATACGTTTCTCCATCTTCCCAGAAATATTCGTATCTGCGAGTCAGGTGGTATCCTTATTTTGCTTTTCATCCCTTTTCAGTCCCAATTTATTTTCCGCCTGCTCAGAATCTTCCTCTAAGCTGGGAAGTGGATGATGCGAGATGCCGGTGTGAAACACGCAGGTGGTAGAACATCGCCACGCGAGAGCATGCGATTGGTCGGAAAAGATATAATTGGAGGGAATTGAGAAGGACGTGAAACACACTTAGGACCGGCGTTCATGATTGGACACTGGGATCAACAGTGCTCAATATAATGAAAAGTGGGAATCACCTCTGTAGGGGTGCAAAATTCGGAAATGGTACCGTAGAGCATGTTGACGTGGTTGAAAAAGTCGACAACTGTGTGTCAATTGAGGAATATCCGAAGACGATGAGGTCCAATGACCTGGTACAAGAGGTGTTATCAAGACGGAAGTCGATTCAAAAGATCAAGTGCAGTGGAGTTACTGGGAGGGTTGAATACGAGGCGCCAAATAGGTCGAATGGTGATACACTGAAGCCGGGTAAGAGTCTGAGATGAATGTCAGAGAGAAAGCAGACGAGCATACCATGAACTGCAATCCATTCTTGTACATCTTCACCTTCTGGAAGTTGAACAGCTGTCCGAAGGTTCCCGCTCCCCTGATGGTTAGGCAGGTAGGACGCTACTACAAAGCTCTGATAGGAATCGTTGGTGGGAGACGTACCAGAGTTTGTTGAGCGTATTGCTTCAGCTGCCATTGTTTAGTACCCTCTGCTACTTTCTTGGGTTTGAAAGCTGAGATGAGTATGGTCTTGACTTTACAAGAGCCTGCTCACTCCGGGATTGATTACCTCGTCTGAGATATCAGCTGGGTCCTGCCTGGGCTGTGATTGCGGTTCGAACACTTACATGTTGAACAAGTTGGACATAGTTGTATGTATCTCCTCACTGATTCAAGACGTTGCTCTTGATAAGCAGATGTGGATGTAGAAAGATGAAAGACAAAAGTAAGTAGTGTTGGTGGATCAACTTGAGAAATCATGCTCTCGGACGCGACGCGTTTTCGTTTTCGTTTTCGTTTTCTACTTGAACCGAAGCAGACACAATAATGGAGTGAGCAACTTAGTACTCCTTACTTACCTGACTACTACCACTTGGAACTTGTATCTTCATTCTCACATCTCTCACGCTGACGTTCTGACACCTACTGCTCATGTCTTCCATCTTCGCCTCCTTCTCCCTCCTCGCTCTCGCCGTCCCGGTCATCTTGGCGATATTACCCCTCTTTCTACCAGCTCATTGGTCAGAGCCTTATTCGTGGTGGGATCCTTTGATCCTCAATCGTCCTCTGGCAGGGGGTGAGGCAACCACACGATGGACTAACATGGGCTATTGGGAGGTAAGCTCACCAGGATATCTGCATTGAACCGCTCAACTGATGAGCAGGGAACGGAGGAATTCGCCGATGCAAACGAACAACTGGCCAGGAAATTACTCGATTTCTCTCGAGCAAGAAAGGGAGGGAACGTACTTGATCTCGCTCATGGTGCTGGGGAATCACTAGGTATGCCCCTTCAATACAAATCCTGCTCATCTTTCATCATTTCATAACATCACCATCACTTATGAGGGTGTTGGAACTATGGGTTATGGGATAGATCTGACAGACAGCTCTCCATCTATCTCAAAGCCCACCACCGGCTTACCTCGGAGCCCTCACTTCAAACCCTTCCGACACCTCGCTAGCTCAAAAGATGATATCAGAAAGGAATTTAAACACGTCCACCCCAATCGAATGGTTCACCACCTCGGCATCATTCAAACCCACTTCTGACATCCATCATCCCCTCAATCCCATGCGAGGTTATTTAGGCGAACCACAGACACATTTGACGAGATATGAAGATGAGGACGAAACTCAGCAATCTTCCCAAGACGACGTCGGGCCGAGGAAATACGATCTGATCTATATTCTCGATGCCATTTATCATTTTCCACCTTCGCTTGAGGGCTTCATAAAATCTATATTACCCACTCTGAAATCTGGAGGGGTTGTGGCTTACACTGATATCTTACCTCCCCAAAATCTTAACATCGTGACCCGTCTGATTGTGGCTCGGTTGTTCGGAGTACCTGTGGATAATTTGAGACGTGATTGGGATCTTGAGACGTATAAACGGGTGTTGCAAGAGATTGGTTACGTCGGGGTGGAGGTGGAAGATTGGAGTGATCATGTCTGGTCAGGCATCAGTGAGAACCTCCGCAAAAGAAGGGGTGTCTTGGGATTATTGAGCAGGGGGTTCCGATCAGCTGAGCGATCTGGATGGAAGTTTGTAGCCGTCAGAGCGGAAGCTCCTGAATTATCTGGGGATGCAGGTGAGAGTACATAATGCATACATATGACATGATTGTTTGTTCAAATACAATTGAGCTCGGAACCCGGAATGACGATTCTTTGCGACATGCGACATGAAACAATTTTTTCTTAATATTCACTCAATCTCGATAGGAGCTTCAGCTCCACTTCCTACACGTTTCTTATCCCTCTCCATTATCTCCCTTCGTAGACGTTCAAACTCTCCTTTTGTATCCTGTGCATATTTCGCCAGACCGTCACTCGTCTTGAGCCCCGAGACCATTTCTTCCCTTCCTTTTTCCTTGTCTCGTCGTCTGGAAGCTTCAGCTTCGTTGAGCTTAGCTCGTAGAGCGCCGAGGGACTTGGGATGAGACGTGTCGAGGTTGGAATTGTAGAGCAAGATCCATTCTTGAACCCGGTGGGCGAGGGCGGGTTTGTCTCCAAAAGTAGACAGACTGTAAGACTGTATTATCAGACAACCACGATTAAATGGGGAGAAAGGGGACTGACTTGAAGTAAACTACGCAATTCTGCTGGAGCAGCCAGGGAATAATTCGGTTTTGTGATCTTCTTCATTTCCATACTACCTCCTTCAGTTTTACAAGGATTTAAGATTATGATGAACTCACTCTTTCCCTTTCACAAGTCCCGCTCCTGAAAATACCTTTTTCCAATTTGCTTTTTGGTTCTCACGACGCTGATTTTTGGGTCTCGGCTTGATAGGTTGACAACCGAGGTCAATGTGCCTACTGATATCTCCTATTGGCATATTGATATCGCATAACGGGCATGATGCCTCGACTATTATAAGTTCTTCTGCACACATGATGGAATGAGTAATGAAAGCTCACCATCTTCGCTTGATTCTGCCATGTTGGTATACGGGTCCAGAGCAATCATGTCATCCTCATCGCCATCTATCTCCTCCTTCTTATCGGAGCTCTGCTTGACTGGGCTGACACTCCTACTCGTACTCTCTTTCCGTGGTCTTTTGGTAGATTCTGCAGCGAAAGCATTCTTCGGTCCGGTGTTCATGATGGAACGTTTTCGACTATTGTTGGAGGTCAAACCATGTATGATAGGTCGAGCTTCTTCCCAGGAGTCTACTATCTCTTCCAATGCTCGATTACGTCTGATGGAACCTTCGGAAGCGGACTCATTGCAGCTAGGACATTTCTTCATCACCTCGAGAGATCCACGGATGCACTGGATGATGAGCTTGGATCGTATAAGGGAGTGAGGACCCACCCGAGAGCAGAATGAGTGACCGCAGGGAATGGAAACAGGCCCGGAGAAGAGCTCTTTACATATCTGACAGTAGAGGGAGCGATCTAGTCGCTGAATCTGAGGGTGAGAGGAAGGGAAGGGAGGGAGGAGGTCGACAGCCGAAGCTAGTAGGGGATGGTTCAGGTCCATGGCAGCGAGGTTGTATCACAGAAGAGAGTGTGTGACGAGTTCCTGGGGGCCAAAGCTGACACCAGATACACCGAGCTGTTCCTTGCGATGACGATACGTTACTTGGTGAAAGAGGTGAGGGAAAGAAAGAAAGAAAGATGCAACATGCAACATCCGATACTTATCGAGTTTTTGATATCTCACTTTTCACTCTGTTACTTCTGTATCATCATCTCTCACTTCCGGGTCTGGGATTATAATCGGATAGCAAGCGGGTCACTATACTTGCAAGTACGTGGAGGGTTGAGCGTACTGTGCACACTTGTCCACCGTACTACGCCGTCACCCCGACTCAGATTAAGACATCGCATTCCATGACCTCGCTCGTTCTAGCCGTCGTCTTTCTGGCCCTCTACCTCATCGTATGGTCAATATGCCTCCTCGGTCTTCGCACAGCGTGAGTCTTTCAACACTATGATGATCCTCTCTGACCACCCAGGCGGAATCGCTATGCGGGCTACACTCTACCCTCTCGACTCGTCTCCCAACCTCCCAAAGCCGTCCCCGGTGTCACCATCATCCGTCCTCTCTGCGGCCTCGAAGATAACCTCTACAACGCTCTCGAATCCACCATGAAACTCGATTATCCAAAGTACCAAGTCATCTTTGCTCTGCAGGGTGGAACCGATGAGGCCCTCCCGGTGATCAACATGCTCTTACCCAAGTATCCCGATGTTCCCACCAGGACGGTCATCAGCCAGTCATCCCCTCTCTAAGTGACACCGCTGATGACGCTGCAGATGATGTCAAGGTTGGGGTCAATCCGAAGATCAACAATCTGATGAAACCCTTTGAAGAGGCCCAATACGACCTTCTGTATGTCATCGATTCGTCCATGCACCTCGATCCTGATGCTCTCGGTCGAGCGGTCGATGCTTTTATAGAAAGCAAGTTTGGCACTACCACGTTTGATAGTGATATAGAATCTGCCCCGCCTATCAGTGACGACTTACGCACACCACCTAGCCGAGGTCAGGTCGGTCTGGTACACCACGTTCCCTTTGCCTTGGTCTATCAAAGAACATGGGGAAGTCTGATCGAGCAGGCTTTCCTCAATACCACTCATGCGAAAATGTATCTGGCCATTGTGAGTGTTGTTTTGATACCTATCCTGAGGTCGGGCGTCATGTGCTGATTTTGACTCTCAGAACGCCCTCGCCATTGATTCTTGTGTCATGGGCAAGGCTAATTTGTACTCCCGAGCCAACATTGCCTCCCTGACCTCTCCTGCTCCCACCCTTCGCGCTTCTCTCAACCCTCCGACGGGCTTGGCGGGATTCGGACCGTTTCTAGCGGAGGATAATATGATTGCCTTATCTTTATGGCACGAACTAGGCCTCAAGCATGCCATGACTAGCGACGTCGCTGTCGATTTCCTGGGTGCCCTGTCCGTCCGTGGCTACATCGACCGTCGTGTGAGATGGATCAGAGTGAGAAAACGAATGACACCTTACCTCGTCACGGCTCTGGAACCGTTCACCGAATCCGTGCTATGTGGGATCTATGGATCATGGGCGATTGCAAGGTTGCTAGGAGCCAACAAGAGCGCGTTGTTTGCGGTGCACATGATACTCTGGCTCATGGTCGATTTGGGGGTTCGGAGAGCGTTGTCGACACATGTCAAAGGGAGACCGCCTGAGAGCACTTTGATATTCGTGTTGGCCTGGACGGCGAGAGAGTTGATGACGTTGCCCATCTTCTTGTATGGCTTAGCTAGCTCTGATGTTACATGGAGGGGGAAGAGGTACAGGATCGTACAGTCTGGTCAGTGGTCTTCCTCCCTTCAACTTGTGGGGTCAAAAAGAGCTGATGATAACCAGGTGAGGCTGTAAGATTGGATGATGACACATGATGTAATATATGCATAGAATGACCTTGTAGTAGATGTCACCAGGAGACGCATCATGACCATGTACCACGAGTACGACTGGGTGACGGAGGATGACCATTGCCACGTGGTCCGTCGCTGTCTCTCTCACTTTCACCACCAACCACCACCACCACTACTGACTTTCCCTCATATCTTATCCCCTCTACCCCACCTTTCTGCCCTCATACAGGCTACACTCGCTCACAATGTCTCGTAACCCACCCCCTACAGCCTCGAGGTACAAGATCTCAGCCCCGCAACCCCTGCTCACCCCTGTCTCGGACAGTCGTTTCCCAGTCAGCGATGCCCCTTCCTACCGTTCCGCTACTCCCGTTCAATCATCTCAGCCCATGCCCCCAGAATCACTTCGTACTGTCAACTCTTCATTCCGTCCCAACGGCAACCCCAATCTTCTTGCCAATCCCATCATCTCTTCCACCCCCGGTGGCGGTCCCGCTCGACCCGCACGGTCGAGGATGCGTGACCCATTCCAGCCTTCCACTTCCACTAATCTCACTCCTTCTTCTCCCCCCAACAGACCTGCCAGAAGAGGTCCAGGCCCTATCCAGACTCAGAACCTCCGACGACCATCTGCCGGTTCTGTCAATCAGGCATATGACGGTTTCACCACTCCCGTCTCTGCCCTCCCTCCTGACAACTCGGGCACCAGCAACACTTTGTTTTCTGATCCCTTTGCCGCAGATCGCTCGCAACGTTCACAGCTCCGAGCTCAAACTTCCGCCGCTGTCGAACAGTCTTCACGACCCACTCCGAGTAGTGCAGCTTCGGATAAGCTGAGAAATGTGGTGGGAGCCTTCATGTCTGCCAGCAGGAGTCGAGATGAGCTCGAACGTAGACCGCAGAAGAATGAAGCCCGTCAACGAGACAAGGCCCGGAGAGAGCACAAGCAGGACGTCTGGGAAGGAACGACAGATGGTAAATTCTCAGAGATTGAAAATGTGTTGAGGAAGATCAAGAAGGATTGGCCGTTCGTCCTCGAAAGTGACTTTTCCCCATCTACATTGGCACTGTCTTTGCTTTCCCAAGCACCTTCGTCGTCGCTGCCTCAACATCCATCTCTCAACTCTTTTCTTCGACTCCACGATGCCTTGTCGACGGCACTTCAATCTGCTGTCCAGCAACATTTTCAAACGTTTGCGGCGTCCCTCCCCGCACACGCCACCTTTCTCGCTACCCTCGGACGAGCACAGCAGCAGGTGAAGCTCTCGAAAGAAGCTCTGAAGGAAGCAAGGGAGGGGTTTGCGGGAAAAGGCAAGTCAGAACTGGCAGGAATACGCGCGAGGGAACAACAGGTTCGGGAGATGCTCAAGATCATTGATACAATGTGGGTGGCTTCCTCCGAAAACTTTCGCTTCTGAAGCTCACATTAACTCAGTGATGTGCTCAAGCAAACACCTGATCAACTGGATGGGCTCGTAGGCGAGAAGAAATTCCTCAAAGCTTCCTTGATCCTCATGCGAAGTCTAAAGACCGTAAACCGACCGGAAATCGCGGAGATAGGAGCAATGTCAGATCTAAAATCTTATTTTACCTCACAGGAGTCGGTAGGTTGCACATCGATACCACCCATGGGAAACTTATCCGCAGACACTCACAGACATCCTAGTTGAGGAACTACACAATCATCTCTACCTCAAAAATTACTATTCCGACTCTCGTTGGCGTGCCTACACTCCTGGACAATACACGCGTGAGTTGTTCAACGTCTCACGCCCTGCTTCGCTGACCTGGGAAGTTCCCGTCCTAGAAGGCCCTGACAACGATTCCAGCCGTCCAAATTCCCTCCGGCAATCCTTTCAAAACTCCTCACTCAATGACAACGCTGTTGCAGGTCCAGGCCCATCATCACGCTTCTCGCGCTACATTTCAAGCCTCGCTGTCAAGCCGGCTCATGATCCCACTCTTGAGCTCGATCCTGAGTATGGTAGTAACTCTGCTACCTTGGTTAATGGAGGTGGAGCAAATGGTATGGCCCCCGTGTCGTCGTCACACATGTCCCTCATCTCTCTTGCCGGTCATCAAGCATCGGAGCAAAACAACCCAGAGGTCGACTCTTTCACTTATGTGGAGACCCTGCTGGAAGCCCTGGCAACACTGGGCCATTTAAGCACTGCTCTGGATAAGGTGGCACAGCGGACGGCCACCGAAGTGCACGCTCTCGTGGACGCAACGCTGGATGAGGTGGAAGAAAGAGCCGATCAACGCAGAGAGGAGTCCGAAGCCATGGCAAGACCCCAAAGCATGTTGATGAACGGAAATCCCGAGGTTCTGGTCGCACAAACCGAGCAAACCACCCACCGTAAATCCCTCTTCGCTCCGGCTGAAACGCTACGAATTGCTGTCGCCCTTGATGCTGCTGGTCCAGCCAAGCACGCCGTCATTCTACGCGATTTGTTCTGGACTTTGTATTCCAAGTTAGCTGCGGTGTTGGAGAACCACCGGGTGGTGTACGAGGTGTCACGTTGGATCTCTTCTGTGAGTCGCGTTTCCACTTGCTTTCATTTGCTAATTGTGCAGCGACGAGATTTCAAGGATGTTTCAGCCAAGGCCTCGACGGGATTGAACATTCCCGTTCTGGAAGTATGGAAGCCTGTCCAGCAAGAGGTGCGTTGATTTCACAGGAACAAGCTGTTGCTCACTCTACAGGTTCGAAATCTATTGCAGGACTACTTGACAGACGATGCCCAAGCATATGACTCTGACCGGCATCCCATCATGTCCATCAATGAGATTCTACGTGATGGTAAGGTTGCCCGTGACAAGCAGAGAGTGGGTTTCGACCACAGCAGTACAATGCTCCAGCTGACCCACCTAGCAAATGTTCCATTTTGGTGACACCGACACTCGGGCTATGAACAATGATCTCAAAATCTATGACGACTCAGTGCAACAAGCTCTCAAAACTTCAGTGCCCGGATTGGTAAACATGCAGACTGCGCCTGATGGTCCTGCCAATGCGCAGCATCAGGTGTTACAAGGCAGCATGGCCGATGCGGATGATTCTTATGCCGGGAGCGCCCGACACCGTACCCTTATCCCTCCCAATGCTTTCAACGTCTCCACTTTGTTCCAACCCACCCTTGCGTTTATAGAGCGAGCTACAGAAGTCGTCCCTCCGGGATTCGAAGAAGAAACCAGCGGATTTAGTTCGGTTCTGGAAGACTTTGTTGTCAAGGTCTTTCTACCGCAACTGGACGAGAAAGTTACCGCGTCCTTCCAGCAGGCCGTGTCAGGTGAGTGGTTGTGTGATTACCTGGTCGACCTCTAACGTCGCAGGCTATGATGCATATCAGCTTGATCGCTTTGTGGACCATGGCTTGGATAAACCTCCGCTGAAGGTGCGCCTCCCTCGGCACTTGTTGCAGAAGACTGACTTGCAGTCTAGCGTCCGTGTCATGGCACTAATTCATGGCCTCTGTGTGATGCTACAAACGACCCCTTTCCACAGAGAGAATTACAGTCGTCTCATCATCGGGGTCATCGTCCAGTATTACCAGCAGTGCAGCGCGAGGTTCAAGGAGCTGGCATCGTTACCTGCACAAGGGTTGGGAGAGCCACCTTTGGCCTTGCCAGCTCAATGGGCACAAAGAGAGGATATCATTGCTTGCCTAGGTGATCTCCGGAATGTGATAGTGAGTCCGCATGTTTCCCACCGGTCTACGACTGATCTTCTTTCAGCCCGTCGATCTTGCTGAGGTCCATGTCGTATCGATGAAGGAAGTCAAACTCGAGATGGACCTGCTAGGAGATGGCATCCTGGTGGAATCCCAACTCATCAGCTCGACCCGCAAGCTTGAAGCGTTGGGAACTTTGATGCAGAGTTTGGTGAGCATTTATTCCCGACGAGCGTTGACAAGACTGAGAAGGTAGCGATGGTTCATTGATTCATTGTTGGATTTACAGACCGAGGCAGAAGATTCTATTTCGCCTGACGGTAACGAACCACTGGGGTCTGCCATTGTGCGTCTTTTCCATTCAGAGCGGAGCCGCCAACACTGATATTCGTCTAGACCAGCTCACTCGCCCCGCCCGAGCAGCTCAACCCGGAGGATGAACCTCGTCTCCCTTTGACAAGAGCGATGGCACAACGGTACGAAGCCATTGTGCAGACGTACGAGCAATTAGCCGAGATGGTCCTCAACACTATCCGTCTCGAAATCAGATGTCGTGTTGTCTGCAACCTCGGAGCGTCGCTTCGTACCGTGGGTTTACATCAACCTCGTCAAGCACTTGACCAGCTAACGGTCAGGGTGAATTTCGACTGGAGAGCGAATCCTTTGAACCGGATCCCGATGTCGTGGATCTCAACGGTAGCTTGACCGAATGTGACGACGTCGTCTCGGCTACACTGGTAGACGCCGACCGCGAGTGAGTAAATTGGAGGTCCGACGAGAGACCGACCACTGCTGATTGGGATTAGTTTTGTTTTTCGAGGTCTGGGTAGCCTCGTGGATCACATGTTCATTCACGCCGCAAGATCCATCAAGATGGTCAACCTTGCCGGAGTACACAAGATGAAACGGGATATTCTGGCCCTTCAACAAGCCCTTCGAGGAATCAACCATGGTCCCGAGGAAGGTATACTCAGTCGCGCCATGACGTATTGGGATTTGTACGGACGAGGACCGAAGGTGAGGTGTTTTTGAAAGTCATCAAGTAAAACAACTGACTCGCAGGAAATGCTCGAAACCATACGAATCAACAAACCCATGTTCACATTCGAAGATTACAACACGATGCTCAATTTACAATGCAAGACCGACATGTCTGAAGCACCCTCATCCGAACTGAACACTTATTTAATCGACCTACACGCCTTGTCCATGTCAATTGAGGGATGGGAGATTGGGATTGAATGAGCTAAAATAACGAAACGACTTCATCTTATTCGCACACATATGATGATAATACACGACCATGCATGATTGTTGGGAAAGATGAATGTATTGATAGACACTTTTGCTCTTGTCGCCTAAGACGGGGGTATTTGACATGATAGGAGACCGGTGATGGACAGCTGAGGATCGGGTCAGACATTTCCAGATTGAATCCAGCATCATTTGCGCCGCAGAAGCACGATTCCTATATCGAGCTGAAGAGCGTCCAACACGCCTGCCTCGCACTTGTCCACGAGTATTCTAAACTGTCACACGTTAGCTCCACTTTTTGGCAGAATGGAAGAAGGTCAAGCACTCACAGTATCCGAGACGGTCATCTCGGCATGACCCACATCGCGATCCCCATGCGTTCTCAAGACCTGCTTCATATGCGTCTCGTATACTGTTCATCAGCTACGTCACATTCTTGGGTGTCCAAATGACTCACCACTACTGACCCATGCCGCGATCCGCCGTGCATATGTAGGTCTATCAATCTCGCCCGCACACAGCGCCGTCCAAGCAGGATGGGTCAATCGATGAATCCGCAAACCAGCTTGCATCCAGTCTCTCCTTTCCTCCATTGATATCCCATCATTGTGATCGATGACTTCTTCTCGCAAAATCTCCCAGTCGTCTAACCCCGACAAACTCTTCTGCGATTCTGCCAGTGTGCGCGGCCAGAAAGGTACGTCGAGAATACGAGGGGCAACCTTGGGTCCAATTTCTCCAAGGACCACCGCAGGCTGCAAGGCTGACGCCATGGCGCTATGCATTGCTTGCCAAATGTCCCAGAGTATCTTTTGAGGGTGTCCATTGACTATAGGTGGTTCTTGTAGAGGCGGCCCCACCAACGCGGTCCCGTCACCACTGGTCGTTGATACCGACGAAGGACTGGTCGGTCTTGGGCTTATGATGCTATCCAGAGAGGCCGCCTTGTCCGTATGTTTTTGACTAGGATGGCGTGTAGAAGTCGAGGTGGAAGAGGTCGTATCGTTGGGAGAGTATGTCCGTCGTAGACAATAATACATGGCCAGATAACCTCCAGGTGTCATTTCGAGAGATCTGGCATGTAACCATCTCATCAGGTCTTGATGTGCAATCCTCTCGCGGTGATCGGCTTTGCGAGATGCCAGGGGAAAGCTCGGAGGTACAGCAGGTAGACTGTGCAGTCGGGTCAGTTCTCCGCCAGAGATGCCGATGTCGACAGATCGAGGGGCAAAAACAACTTGACCGAAGGGAGCAAAAGCGAAGGATGTCAACATTTGGGGCGCTGATTTACCTCTCCGGTATGATCTTTCCTCGCTATCAAGAGCTCGCTGCAGAGCTCGAGAGTCAAAAGTGATCGGACATTGGTGGGTGACGACGATGCTCGGAGACAAGCCTGATTGTTTGCTTAGTTCCTCCATGGTCCGGACGATAGACAAGACCGAAAGATTTGGCTCGTCTGTGTTACAGCCATATCTGCGAGATTCAGCGTGATTCGGATTTCACGAAGATTAGAAAATACTCACTCAGCGATCTGGACCATTCTCTCCTTCGCCGTGGCCCCTTCCAACAGACGACCCACAGCTTGCGACATTACGTCACTCAGAGGCCAGAAGAAGGACCAAAATTGTTCCGACGATAGATCGTCCTTGGTCGCACTGTGTTCCGAAGGATTCTCGAGAAGATCTGGGGGAAGAAACAGCTTCATCCTTGCACTCATTTGCGGACTGAGATATGAGGACAGATCTTTCGAATTTGCAAAGAAACGTCGCAGCGAACCTGTGCGGTCGGTTTTGCCTGCCAAGTCCGCTCTGTGTAAATCATCGGACCGTGATACGGCTGGGGCGTTGGGCACTGACGTTCGAGGGTGGCGAATGGAAGGGTCGCCAGATGGAGAAAAGGACGTAGACTCTTGTCGAGAGATGTAGGTAAGGTCGTCCAAGGCTGATTCGGACGAAGCCCTGGGGAGACCGGGAGGCTCTGGATATCGTTCGGGTAGAATGGCGGGGGAAGAAACGGAGCCTGGGCGCACATGAGGAGATGTAGGGGGGATAGAGAGGTCGTTCTGGGGAACATCGAAGCGTCGAGATTCAGCCGGTGTAACTGGTACAGCCGGTATCTGCAAGCGACGACTATCGATGACGAGAGGAGGAGGTTCTGCGCCAACATCTGCCGACGGTCCATGCGATGAGACACGTCGGCGACGGGCCTGAAGATTGATGTTGCTTGATGGCCGTTTGGCAGGGGACGCGGGTGGTTGAGGAATGTGATTGTGGACGGGGATATGCTCCCGTCTCGCTCCTGCAATCTGCCGTAGATTGAGTACACTTGCTCGACTGATTGCCGAGTTGAGGAAGAGATAAGGTTGACGTGCTGCTGTACAGTGAGGTGAACACCTTGTTCCATGATATCCAGAAACGGAACGCCCTCGAATCATTTGCTCGCCACGATTGGCGCCAGATGTTTGGGCGGGATATCGATAAGCAGTGACATGATCTGGAGTTCGGCGAGAGGAAGGACCGGCAGCAGGAGGTAGAGTGTATTCGTCCCCTGGAACTGGAGGGTCGCCCATGGAGAAACGACCTTGCTCGCGTACCAGGGGCGAAGAAGGTCGATGGAAGCCTATAGCTTGTTGTGGTGTGGAGTAGGAGATGGGGGATAATGGGGTCATAAAATGTGCTCTACGGGGCGTTTGGGCATCAGAACGTGGCCTGTGATGGAAGCCACCGCCGGAAAGAGGAGTATCGGGAGAGATAGAGGCAGCGCGAGGGACGGGAACTCCTGGGACGGCGACAGGAGTAGTATGATCAGCCATGACAGAGAGTTGTTAAATGATATTTCTAAAGGATTAGCTTTGATGCCCCGTTTTCGAACTGGTCTGGAGAGTGAGAGAGGAAAGAAGACTAAAAGAAGCTAGGCCTACTCACCTCTAGCCGAACGGGTTCACCTCTTTTCAAGTCGCTCTTTTCTCGACAATCTTCGTCGGGCTTGCGACGCGGACAAAAGTAGAGCCTGGCCTGGTCTTTGGACAGGTTTCAAGCCGTCCGAATGAAAGCGCGGCCGCCCGTTTGAGGATATCAAAGGAGTGATCGTCGGTCTTCGAAGGGGTCGCGAGCACGATGAGACATAAAGGAGGCAGGCTGGCTGAGGAATCAACGGACTGTGCACGGCGATTGACAGGAGATGGGGGACGAATCTGGAAGGCAGAGGTAATCGGGTGGACAAGGTTTGAAGCGAAGGCTACGATTGGGGACACTTCGATGAGACAAAAGGTCGTACTCACTGGAATGTTCTCAAGGCAAATGCGACAAAGCACGGGTGGTCGAGTTATGGGAAGGGTACGGAGGCGAGACCGCCATTTGTTAAAGAGAGTGGAGCGTGCAAGGGTGGTAGAAGATGTGTACGAGTAGTGGGTATCATGATCGATATAGAGAGTGAGTCGAGATGAAAGGTGGTGGCCAAGAGATGAGTGAGTACGATTTTGAGATGAAGGGGTAGCAATGGAATTTGTGTGATTGTGATGATGATGAATGATGATAACATAGTCGCGAGCGGGGACAAGCGAAGGTCAAAAGACCATGGCCGAGCCTCGTCCCAAAGAGGTAAAGCTGAACAATGAGCTTGACGTATGGTTGGGAAAGGGACCAAGAGCGAGAGAGGCTTGATGGAATAATGATGAAGAAAGTGGAAAACGAACGAGGTCCTTTGTCCGTTCCAGACCTTTTCCCCACCATAACCCCCCAACTCATCTCCTAATGTTGCTCGAGATGCAACCCTGAAATGTGATAGCTTTCCCCAAGGAGTGTCTTGCAGATGACCACTATCCTGTCCAATCGTCCCAGGATGGCAAACACCGTTACCACTCCCAGAGCGTATCTCATATAATCGTCTGATTCGAGCACTGCTTTCATCAGCCACCGTCACTTTTTGGTTTCCCTCCGACGACTGACCTTCGGGCGTCACGATCGAAGGTACCCCTTCATCTTCATATCCACTAGGCAGATTCCATCCCTGCACCTCGCCCTTGCGCTGATGCCATCAGCGGGACAGAGACAGGTACACCCGAGGGGGCTAGACTCACAAATCGTTCAATCAGAGGCGCGGGGGTGATCTGTGGGAGAGCAAAACCGGCCCGAAGCGATGTGGAACACATGCTGACGACGGCTAGGATGTCGCCTAGAAACAAGAGCTCTGATAGCTTTGTCCGAGCCAGCAACGCTTTTCGCCATGGCCGTTCCATCTGACACAAGACGTGATGAAGCTGCGATAACAGACCCAAAAGTTCTTCTACAGCCAACAACAGTGCCAACATCGTCAACCATGACCTCTCACGTAGTAAGATGGTGAAATCACTCACTTTGTAACGTTCCTCCGGCCATCGTCCACGGAGAGAATACTCGAAAGCTGCATTGTTATGCTGCCCTCCAAGCTTACTCAGTTTGGTCCGCCAGACCAAGATCTTGGCTTGCAACTCTTTGTTCTCCACCCTTGTACCCTGAAGACCATTCGCCTCTGATAATACGTCACAGAAGATAGATCCAGCGGCGGAGATCGAACGGGCGTATGTGTAACGAATGGCTCTTTTGCTTGAGAAGGCAGGTGGGACTACTATCAGACACATCATCAGGCGGTATGATAACAAAACGAACTGTAAGCAAAGATCCAGGCCGCTGTCACGCCTACCACAACATCAACGAAACGATGCCAGGCGGTAGACCATCCAGGTGCAGCCGATGATCTGATACCGATAGAACCTTCAAACCAAGACTACAAATGTGAGCGACCTGATCCTCACATAGTTTACCAAATTTGCTCACATATCCGATGACTATGCCGAAAGATATAGGCGTCAAGAAAGCAATGGTGACCGAGCCGGGAAAGTGCACTCGGAAGAATGACAGAAAGGGAAAGACAACAGCACATATAGCACCCAGACCATACTGTATCCTCTTAGTGCATCCTTGACATCCGTAAGTTCACATGTCACTCACTGGGTTACCACGCCCCGAACCGTTACCGATGTACCAGACAACCAAGCCGATCAAGCAGCCCCAGAAGGAGCTGATACATCGTGCTACCCATGCCGCGGTCGTGTCTCCCTCATCGTCAGCGCCGATTACAATAGACGGTGTACACCGGAACTCACCGCATATACTGCAAAGGCTGCGGATCGGTAAGTGCAAAAACTAATTTGATAACATGCACGATCACTCACTCAATTGCACCCTGAAGTAAGCACAAGAATCCGATGAGTGGTGGACAACTCACATGAACAACGACCATATTGCCCTCTGTCTCTGATACCAGGGTGCTGTGGCAGAGAACCAATTGGGTAAGGACGCGACTCCTGTCAAAACAACGGCTTTAATGGCATACATGAAGCTTCGGCTAAAAAGCGGATCGATGAGAGCTGAAAGTGTTGACAACCTCCGCAGAGTGGGATTCCTGAATGGATCGTACTCTGGTTGTCGTGCGATCGCTTCTCCGAGTATCCCTTCTACAGCTTCACGCGCGGTCACAGCTAAGAGTCAGCTACTCATATGGTCGTTTCTCGATGCTACTGACATTCATCCTCCCTAGCTCCACCTTGCTCCGAGGCACGTTCACGATGGTTGATATCCCAATAATGCCTCAGCCAATCCGATGGACGAGGATACCAAATCTTTTTGCGTGGGCGGGCTACTTCCAGGTCCTCCATCTTTCGAAGGAGTACAACGATGGACTCAGTAAATTGTATCTACCATTTAGCGATGTCTTTCTCTCAGGTACTCACAAGGTGATATTGAGCAACAAAGTTCTGATAAAGGGCACGGTAGTGTTTCTGACTCGTGAGCTCTCGCATTCGATCTTTACACCACTCACAGACTGCCACCTGGCTTCGACTAAGGTACCCCGATAAATGGGATCGAATAGATGTTGAAAAGGTCGTACTACTTCACGACGGGTCTCGCGAAATTCTTCGAGGGCTTTATCCAACGTAGAGATCACTCCACCCAAAAGCTTATTTGGTTCTGTGATACCAGGAGCGACCTCGTGCAGACGGTCAACATGCAAAATCCAATCGCGAGCTTTAACGAGCGCTTCTCGACTCGCGATGACCAGGGGTAAGCTGACAACTGAGATGCGTTCAAGATGCTCTGGTAGACCTTTACCATGGCTGCTGTTAGCAAGAATCGTCACGCATCCGCGAAGACTTACTCGGCGAAGAGACGCTCTATATCAACATAACGTTGACTCTCATAGACGCCGACCGGCGTTTGCTGACTGTTCAAGTAGTCCCGCAAGGAAGTCCGGCTATCCGTTTTGGGCAACCTTTGAGTTTGCGTTGATGACCCGGTCCTACGGAACCAGTTCGGTGCCAGCAGATTCCCCACATCGGCCCTGAGCTTGGTGTTTGAGCTTGGTGTCTGTTGTGCGCTTTCGTTGTCAGCTCCGACGTCACCCAAAGCCGACGCCGAGCTAAAGTGTATGGAAGGATCGCGTGACGCGGGGCCGCTTCGGGCAGCTTGATATACAGAGTAGGCAGAAGAGTCAATGTGACTATGTTTAGCATTGTGGAAGACCATATCGAAGAAGAAGGCAAGACCACTGGAACGTGTCTGAGTGGAGACAAGAAGTGTGTAAAGCTGTCTTAGATCTTGGCTTGAAAGACGACCGTAACTGATATCAAGTGGGAGATACTTCTGTTGTTGTGAAAGTGGAGCGATCCCCGAGAGACTGTCATTCAATCCATCTCTGATACCTGCGCTTTCTTCCGCCCATGCCTGCGATCTCAATTTGAGGGACGGATAATCGGAAAGTAGGGTGGTGTCGCCAGCACGAGTGAAAAGTCGTTCGGCGGATCCCAAGGCATGTATGAGAGGATCCAAGGTCTTCGGAACGGTCGTTTTGAAGAGAGAGCTGATAGATTGCGGGAAGATGAGTATGCTACTGAGAACGCTGAGGCCACCTTGAACCACCATCGGCTTGAAGAATAGGAAACCGAGTGTGTATGCGGGACCAGGTTGGAAATTGGCGAGCGTCAAAGCCTTTCGCGTCAGGAACAAATGTGAGATAAAGTGATAAAGTAAGACAGACTCACAACGTCGAGGAGGACGCAAGCAATCACTAGAGGGTAGGTCATTGGACCGGGTTGAGTACGCATCTTCACCCAGAGTAGGACGCCCGAGCCAACGGCGAGAAAGACGGCTAGGACAACGGCGGACTTGGCTTGAATATATGTCCCATCGTTGATCTACTTGTCAGACAGGCTGATGGGGGTACACTCACAATCATGGTTTGGTACAAAGGTTCGTTATCCTTCAGATAAGCACTGCAAGCATCAGTCGACCCTGTTAAGACCTAGGAGATGGCAGCCTACTATCTCTTTTGGGCGGTAGCCAAGCGACCTGCGTCCACGGGGTCGCGTACGGTGTATGCGATGAAGATTCCCAGAGCCAACTGGGACGTCAGCCGGAAGAGTTTTGTGGGATAGCATCCAGACCTACCCAACCCCAAGACAAAGCCGCAAAGAAAGCGACATAAGTCCAGCTCTCGAGAGTCTCGACGACGGTTTGAGAAGCGGGTATGAGAAAGGAGATCATTAGGATAAAGTCTGAAATGTTAGCAACACGGTCTTGAAACTTGACCATGATCTCTCTCACAAACAGCATTGCCCAAAGCCCGTTCGACGGGTAAGATGAGCATGAATAAAAGACCGAGCCATGCCTGTTGAACAACATCAGTGGTGTATCTCTCTACATTGGTGCACGCAAGTACTCACCGCTACCGCTGTCCTAATCGCCGGCTTCCAATGAGCCCAAGTTTGTTTCGGCGGAATCCATGAGAACCACCGATGTTCCAAGACGAGCTTGACCAACGAGATAGCATGACGTCCAGTCGGTTCCGCCGTCTCTCCCGGATGAGATTGGTCGTTATGAAGTGCACCTGTAGTATCCTCGCTGTCACTGTCGCCCGCTACACCGAGGAAGGATACTCGACCGGCCCGATGCCCGTTGTTGACAACGTCTGACAAGGACGAACGCCGAGGTGAATCCAAGGGGCTTAAGGGGATGTCTGGAGGCAGAGATGGACTGTTGGGCATGATGTGAAGATGCGTCCACGTCCATAGGAGCACATTATCAAAAGACGAGCTATGCACAGGGACAAGTACAAGTGACAAAGTTCGAGGTCGGGTATCAGCAATCCATAGAGATCCGAGAGATGGATGATACGGAAGGCTCGGAGCGGGGCTCCGGTGTGAATGCAAGAATGCAAAAGATGCTATGGATGTGCTATGACTACAGGATAATTACTATACAGACCATATGCGCCGGTCATGTGCCCCACCTTCACCTTCAGCATGGCGTCCAGCCTCCTCTCGTTGGATCGCCCTTCATCTCACCGTCTGTTGGCCATTCGACCGGGGGTAATGGCGTCTCCCAATCGATGCGATCGATCCTGTCCGGGGGTAGCCATTGAAAGGTTTGGGAGAGGAACGCTCGGGCAAAGCCCGTCAGATTGGTCTCTGGTAGTTTCGAGATGGGATACGCGGACATCTGAGGCACTGACAGTCAGCTTCAAGGCTGAATCTGAAATGAAGACGTACCCAGTCGTTGCAATACACCATCTCTGGGCTTTGCAGGACCACCATCTTTTGGTCGACGCTTTTTCTTGGGTTTGACAAACTCCGTTTCGACAGGTTCTCCAATCTCTTCGAGCCGCATCAAACCTGGGACATAGTCTGCGAGATCATTGCCAAATAAAACCCGCCCCCTAGAAAAGGACGGATCAAAGTTGGTCGACAGTAGGGACTCATACAGGGGTCTGGGACAATGAGGGAGGAAGAGCAAGTATGGGCTGCCGGGATCAAGTCGATAGGCACCACACTCGTTGTCAACCACAGTATCCAGTCGAGCAGATAAACTCACCAGATTCTCATTCAAAGCATTGATGCCAAACCTGTCGAGCAGCCTGCGGTCCCACTCATCCCACACGGGATCGAAAGCCTCGATGGTATTGTGTTGCGACTGATGATCAGCTACCACAGGGTGAGTGTGTACTTCAAAACTCCACGCACATCAAGACCGGCCACCAATGCCAACAAAAGTGAGAGCTGTATCTGAGCAGTTCGGTCTATGGAAGGTGCGCCCAGACCGAGGCAAAGTACTTTCAAAGGCTTCGCTCCCGTAACCTTTGAGTCCACAGGATCCTGAGAGTACAACAACGGTTTCAAGACAGCAAGAAGATCTGAGTCTGAATCAGCCACGTACATCAATGGGATCAAGGTAAAAGGCACGGCGAATGGATCGGGACCGAGGATTGACTTACTGAACCAGTCAGGGCCCCATCGATCGAGCAGCTTTGCTCGTTTCTCCAAGATGTCGGCGTGAACACGATCGAGCTTCACTTCATCAAACAAATCTGAGGGAGGTGTCGCCTTGCCTTTTGCGCCCTTTGTGACATTTGCTTTCTTTGACTTGTTCGGCGCCGACGTCTCTTTCTTACGCCCTTTTTCCTCTTGCTGACCGGTCGTGTCAAGCTGGACTCCAGCCTTTTTGGCAGTCTTACGAGCCTCCTTCGTAGCTGTTTTCCTCTGCTCCTCTTCAACCTTCTTCTGCGCTTCCTTTGCTCTTCTTTTCTCTCGCTTCGAGGGCTGGGAAGAAGATTGAATCGGTGCCTCGCTCGTATGGATGCCATTCGCCGCCAGTGCAGCACCATTGACCACTGGAGTGTTGACAAGCTCGGGTGTATCGGTCTGCGCAAGGTCGTTGGCGCTGATGGACGAAGATGAAGAGGACGATGTGTTCGACCTTGAGCGTCAGTCAGCCCGCGGAATAGGGGTAGGTGAACTTACGGTACAGCGCTCTTGGTCTCCTCCATTCCTACACCCGTCAGATCATCGTTCAGAGCCAGGACAGCCTCGTCGATTTCGGTACCAGAAGCACTCGCAGGCCGAGCCTCCAACGGGTCCTGTGATTCCAGATCCAGATTTGAATTTTCCAGTTGCATGTCCCTCTTCAGCCTGCCGGTCAGCAATCAGGATTGGGCCGTTGAGGCAGATAAGGCCCACCTCCACACAGTTTGCTTGTGCCTCTTGCTTCGCTCGTGATTGAGCCAACTTGCCTCGCTCTGGAACACCTTACCGCATGCTACGCATTCTATGGCCTCCCCGCCAACATCATCGACAACCCTAACACCTGCCTCGCCGTCCAAGTCCTGCTCTTCCTCTTCCTCATCACTGGAATCGCTGACCACTAATCTCTGCCACTCCTGCTCTAGATACTCGATGTCGGGAGAGTTCTGCCTAGCGGAGGGCATCCCTGCCACATGCCTGGGAGGGCCACTCGGATTCTTGTCCGGCTTGCTCGATCTGGCGACCTTTCTGTCTGAACGCTGTTGCTTCAGGTGCGCTTGATGGACCTTATATCGGGGATCTCGGTGCTGGATGAACTGCGCGAGTTGCTACCCATCAGAGAAGGATATCAGTCAAAGAGTGTGTGCACTCACCCTGACGGTATCTGTATATTCTTTGCGATGATCCTCTCGAATCTTTTTATTTCCCTTCTCCATGAGCCGACGGGTTGCTCGGTCTTCACCGCGGTCAGCATCCCATTTCGAGAGCCATTCAAATCGCTTCTCAGTCGTAAACTCTAGCCAGACAGTGTAGAAGTCTCGCGCCCAGAGTTGTTCATCTCTCTGGGCTCGGGTCAAGCCTGGTGGTGGTGCGTAGGATGTCTTGGAATCACCAAAGCTAGGGTATACCAATGGCGATCGGTCTTTTGGGGTATGCAATCGCTCATCAGAGGCGATGAGAGCGAACAGTGTCCGATATATGGAGAAGAAGCCCTGTGCGAATCAGCCGCGAGTTCCAGGTGGGAGAGAAAGCGCAGCTGCTCACCTCCTCAGTGTCGTCCAGCTTCCTGGCTAGCTTGGGATCGAAGAACCTCAGTAGCTGTTCGAGCCGCAGACCCGGATCCCCAGGTTGTCGCCTGTTGAGCTTTGATTTTGGATCTGCAGCTGCAGCATCACCCGCTCTAACATGGTCGTAGAGGTCATCATCGGTGGTGGGTATAGGTGCATTGCGATGAGAATCGTAGAAAGCTCTCTCGTTGGGATCGCTCAAGACTTCGTATGCCTGTTGAAGGTCGGCAAACAACCTTGTGGCCTCTTCTATACGATGTAAATTCCGATCTGGATGGTTGACGAGAGCGAGTCTCTTGTAAGCTCTTTTGATTTCGTCAAAAGTGGCATCCTGATCGACGTCGAGGAGGTGATAGTAGTCGGGTGGACGCTGGGGCTGTTGAGGGCCATCGGATGAGTGAGACTGACCGTTACCCATGACCTGGGGGGAGGAAGGATGGTCAGTGAACCAAGTTGTGAGCCATTGAATGGAGGTGAGAGGCCGACTAGACGAGCCTTTATGATCTTTTGAGTAGTAGGTGATTGAGAAGACTGCAAGGAATGTTGAAGGGAGGGGTGTTGGGTGTTAGTTGGACGTAAAAGAGCCCCCCATTTATGACTGGGTGAGGTGTGGTGATCTGTGCGTCCCTCCCATGTTTGCGTTAATTAGTTAACTTACTCTGTCATGTATCTTCAATAGAGTACTATTACTCTTACTTGTATCGTTGACTTGACTCTCTCTACGCTTGCTACCACTCTCTAATTCCCTCTCACTCCCTCCCCTCCCCTCTCCTCTTTCTCTCAGCCCAGCTGCATCGTCCATCCACCCCTCAACCTCACATTCAACCTCGATCAACAACCCTCCCACCTTCAGTCGCCCCTTTTGTCTCGCCCCGCCCCGCCCCGTCATGACCGACCAAGGCTACATCTCATCGGGTTCTGGCAGTGGAAGAGTTTCCGGAGGTGAAGGCGGTGATCGCAACGCGTGAGTCACGCACATCGATCGACGACACCCATCAGCTCACCTAACAGCATCGTGCTCAAAGTAGGTATGGTGGGCGACTCTCAGATAGGCAAGACGTCCCTGATGGTCAAATACGTAGAGGGCAGCTTCGAGTGAGTCAATCTTCTACCTGATCGTCTCGTCCGCTCATGCTATCAGCGAGGACTACATACAAACTCTTGGCGTCAACTTCATGGAAAAGACGATCAGTATACGGAATACAGAGATAACATTCTCCGTACGTAAAACCACCGGAATCACATGTCCAGTCACTCATCAACGCAGATATGGGATCTTGGAGGTCAAAGAGAGTTTGTCTCAATGCTGCCACTGGTCTGCAATGATGCCGTCGCCATTCTTTTCATGTTTGACCTCACACGTAAAGCTACACTGAACAGCGTGAAAGAGTGGTACAGACAGGCACGAGGCTTCAACAAGGTGAGAGCTCGACTATGGTTCAGATGAGTCACTCTGATGACCGCAGACGGCAATACCGGTACTCATCGGCACCAAGTACGACACTTTCGCCACATTCTCCCGTGATGAACAGGAAGAGATCACTAAGCAGGCGAAGAGGTTCTCAAAAGCTATGCACGCTCCTCTAGTAAGTGCTGGGTGAAAACCTGTTTTTTGACGGACGCTGATGATATGCAGATTTTTTGCTCCACGTCACATTCCATCAATGTACAAAAGATATTCAAGATTGTTCTCGCCAAAGCTTTTGATCTCAAGGTAAGGATAGCTCCCCCCCCAAAAAAACCAACAAATAACTGACCAGCCAGTGCGTGATACCAGAGATTGATGAAGTTGGCGAACCTATACTCCTATACGTGGATGTGTAAAGAAGCGAGACTCACGAAACCCGCCTCCCGACCGATATCCAGCATTGCACTCATTCTGTCTATAAGTAGCATCTTGCTTATGATTGTACGAACTTCATGTCACACGTGCCTCCCTATCTATTTCATGCGGACTCGCGAGTAGAAGGCAACTGCTTTGCAGATGGGCGTCCGCAGACTACTACTCCTAACGATTCACAACATACAAATATGGAAACGCACTGTTGGGGAGGTACTCATGCTCGGCTGACAGTTGACGACTGATTCAGGTATGCTTGTGGACACATATCCCTGGTCGTTGTGAAGGAACATCGGACGGTTGCTTGGAGATCCTTTGGGACTGATGTGACGAGGTGAATGTCTGAAAACCTCCGTCTCTAACGACGGTGGTTCACTTATCAACGATTGGACACTGTTGACAGAACTCCATAACTTTGGCTTCTTCTCTCCATACCACTTCTGATGGCATGTCTTGTCTCTCAAGCTCTGCAGAAGGAGGTTACTCCATGTGATTGAGCGTACTTCAACATGGATAGCGGGACCATGACCTCGGCCACACTGGTGGTAAGTTATACATCGTTTGTTCGTACACTCCGAGAGCGTTGACGGTTTCAGGTGGTGCTTGCCGACGCTCCTTTTCTCGCCCTTGGTTTTCTCAGTCTCACAGGTCTCTCTTTTTACGCTGTGACGGGCGGCAGTAGGCGGTGAGATCTTCCCTTCGGTGTCATGCTTCAGAAGCTCATGATAGTCCTGCAACTGGTGTGCATGCGGCGGCACTCATGGCGGCCCTGGCGGCCCTTCTGGACCTGGTGTCCATGTTGTACGGGGATAAGACTCCCACGACGTCGTTACTGTTGAACGACCCTTCCGACCTTGTGCACGGGTTGTTGGTCGTGAAACATTTTTTATTGTCTTTCTCGGTGGTTTTGCGGCTCATGTGAGCATCTCGATGTGTCAATGACCCAACTGACTGACAGCTTCATCTACCAGTCCCTCCCCAAGACCTTCAATGTCCCTGTGGAGCGATCCCCGTATTCACAGGATCTGGAGAGGACATTACAAGTTCCCCAGAATGGGGAGAAGCCAGTTGACGTGAAACTGGAGCCGAACCTGGAAGGGCGTGCCCTAGATAGTGATCAGTATCCGTCTGTGAGACGCTACATTCCATATATAGCATTCTTGATGATATTTGTCATCTTCGTGCTCGAAGTAAGTCTCTGACGTCCTTCATATCAAGTGAGTGGCTGAACGTGACAGTTGACGTGGCGCTTGAAAGTGCTCTTTCAATCGTCGATCTCGAGCTCGGCTCGTAGCATCTACGATGCCAGGTATGTTTGTTCAGTGTATCGACCTGACCAGTGGTGACAGAACCAGTTTATCTTTGCAACTCGTCCTCGTCGTATGGTTTCTGGGGGAGGAGTCACTGAACTTATGGTTGACACCCGTCGGTAAACGTTGGGACACGTTCAGGCGTCGGCTAGGTTGGCTTTCCGGAACTGTCCTCGGATTCGTGGTAGTGGTTGGAGCTCTCGCCAGTCTGGGCTTTTCAGAGCAACCAGTCGGTCGATTATTGCAGGGTGTGCAATTTGTGAGCATTCCCAACAGTGAGACATTTGTTGCAGGAGCTTACCATGCCAGTACATCTTCATCATGTCATCTTTCATTTTCGACTTCACAGTGGACAGATCGACCCGTTACTCAGATCGCTGGACGATCGTCACAAAGCCTAACCACCGACCGTCATTCATCGGTAAGCTCTACCACATTGCCTCGTCCTCTCAAGCTGACGATATATAGCTATATCGACTCCTCGAGTTTCCACACTACGTATTTCCCCACCCACAGTGTCCACCCCGAGCCCTTCCGAGATCCCTCGTCTTCTTGGGTACGAGCGACGTCCATCCTCAATGCCAAAATTGGATCGAGGATCGAGTGTGTGGTCAGCCCTGCGTCGGGAGGGGAGTTCGAGAAAGGGACTGAGCAGATCGTGGATCCCTGGTCTGAGTCTTACTCGTCAGCGGACAGACGGGGAGGAGCATCGGGGTCTAAGAGCTGAGTCTGTGACGACTGATCAGTCTTCTCCAAGCCCAGGTGAGTAGACTCCTTTGCGTCCATGTTTGACTCTGAAATTAGTCGTAGAAATATCTCAGCCACCTGTCCTCGTCATTCGCAAAGAAGAAACCATATCGCATCCTGTCCGACAAGGAAGTAGACGTGTCTACTCAGTCGTTGGCATCAAGCGGACGGTGCCCAGTCCAGGAGCGAGACTACTGGTGCTTGGTCCGGATGCAGACGGCGTACGGTATCCATCCACCAGGGCCAACACTCTGTCAGTGTACTCCACACCTTCTGGCGTGACACGAGAGAGCACCACATCCATGCCGTCGATTACAGATATGAACTTTCCGGAACCACCGACGAGACAGTCAGTGATGGGGCCTTCCGACTTGGAGGACATGTTCGACCTGCCATTGCCCGTCATTCCTGCTGCCCGCCAAGAGGTAAGGTACCAGCGACCGAGGAGCGTATCCGGAGCCGGAGCTTACGATGTGACCAGTTTTATAGAGGGTTAGTCGTCATCTTTCTCTTTTCCAGGAGACAGCAATTGATGGTCCAGGTGGTTTCCGTGGCAGTATGGTCAGCGATGGCAGGCGCAGAACTTTAGGCGAATCGATGCTCAGCTCACATCGCCGAAGTTCAGTGCCCGGTGAGTTCTGAATCGCTGTGTCATTTGCCAACTGACACACGTCAGTACTGTACGGCCGTCGCAATCCTCAAGGGTTATCGATCTCCATCCCCACCAAAGCATCGCGGGGCAACAGACCAAATCGCCTCTCGGACCTCCAATCGTTTAGTGGTTCCCTGCGGGAGGGAGACTTTGATAGTATCATGACGACGTCGCCGACTTACTCCGACCTACGAGAGGCATCGGTTCGTTTGGCATTCCGACGACCCCTGAGTGTGCCTAGTCCGGCCGACTTCAACCCTCGACCACTGGCGCTTCCGTCAATGCCGAGCTCCCGAGCGACATCGAGACGTGCATCTCGCGTGTCTCATCTGCAGGTTGATGACCCTGCTCCTATGCCCGATTCGGCTACGTTGCCACCTCTAGGCATCCCTGCTAATCCGCGACCGATACAGCGCTCGACCACGTCCGCTAGCGACTCCGTCTCCCGTCAAAAGGCGAGGGGCAACATGATATGATGAGAGTGGTGCGTTGGAGACGTGTCCTGATCACCCAATGTGACGAGAAAAAATGGAGGAGACATAAAGTTTTTGATCAAGGCGAAAATCATGCATCCAAAATGACTCCTATTTGTTTTGCTGCTGTCATGGCCTGTTTTGTCAATGATGGACGCAACTTGACAGCACTCACATTCGATAGCATAACTCTGAGTTGGGCTTCCCGATTACTTGCTCTTCTCTCCGCAGTAGTTATCAACTTTTCCAACTTGACAGATCCAGTATCGCTTCGAGGTGATTTCCACTTTTCGGCGGTCACTCCACGAACTGAGAGGTCATCAATGATCCGACTCGGCAGAGAGTTCAATGATGCCAGAAGATCAATCATCAGGGGCTCAGATATTGGCTCTGTCCCTGGACCCTGAGTTGAACCCATGGCAATCCTGGAAGTCTTTGGGGTTGCTTCTTGGTCTTGATGAGGTGTTTGAGATGTTATGACGAGTTTGTGGCCTTGACCAGGTGGCGTATCCGCACTCGAATGTGGCAGTGGGGATCCGTAAACAAGTTTCTTCAACGCGCCGGTGGGGGTGGAGTCTATCTCATCACCGCCTTCTGAGATCCCATGAAGCGGGGATAGGTCAAACGCAGAGACGCGGCGAAAGTGAGATTTACTCGCACGTTTACTTGTAAATGTCACGGATGTCGAATGTCGTAGCTGGTTGGGGGTTGGAGGCGGCAATGGAGTAGACGCTGTCAGGCGGACGGAGCTGGGTCGTGGTGGTGGTTGGATCTTATGAGAAGCCTTCAGGTCAGCTGAAACAAATCTAGACATCATGAAAGACCCACGTGCCAGTCGGGCCCCAGATTGGTCTCAAGTAATTTCTCCATTTCCTACGCTCCATCAGCCAAGACACGGCAGTCATCGGAGTCATGTTCACCTTTATGTATGATCTAAGCTCTTCGATGGAACGCTGCTTGCTTTCGTTGTCACTGAGACGTTCAGCAAGCTGCACACGTGTTGATGTCTGACATACCGCTGTGACTCGGCCAATAGGTCTTCGGAAATCTGCCATTCTTTCTCTAGGGACGAAATGCGAGCCTGTAGCTGAGAGTGAGCGGCGAGCGAATGCATTTCTCCGTCAGTTCATGACCTCGGAATACAGGGAACGATACAATGAATAACGACACTCACCTCTTCGGTAGTGGGAGCGTTTCCCATGATGACACTCGGGGGAATTGATACAAGGAACCAGCGGGAGAAGAAGGTGCACGTATGGCAATAGGATCTCACTCAGCGTGGGCAGTATCGATGATCAGGAAATGGTGAGGGCTATTCCTACCAAGTACACGAGTACAGTCGCGGCACTCTACTCTGAGATCTGAGATAGACGACCGTCTGTAGATACAATACTTACAGTAGTATGTCAGTGTCAGTGTACAGTACAGTACGATAAACACCAGGCCAATTTGTTAGGTTGAAGGACAGAAATCAGTCGCGGGTCCGCGTGGGGCTCCATAACATGACGTGGTATTTTACCCCCTCTCTCCCTTATCAGTCATTCCCCTACAGCGAACTAACAATTCCCCATACAGTTTGTACTACTGATCCATCTCCATCTCTCACTACAGTACATGTCCCTCGACCTCTTTCCATGCTCAGGTCCGATGTCGCTTTTCGAAACCGGCGGGTGATTCTATTCTGGCCGTTGAATCAGACGGGCTTTCGTTCACGCTCTTTCAAGGTACTCGTCCGCCCTCGACACATCCACCCTTTCCTTGTCCATCCTCGCCCCGGTCCACCGATTCGTCGCTCGCCCAGCTCGAGTCGAACATGGGCAGCACTCGCCTCTAACAATGTATTTCATGAGGGTGACGTATCCTACCCACCAGCTCTTCAGTCCGTTCGATCCCCTTCCGACGATGCTGCATGGCTCGAGAATATACAAAACCTTCTACAGGACGAAATCGGAGCCTCTGAGGAATGGGTCGCCCGGGTCGGGAATGCTATCGCAGAACTGGGCACACCATTTCATACACGTATCGGTGGTACGTCATATCACATTTTCTTGGGGAGAAGTGTGTAACTGACTCGTAGTCTATGGTGACCGTATTGCAGCGCCCAGAGACCTGGTAACCGCGCTGGTCCAGGATCCCATGAGTGATACAACAAGCACCAGGCAACTGTTAGACAGACGAAAAGGCGAAGAAGACTATGCTTTTCACATCCGGTAAGCTACCTCTCTGTCAACTCTGAAGACTTCCCTGATTGGGTCTAGTCATTCTCCAGAGCTGTCGACCAGCGCCTCAAGCCTGGCAAAGCCATCATCGTGGCTGCAAACAGGGGAATGTGAGATTCTAGAGGTTGCACGTGAGTGTTCTGCGTAGCTGATCTATGATAAATCAAGTTGACGTTTCAGACCAGTCAAGCTCCTCTACCCTCAGCGATCTACTACGTACAGACTTCATTCTTCTCATCTTGGACCCCATCCGCCTACTTGAAGCACCTTCCATCAGTCCGCTCATTCCATATCTCTTCAGAAGAGGAGGTGTACAATTGGTAGTGAATGGCCCATTACCGCCAGGAACCTCAGAAAACCGCCTCGAAAAAACGCTAAGCAAGCAAATCAAGGCGGCGATGCTTGCAAATGATGTCATCCCCAGCCCCGACATCCCATTCTCCTTCGTCGATAGCACCCGGGCCATCGAAGCTTTGGATGCGTTGTCATATGCTTTAAATGCCTCCGACAGTCTGCCCGATGCCAGATCACTTGCATTTCAGACGTTCCAGACGAGTTTCCTTGCATCAAATATCGGCAACCTGCAAATCTATCTTCTTTCCCGTTTGCGCACATCGAGACCTCCTGCGGATTGGCGTGCAGTACAAGTAGGGCGTTTAGCTCTGAATCACGCCAATGACATACTCCAAGAAGAGCGCAATATTATAGGCGAAATAGAAGCTGTTATTGACGATCTAAGACGCTCCGCGATTGAAGCTGCGACTCGAGTACAGAGTAAGAGTGTGGTGGGCAGAGGTATTGATGGGGGATTGATACAGGGAGGAGTGGAGGACATCTTGATGGATGTTCGACAGGACTTGAAACGAGATCTAGGTGCGAGATACACCTTCTTGCAGCTTGCACTACTGGGAGCGGCCGACGACCTCGGATCAGACCTTGCCTCAACCATCCGGACACGATTCGGCACGTCACTGCAACAGAATGTGAGTGACGAATCTAGACCGATGGGCTGAAGCTTGGCAGATCACCTTTGAAGCAGGTCAACTGGCGGAAGTACAAGCTCAGCTTTCCAGGACCGCAGACGAGACCGTCCGCAAATTGTCATCACCACAATCTTATACCTGTCCCTCGCACCCACTCACGTCACCGGTCTTGCTCAACCACCTTTCGGCTCTTTCTCTATCGATACCGCCACTTTCTCCAGCTTCACTTCATCACGCACTTCGGCAGAGACGAGATGAGCTACTAGCAGCGTGTCTCCCTCGTCTTCATAAAGCCGCCAGCAGATCGGTCCTTGCAAGTTATGCCATCGCGTCATCGAGCATTATGAGCACATGGATCATGGCCGTTCCACCCATCCAGGTGATTTCCCCGGGTCTTGCATTTGGGCTTGGACTACTATCCGTACTATCCTCCATTGCTCTCGGTCAACGTCAGTGGAACCGAGCGCAGAAGGTATTCTGGCGGGATTGGGAGAGATCCACAAAGGTGATCCGGGAGGACCTCCAGGTATGTCTCGCTCATGCACGGCAAGCTTAGCACTCATGTTCAGAACGAGTTCCTCCTCACTGTGCAATCACAAGTGATCGCTAAACCATTGACTGCAGCAGACGGGCTGAGAAGCTTGATAGAGAAGCGTCGTCGACGTCTGGATCGCGTGCAGGACAAGCTCATCGCCCTATCGCCATCTATCAATCCGCAAAGTAGTTGACGAAAGGGTTTTTCTGGGACAGATATGCATGCTAGATGATCAAACACTACTCTTCCTGCGCTACTTTGCCATAGCCTGACTCGGCAAAGCGTCGATCTCCCCCAAACCCAAAGCCCGTACCAAATCCACTCTTCCTCCCTTTGCGCGTTCCTCCTTCGCCAAACTGTTCGGCCCACTGTACAGCTGTCAGCATTGGACGACTGTCAAAATATCAGATGGCTCACCTTTCTCAGCTCCGGCAGTGTCCCCTCTTCGGTGGAGGACGGCCGTATCTCTTTCATGGCAACAGAGAAATGTGAACGAGTCAACACTCGGCCCGATGGCAGATTGGCCGGCTGATCATCCTCCAGGGGCACTTGCTCCTGAGACTGCTCAAGTTCGTCCTCTGGCAGTCCACGATCTATCATCTCATCCGTCGGGCTAGGAATTTGGGATTCCATCTCTTCGGTCACGGCCACCGCGGGCATCACAGGTACCATCATGTGTGGTCGATGAGGGTGAAGGGACTGGTAGAAATCCCATTGGGGTAAAGGTATTGGTACGGGTGGAACCTCGCCACATGCGGCGATAGAGTCATCCCTATCCCTTTCAGCGATGATGTCCGTGTCGTCAGGCAGTGCATGTTCCAGATACGGGCCTAAAGACTTTGGCAAGTCCGGAGTGAGAGCCAGAGGAGCAACTGGGAGGATCTCGTCGATGAGGAGATCATCGTTCAATCCTGCCGCCAAGTCGAAACTGGATGACACATCGCTAGATTCGTCGAGAACTGGTTTCGTTGGTTTGTGCAGCCACGGCACTCGCACCGAGTCTTTGACGGCAGCCAGTGCTGCACTGACACACAGGTCTGTATCCGTCAGTGACGCCCTCGGTGTTGCCAGGCTTACACTTGAGATCTGAACCGGAGTAGCCCTCCGTATCTGCAGCTAGAGCATCGAGGTCGACAGATGAGTCCAACGTCTCCTCTCGTAGCAAAATGTCCAGGATAGCTGTCAGAGTCAGCCTCTTCTGACTGTGGGGTGTGCGCGAATCACTGACCTCTGCGATCCGCCCGTCCTGGAAGGTCTACCAGAAGCCGTCTGGGCAATCGACGAAGTATGGCATCGTCTAAGTCGAATGGCCTGTTGGTCGCACCAATGACAATGATCCGATGTTCGGTATTGGCTATGGCTGAGCTGAGACCATCCATCTCTTGCATGAACTCGGTGAGGACTTGATTATGAGCCTTGGCTCCACCCGATGCGTCCTTGGAAGCTCTTGCCCCAAACAAGGCGTCCACTTCATCGAGGAAGATGACACAAGGGGACAGCCTTCTGGCAAGGGAAAACACTGCCTTCACCCTGCAAGTCAGACATTTGGATGTCGAATGTTCGATGAAGATTACTCACAGCTTCTCTGATTCTCCTACATACATGTTGTTGACGTCACTGGGCTGTCTTATCAGCGAGATCACAGTAGAACTGCATGGCACGTACCTGGACAGCGAGCATCTGGGCGCCGCTTTCGCTGGCGACAGCTCGGGCCAGTAAGGTTTTTCCGGTACCGGGCGGTCCAAACAAAAGTGCACCTCCAGTCGAGTGTTGACGGAGAAGACCAGTTCGGAAGGCTTCGGGGAATAAAAGAGGCAACGATACCACCGTACGGATAGCGTCGATGGTCTTGTCAGGAAGATGTACATCATCGAACGATGTGGACGAAAGTTTTTGAGTGTCAACGATACAGCTTACAAGTCTTCGTTCGTAAGAGCTCAGGTTCTTGTTGCGTTTAACGCTATCGACAATGGAGTCTGAAGGGCGATCTCGCTGAGCCCCAGCATTGGAATCGGAGGCGGAAAGTTTGGCTTTCTGGTCCGCGCTGGGTTGGGACTTGTGGGACGCTAAATGTTCTTGGAGAAGGCGAGCTGTGCGATCTCCGTCTTGTTCGTCAGACTGCCAGGCCTCGCGGATGTCTTGCCACCGGAGCTCGACAACAGTCGAACCAGCTCGTGCCAAGTCCGGGACGACGGATAAGGCCCTCCCTATGGCAGAGCTCGCGAGTCGTTGAGCTGTCGAATACGGCAATGCCGCGTTCCCCCACCAAGTGTTGGAAGAAGAAAGTCGCAGACGGGCTGCAAGACCATCCGCAAGCCCTGTCAAAGGGTCCACCAACTTCCCTCCGGCCTGATGCACAGCACGGCACAAAATAGCCAAGCTGACACATCGCCTATTCAGTTGTCGACGGAGATACTCGCGAGAGAGAGATCGCTTCGGGGGCACCAGAGGCAGCGCGCGGGAGACGATCGAGGAGGACGCCGGATTTGTATCTGTGCCCTGACGCCCTTGAGCTAGATGAGGGAGTAATGCGCCTAACAAAGGGTGGTTCATAGAGGACGGACTGGTCGAACCAGACGGGCGAATACCCAAAGGCGGCAGGCACTCTCGGATGTCACCATCGCTGACCGTCAGTACCAGCCGTATAGTTTGTTCACAACCCTCACTCACTTTTTGGTGGACTTCATGATGGCTGTCAACCTCCTACGATTGCGATCATTTCGACCGACGACGTCCTTCTCCAGACTGCCATGCCACATACCTTCAGTCGAGGTATCATGTAGGTTGCGGGAAGATTGAATTGTAACACCGACCCCAAACCGCTCAGCCGCGGCCTCGAGGGCCGCCTGCACCAGCTCGGATCTCCCAGCGGTCGGAGCTTCGTCCGCCAGTGCCCCATCCCCTACCAGGTCACCGATGTGACTGGCAAGAAGCGATGGAGTACAGGAGAGCACGATAGAGGTCGGAGCGACCAGTTTCGAGCTCTGTTTCGAAGTCTGACGGCCCTGACGACCAGAAGGGGTCGTCACCGTACCTTTTCTACGTTTTCTCACGGCTTCCAATAATGAGGGCCACCATACATCAAATGTGGACGCCATGGCAGCTGTAGACTCGAGCACGATTATTCGGGGACGAGGTTGTGAAGGCGAAGCCGTTTCATTGGCAGTCTGATTGATAATTTTATCGAAGAAGGCGATCCACTCCTCGTTTGGACCAGCGGCGGGTGACGATGAAGCGGGACCGAAACTGGGCATGGACGGCCCTGCAATCATCAACGGAACTCTGAGTACGCCACCAGAACCAGTGAAGCCTTCAGTGTCGTCGTCTTCAAAGGTGACTTCTTCCCCAGGGTCATCTTCCGCTACAAGCCCAACGGCTCTTTCCTGCAGGAGCGGATTAGATTTTTGGGGCAGAGACGGTGCAGTATGGCCTGCGATTAGGTCAGAAAGTGTCATCAACAACGAGCAGGAGCGACTTACCCATAGAGTGCAGAGGCGCAGATGGGCCGTCCAGGCCGATGGCAAGCGCAAGGTCCAAACGGAGGCAGTCCGCCCCAATGTGATCAGCAACTTGTTGCAGCGATTCCATCACATAGTCTTCCCCTCCCTCGAAAGGACAAAGTAAGGCAAGAGCTTGATCACCTGAGTGCCTCTCGGGCGACGAGGGAGAGTTCAGGGATCTGATGACAATGGAAGAGTCCTCGGACAAGGCGGACAGACGACGACTGGTAGTGGACTGCTCGGGCCAGTTCGTAATTGCCGTGAATGGCTGACTTGCTGGTAAAAACGAGGTTAACAGATGAGCTTGAAGGGGTCTCAGATAATCATCTAGTGGACGATCCGACGGTGTGGGGGAAGTGAGATTGAAAGCGAAAGCCTCATAGCTGGACGGCAAAGGCGGCGGACCTGGACCAGGAGAACCACCAGGCTTTGGCAGAGGAGGATATGGACGATGAGCCGCTAGGGTGTCAGGAGCTAAGGTAAGGGGGGACTTTCTATCGACGGTATTGGAGGGCCCTGACGATTTGGGCGGACCACTTCGAGGTAAGAAAACTCGGGCAGAGGAATGTAGCGAAACGAGGGGTCGATAGGAAGCAGAACGACGAGCTGGACCTGATCCTGAGGCTCTGATGGATACCAACATGGCTCTGTCTAGCCTCTTCATGGCTACAAGTAGAAGAAGGAAAGGGAGGGGATATGAAGATGAACGAGGATATAGAATGAGTAATACGAAATGGTGTACATACAAGTAATACTCCTAGTAGTAGGAGCAAGGAACCCCCTGGTGTCGCATGTGGCATGACGTGGGCTTTGCGGCCTTTTGTCTTCGAATTCCCTTATCAAATCTTGTCGTGGAGCCCCACACCTCTTCAGGGTTCGTCCCTTCCCTTCCTTCCCCCTTCCCCCCCTTGTCCCCATATGTAACTTACAGACCTCGTGCACCGCGAGCTGTCATAACATTCCATCGTCATCAACTGCCTCCATACGGATACGAAGGGTATATCAACAGCATAGAACCGCATAATGCTCTCTCTCTACCCCTCCATCCCCCCCCCCCCCCCCCCCCCCCCCTCAGCTCACTGGCAACGGATGCCCGAGGTCAAGCCTCGGCGATCGGGGGTCCCTCATCTCTGCTTCTCTACCTCTATAGAGTTGTCTTCACATACCTTCACACATCGTAGGTCTGCTCGTGATAGGACGCTGCTCATCGAAGCCTCGGCAATGCGAGACTGTAGCCTCGGCGACCGAGAGGCGGAGATGCTATATATGTGACTACGGGAGGGGCAAGGGGTGATGTCTTCCCCACCGAAATCCACTTCCATCGCACTCTCTCAATGTCGTTCTCCAAGACCATACTCATCACTGGAGGTAGCAGTGGGCTGGGGCTCAGGACTGCCATCGAACTCGCAAACTCTCAGTCTGGGAGCCTGATCGTTGTGGCCAGCAGGGTGAGCTTTTCCTCCGTTCGGACCACCATCGTCATCTTTCGTTTGTGCTGATGGTGTAAGACTCCTCCGCCAGAACCTTTGCCGGCGAATGTTCGTTTCGTTGCGCTCGATCTCGCATCCCGCGAGTCCGTTAGAAGCTTTGTCGCATCCTGGGACTTTGGCCCCATCTCGGCCTTCATCTGCAACGCAGGCATGATCACCGCCGGGGCGCCCAAATTTGCCGACAATGGCATCCAGTTAGACTTCGCCGTCAACTTCGTCAATCAAGCTCTGCTCTTTTTCCTTCTCAAAGACAAAAAGCTCTTCTCTTCAGCATGCCGTTTCGTTTTCGTGACCACCGCTCTCCATGATCCCAAGGCACCGATGAACTTCACACCACCTCATTGGGTCAGCGCGGAAAGTGTCGCGAAAGGGACCGATAAACCGTTGCTTAACGCGGGAATCAGATACTCCACCACCAAGCTCGCCAATCTCCTATTCTCCTACGCTCTGGTAGACAAGTTGCGCGAGACAGCATCGTCGGATGCTCGTGGCTGGTCGGTCATTGCTTTTGAACCTGGCTATATGCCTACAGGGGGGTCACAGCTCGTTCGCCGTAAGTCCATCACGGGGCACTCACCTGATCTCTCGCTGATGGAGTTCCAGACCAGCCGGCTGCCCTCAGATTCGTGGGCAAGTACATTATACCACGCCTGTTGTTCATCTTCAAATGGGCAGGCGTGACGGTATCGACCCCGACCGAAGCTGGCAAAGTGCTGGCATCGATCGCCTCGAATGAGGTCTACACCGATATGACGGGTAAATACGTACTGCTGCATAAGGAAAAGCCTTCCAGCGTCGAGTCGTACGACAAGGAGAAACAGAACGACTTGTGGAGGTGGACGGTAGATAACGTGGCCCTAGACGCAGCGGAGAAGCAGAGATTCGAGACGTTCTGAGAGATGGAGGGATGATGCATAATTGAAAGAGAGTTGATAGTAGTAGAGTACTAGAGTAGTAGTAAGACTTGAATAGAACGAGCGAGACTTAGTAGGATGCAACATGGATGAGAGTGACTTTACTTTTGGCTGGGGAAAACAGGCATGACGTGGCTTTTCTCTCTCACGACTCGCTTATCACTCACTCACTAGTGACTTCACCTACTGGAGGATGTGTAAAGGTTGACGTTTTGCCACCATGTCCACCGACAAGGAGCTGTACAAGCTAGAGCTCCTGTCGCTCGTCACCAGAGTGTCCCAGGAGCTCTTCAATCATACAAAGCTGCAGGACAAGAGTCTGGCGGAATTCGTCATAGCTGTGAGTCTGTCTCGTTGAAGAAACCTCCCTGCTGCAGCTTACCTTCTGCCAGTTGCATGAGCAAAGCAAAGATGCCGTCGCTTTCCAGCAAAAGCTTGCAGAGATAGGAGCCGACTTTCCGGAATGGTTCATCAAGAACCTCGATCGTCTCATCGTCACCATGCATCCGAAATACAAACGCAAGGCAACAAAGATCAAAGCTTCTCGTGATAAGAACGGCAATGGCAGCGGCGACGTGAAGGACATCGTCGCTCGAAAGTTTCCTGGTCTCGCCCTTCCGGATCAGGAATGGACCGCGGCCGACAAGTATATTCAAAATAGGGCGGAGAGAGAAGGTGATGGCGACTCATTACCCAAGTCTCTATCTGTCGACGACGCAATGATCGAACTCGCATCCGTGTCGGCGAGGCGGAATAGACCATCCGCCGAGGATTTCATTGACGGAGAACCGCCCTCGAAAAGGTCAAGAGGCACGATGGATCAGACTGGGAGGGCGGATTACAGCAATGGAGACTCAAAGACTGCCGATAGGTACGGAAGCATGTCCGCCGCCTACCCGGGTCATCGAGGCTCACATCGTCCTAGCCAGGACGAGAAGCCTGTGCTCTACAAGATTTATAGCGGTAATGTGAATGGGGTGCGTGATTTTGGAGCTTTCGTGCTCCTTGATGGAGTTCAGGGTCGGGTAGAAGGTAAGTCAATATTCAAAAGACAAATTTGACGAACAGGCCTCGTTCACGTTTCAAACATCATTGGTGCCAGGGTGCAATCCGCCACGGAGCTGCTGCATCGAAATCAACGTGTGAAAGTAAAAGTCATGAGTGTCACTGGCAATAAATACAGTTTGAGTATGAAAGATGTAGACCAGAACACCGGAGCGGACCTTTCGTAAGTTACGTTCTGCTCTACCCAAGAATATGCCGACTGACTACAGACCTCACCTATACGTGCGCACAGATGAAGAAGCGAGAGCAGAAGAGAGACGGGCAGCGGCTCGTTCAGCGTCTGGAAGTAATACAACACCGCTAGTATCAGTTGACGAACGGAGGGGAAAGGGCGCCAAGAGATTATCGAGCCCGGAGAGATTCGAAATCAAGCAATTGATAGCCAGCGGCGTTATCGATGCCTCAGATGTGAGTCTCTATCCCGATGGGGCTAATCTGACGTCGTAGTATCCAGACTTAGACGATGACTTACATGCGGCATCTAACAATGTGGAGATTGAGGAGGACATCGATATCGAGGTCAATGAAATAGAGCCAGCTTTCCTCGCCGGTCAAACAAAGATTACTCTCGAGCTGTCTCCTGTCAAAATCATCAAGGCTCCTGATGGGTGAGTCTACGTATGCTGTAGAGACCGGAACTGACGCGTGCAGATCTCTCAACCGTGCTGCTCTAGCAGGTACATCCTTAGCGAAAGAACGACGTGATCTTAAACGCTTGGAAGCCAACGAATCCGCCGAGTCTGAATCCCGAGATCTGTCTCAGCCGTGGCTGGACCCAATGGCCAATCCTAACGAGCGTCAGTTCGCTTCTGACATCAAGGGTAATTTGGTCGGGCAGAAGACTGCGCAAATGCCAGCCTGGAAAGCGGCGAACAAAGTGACATCGTACGGCCGTATAACTTCGATGAGCATTCAGGAGCAGCGGCGTAGTCTGCCAATATACAAACTGCGCGAACAACTGGTCCAAGCCATTCGTGATGTAAGTGTCAAGTGCCAAACCTGACTATAGTTGATGGCAGAATCAAATTCTGGTGGTTGTCGGTGACACCGGGTCGGGGAAAACCACTCAGATGGCGCAATACTTAGCTGAGGAAGGCTTTCTGGAGAAAGGAAAGCTCGGATGTACACAGCCTCGAAAAGTTGCCGCGGTCTCCGTCGCCAAACGTGTCGCGGAAGAGGTTGGCTGTCGATTAGGTGCAGAAGTTGGATACACCATACGATTCGAGGATCTAACAAGTCCCGAAACCAAGATAAAGTATATGGTGAGTACGCTTTCTACGCCGCCTTCGTTATTCACTAATCACCTCAGACGGACGGTATGCTTCTGCGTGAACTCCTGGTCGACCCGGACTGCTCCAAGTATTCTGTCATTATGTTGGACGAAGCGCACGAAAGAACGATAGCTACTGATGTCCTCTTCGGACTGATGAAGAGTAAGTACGCCCATGCAGGATTGCATACGCTGACAAAGCAGAGGCTTGCAAACGACGCCCAGACCTGAAGCTTATATGCACTTCCGCTACACTGGACGCAGCCAAATTCGCCACTTATTTCTGGGGGTGTCCAATCTTTACGATTCCGGGACGAACTTTTCCTGTGGAGGTCCTCTACACAAAGGATCCGGAGCCTGATTATCTGGAAGCCGCGCTCATCACTATCCTGCAGATTCACCTCATGGAGCCTGCCGGCGACATTCTTGTCTTTTTGACTGGTCAAGAGGAGATCGATACTTCTTGCGAGATTCTTTACGAACGCGTCAAAGCCCTGGGGCCTCAAGTTCCCGAACTCATCATCCTTCCCGTGTACGCCGCTCTTCCATCAGAAATGCAGTCCCGAATATTTGACCCTCCGCCACCAGGCGCACGTAAAGTCGTCATTGCCACAAATATAGCCGAGACCAGCATCACTATCGATGGCATCTACTATGTCATCGATCCGGGATTTGCCAAACAGAACGCTTACGACCCGAAACTCGGTATGGACTCGTTGATCGTCACTGTGAGTCTTGTCTGCTCGTGTGCCGTACATCATGCTCACTCCAGCCTATCTCCCAAGCTCAAGCTCGTCAAAGAGCCGGGCGTGCTGGTCGTACTGGCCCCGGGAAGTGTTATCGTCTTTACACCGAAGTAGCCTATCGGAACGAAATGCTGCCAAATCCTATCCCCGAAATTCAGCGTACCAACTTGGCGTCGACTATCCTGACGCTCAAAGCTATGGGAGTCAATGACTTGATCAGTTTTGACTTCATGGATCCTCCCCCAGCCCCTACCATGTTGACAGCGTTGGAGCAGCTGTACGCTTTGGGAGCGCTTGACGACGAGGGCCTCCTTACTCGCATCGGTCGGAAGATGGCCGATTTCCCTCTCGATCCACCATTATCGAAGATGCTCATCAAATCTGTCGATTATGGTTGCTCAGAGGAAGCTCTGACTATTGTGGCCATGCTCCAAGCTGGAGGTCAAGTATATTATAGACCTAAGGACAAGCAAGCTCAGGCGGACGCCAAGAAGGCCAAATTTCATCAGCCTGAGGGAGATCTTCTTACCCTTTTGGTGAGTATCTTGAACCTATCTTTTGTAAGTAAGCTCACATCAGGCTGTCTACAATGGATGGAAGGGCTCTAAATTTAGTAACCCGTGGTGCTTCGAGAACTTTATCCACACAAGAGCTATGAAGACTGCACAGGACGTGAGAAAACGTAAGTCCCAGTCAAGAGTCTTTATCTGTGCTGACACTGACAGAACTGATCGGGATCATGGATCGTTACAAGCACGACTTAGGTAAGTTCCGTCGGTCACCGAGGTCGTCAATGCTGATGGTAGTTTCGTGCGGATCCAATTACAATCGGGTACGAATGGCAATATGCTCTGGGTTTTTCCGCAACGCCGCCAAAAAAGGTATGCTGCGGTCTTACTATCATTCACGGATTGATGTTAAATTCCTCAGATCCCACGGAAGGGTACAAAACACTAGTAGAAGGCACGCCCGTTAGCATACATCCCTCTAGCGCCCTCTTTCAACGGCCGCCAGAATGGTGCGTGTACTACGAGCTGGTTCTCACCGCGAGTAAGTTGTTCGAGCTCAGAAACACGTCCCGCTAATCGGGATCAGAGGAATACATGCACCAAGTCACTGCAATCGAACCTAAATGGTTATCCGAGGTCGCTCCTACCTTCTTCCGTGTGGCAGATCAGAATAAGATCAGTAAACGAAAGCAATCTGAAAAGATTGAACCCTTGTTTGACCGCTTCGCCGCTGACAAGGATGACTGGGTAAGTCATTTGTGGCTGACAGCCTGCACTCGCTAATGTCACAACAGCGACTCAGTAAACAAAAACGACCGACACGATCTTCACAGACGTTTTAGACATGCTCTGGAGACCGCAGACTCTTGCCATCCGTCTATTTATCATGAATGGCTTGCAATGAATGATATGTGGTTGATCGCTTTAGGGCTCTGACAATCTCATCTGTAGTTGATGTATGCATGTATTGTACGTACTCAGGTCCACGGGATATTTAACCGCACGGAGATTTCGACCGATAGAATACATGTAACTTGATCCATCGTGTTTGCATATACATATAGCAAATGACATCCGCCTCAACACCTAAGTGGGCATCTGGATGGCAGATCATTCCCCTATACTGAACTTCTTGGTGGACTTGGCTCATTCTCCTTCACCATCCATTCCCCCACCCCCCCGCTCCCTCTCCCTCCCCTTCCCCTTCGCGGCACGCTTCTGCTGCATCTTTGTCCACTTTGCCTCGATGACTAGCTCATTCCTGTATGCCTCTGCATGCTCTGAATCAAACACTTTACCCTTGGGATAGCTTGCCTGCTTTCAACTCCCTCTGGCAGTCCTAAAACAAGCAGCCGTCTCCTGCAATCTATTGATGTCCTCTTGCTTCAATCTCTCCCGTGACAATGACACTTCTAACCCAGCTGCTTTCCTCTCCCCCACCTGCGCACTTTTGTATTGACCTTGTTGCACACCTCTCTCTCATTTGCTTTGTATGTGTCACGACCAGTACTTATAGCGAGATCAACTCTCATTAGCAGAGTTGATATTGAGCCTTTTAGGACGGTTTATGATCGCGGGCTCGCTACCCGGTCATGACAGAATATCAACTCTAACGGGTCAGACGTTCGATTCACGGCTCTCACCTTATGTGTGGGGTGTGCTGGCTGCAGGTGTCAGCACCCCTTTTCAGGTTTCACCCTGAGCTCAGGTTTCATCCTGAGAGGTTGGTCTGGGGTCGCCAACCATCCCATGGTCGAATCGGAGGATTCGACGTTCCTAGTTCGAGTTCCGAGAGCGTGAATACCTGCCGAGGGTACCTGACTTGCAAACCCACAGGCTTGGGGGGGCCTGCCGGGGTTTGGGGTTCAGAAGTACTGCTGTCGAGACGCCAGCTTCCCTGAAGGAGGGGAATGTGTCACGACCAGTACTTATAGCGAGATCAACTCTCATTAGCAGAGTTGATATTGAGCCTTTTAGGACGGTTTATGATCGCGGGCTCGCTACCCGGTCATGACAGTATGTTTCCAGGTTGGTTGAAAAGGGAGGGCATACCAAGTAGGACAGAGGGAGGTGGACTAGGAACGCGAGACTCGCCCATCATCCGCTGATCCAGACGCCACAGGCCTGAGTCTCTGTACGCACTAAGGTGGTTCACCCACAAGTCGATCACCCCTAGTTATTGATTAGGACACGACCAACCTACTTTGATAGATGAACATGTTGTTTGAATTGTGTTTTGTACTTCAGCTATCAAGCATGCAGACCCCAGAGACTCTCCCTCACAAACAACTTGAGCAAGCAATTGCATACAACCACTCTCAACTACCACTTTCCCCCTCCAAACGTAATAGTCAGCGTGAAATAGCTCCCTACTGTCACAGGGTTGTTTCTTTGTCTACTTCTCAGGACTGACAGCCAATAACATTGTGGGTTGCGACCTTCACCAGCCTAGTTCTTTGAGATATGAATGGTTGACAATAACTTCTGGGTGTAATAACTTTGTGCTCTACTAACTTCTATCACTAAGACAACAACCAAGGTCTCTAGGAACTTTGGCCCTTGTCACGAACTACGTCGTAACACCCCTGACAACCACCATCACCAACCCTCCTTTCATCATCACCAACTACCACCCGAACCACTGAGACCGACTACGGCGAAGTTACCAGAACCAAGAGGGTATTTGTCACGATAACCCCACCTAGCGGAGAACTACGGCGAAGTTAGGAGAAGGGAACCGAGGGAGAGCAGAACAGGGGAAGGTACGGCAAAGTTGAACGAAGAGGACTGAGCGTGAGGCAGTGCAGGGGTTGAGGGACGTTCTATGAGAAGAGAGGAGTAGTATAGATAGTTTACAGATCACTGAACCTCTTCAGCGATCCTTGATTGTTGTCAGTAGCAAGCGATATATTCAGTAGCTACAACCATCGAGTTAAGGAGAGCTACCACTGAGCAGTTCGACGTACTACGGCGAAGTTAGCCGCAGTTCATCGACGATCACCTTATCATTTACCACTCGACGTATTACTACGGCGAAGTTAGCCGTAGTTCCCCGACGAGAACCCTGTCCTAGTGAGACATTGACACCCCACTACGACGCAGTTGGCCAAGTGTCACGAATATACGACTGATGATGATGAAGCCGCAATGGCGTGTCTCAAACAGTCTTAAAGGCAACAGTAAGTTAGAGTAGAGAGTTGAAATCAAAGATGACAATTGATCAGAGAGACAGAGAAACAAACAGAGAGCTAGAACCACTATTTATAGACAAAATCCACCAAACTGAGCCTAAAACTCCTTCCTCTCCTCTCCTACTTCGAGGGGGGAAACCCTGAGGAAACCCTGCATCAAAAGCAGTGTTTTAAACGAATTTTCAGAAGCTCTGAATCATCCCGGAAGCCCCCAAAAGAGATCTCTTCATCAAAGGTTGAAAACCCATTGAAAAGTCAGACGAATAAAGGAGTGCAAGAAGTGATCTTGAGGCCTGAGCTCTGAGGTTTCAGGGGGTTCAGAGGGTGTTTCTTAAGCGCCCACATTATGCAGATTTCGACTCAAAAACACCTGGTTCAATCTTGCGGGTTCGGTAGAGGTTCGAGAGGTTCGAATGATGGCTAAATATGCTTAGTAGAGTGGTTTTCCTCTCAGTTGAGTCGTTCGCACTGCTGAAAGAGATGGAACCTCTGACCATCAGTGCCTACTCCTCATCACTAGTGTGTACTCTTCATCAGTGGCGTACACTTCTCCATCAGTCGCGGGTGTGTATTGATCAGTAGCGTGTTTTCCATGTTCAACCACGTGTACTCACAAGGCTATCCTGATGACCGGTTGACTGGTTGATTCCGTGGTTGGCCCGGTGGTTGACCCGGTGATTGATCCTGTGATTGATCCTGTGATTGATCCTGTGATTGATCCTGTGATTGATCCTGTGATTGATCCTGTGATTGATCTGGCAAACCAGTTATTTGGTAACCGAGGGAGTCGTACTACCGCTGACAGACGTACGTACTCTCTTATGACGTCAGTGGCGTGATCGCTAATTAAGGTACCCGTGATTGATCGCTAATTAAGGTACCCGTGATTGATCACTAATTGAGGTACCCATAATTGATGGCTAATTAAGGCACTAATTAGTAATTAAGGAATTGATGGCTGATTATCGATCATTGATGATTCTGTTGTTTGTTGATTGGGACGGGTTCATAGACAGAAATAGATGCCGACCGGCCATCCAGCTAATATTGCTCCCGAGGTACCCTCGCTTATCAGTTTGTCCGGTCTGAGCGGAACCGAGGACACGGAACCTGGTACATGTCGGCTGGAGCTTGGGATGACGACAGATGACGACAGATGACGATAGATGACGATAGATGACGATAGATGACGATAGATGACGATAGATGACGATAGATGACGATAGATGACGTGATTGATGTATACAATGTCGAGTCAGGTTGACTCAGTGATGGGAGGGTGATTAAGGTTAAATGGTGATCCACATGTTGTACGATAGAACGAGTTGAGACGATTTGAGTAAAGTTGACTGGACTTGAGTGGATGATATGCACGTGGTATTTACAGATATTCGAGGGTTATGACAGACTGTCACGAACTACGTTGTGACACCTCGATTATTCCACCAACAATGACCCTCCTTTGACCATCAAAACCCCCATCACCACTTAACCTCTTTACTCTACACGTAACTCAGGACATCTGAGACCAAGTACGGCAAAGTTGGACGGAGTTAAGATAGGTAGGAAGAATGGGAGCAGAAGTACGGCGGAGTCAGACAAAGCTAGGCTAGGTAGGGACAATGGGAGCAGAAGTACGGCGAAGTTAGACGGAGTTAGGCTAGGTAGGGGCAAAGGTAGCAGAAGTGCGGCGATGTTAGGCGGAGTTAGTTGAAGGAGGAAAAGGATGGCCGGGACTCGGGGAAGTTGGACGAAGTGCGTTGAAGTACGTCAAAGCGCGGGAGGGTTGGATGAACACCTAGGAGGGATAGATAATATCAGCTGAGAAGATCGCTGAAGTTCTTCAGCAATCCTTGATTGTTGTCGGTAGTGAAAGACAGACAGAGATAGCTATATACAATTGAGATACATCGCCATCAGTAGAACAAAAGCCCAGTTAGAGTAACTACGCCGAAGTACGCCATATTTACACTCCTTTCGACGTCTGCGCCCTCCTGGTTGGGTGAGACATCGACTTAGAAGCGTCAAGTTAGCCGAGGTTCGTCAACCGCCGGTCTATTAGAAGATAGTTGTTTGACAGCCGTGACAAGGTGAGTGCCGGAGGAGAGCGGAAGAGGCCAGCACAGGAGGAGAGCGCAGGAGGGAGAAGACATAGGGAAGAGTAGGAGTTAAACGTCTAGGCAAGTGGTGTTGGTAAGACTGTACAGGGCATATTGCATGAGGGGAAAGTGTAGGGGAAAAGTGTAGGGGGAAATGTAGGGGGGAAGTGTGAGGGAAAAAACGTAGGGGGAAAGTGTGGGCAAAAAAGGGTAGGTTTGTAAGGGAAACAAGCATTTTTTGGCGTAGCCGCTTCTTTCCGTGCACCTTTGCAGATTCAGTCGTTTTTGGCATAAAGAACAGGTGTCTTTATCGTTTCCTTCACCAGCTTCTTCCTTCCACTTCTCAATATCAATTACGACTTTCACTACACATCATGGCATATAACATCAACCAAGACTTTGTTCAGATGATTGAAGAATTTGCCCTTTGGAATGAGGCTGTGAGTTGGTTCCGTTATTTCCTTCACTGGCTTGTTTTCTTGTGTCCTTCCGCCGAAGCACTTGTTGATTTGTTAGAATGAACGCGAAGTTGCTCATGACAATGTCAGAGCGATAGATGGAATGGTAGATCACAGCAGAAGCTCCAGTACATCAGGAAGCTCCGGTACATCAGGAAGCGGTGATCCCCATGGTTAATTTGATGGCAAACGTGAGTTTCTTTCCTCTTCTATCCTTCTTCATCCA